AGTTCTTATAAATGAAAATCACTTAACAAAAATCCAAAGTGGGAAGGAAAAATATTGTAAGCTTTAATTTGTTGTTAAGTGGCCTTTTGTCAATTTCGAATAGATCGTTCCTCTCTGAAATTGATTTATGACTAATGAAGAAATACATTATAGTCTCTATAGATATTCCAATACTTATCGGGGGCAACGTTTTGTAATATATTGTGGACTCTTTTAGGTGCAATTACAATAGTACCTACACTTACAACTTAAGTCGATGCATGGCTTTTTTGTGTACGATAGCATACATACATATATAACAAACCCAAGTGCATGCCAATTATTGCCAATTAGGACATGTATATTTTACTATTAATGATCTAGATGAATTCAAACTGTGTAAATTAACAATCACTGTTCGCACGAGCGATAGCAATTGACATTCCTCAGTATAACGTTTATACGTAACATAGAACATATTTTCCCTTTTTCAGTCACTCCATATTTCAATTTTATTAAGCTTTTTGTGTTAAGGTTAACTTGGTAAGTAATATTCGCAATATCTACGTTACCTACAAGTGACTCTATTTGAAAAAAAATATGCATGATAAATAGGCGGAAGGCTATTTCATTAATCAATTTCTAGATTAAGGTATTATTAAAAAATTATAATTTCACCCTATTATAGATTTTAAAATATGTTATAAAAATTATGATACTGTCGCGTATGTATTAAACCCATGGTCACCCTACTCACAATTACAAAAGCACTTTATAGATATATTTATATAGCGCGGTGTACGTAGATACGTAGGTGTGCTTTTTATTCTAATTTCAGAGAATATTAAAACTACTTAGTATTAATTGTAGTTATTTGACTACGTACTACGTAGTCTAACTACAATTACAATCAATACTAAGTGATTATAAGTTTCTTCTAATTTGTATATGTATATACCCTAATTTTATCTGAAACATAAAAAAAACAACTACTAAAATAGTTTAGTTGCTATAATATACATGAAACATATTTTGTCTTAAATATATTTGAATACAGGAATAATTTAGTCTATAAATTTAGTCAATTTCTAATTAATGTATTTATACATTAATTATATTTTACATAATTTACTTTAGATATAAATGTCACAATAGTGATTAATTATCTGTTAGGTATTTATTTTTAGGGTTCTATTCGGAAACGGTTGAATCCTGTTTCACCATACTATATTTCAGACCTACGGATTCTTATTGGAAGTGAAGAAATTGAGTATTCAGGTCTCCGAGATATTAAAGTATACTAAATCTTGCTTGTTTATAAGGTACGACAAAACGGAAGCTTGAAAAGTTCGTTTACTCATTTCGTAAAGTTTTATTTTGAGTCAGGTTTTATATAAGACGTATCTCTTTTCTAAGTTTATATATTGTCAAAGTATAGGTAGGTACCTAACAGCTAAATAAACGGTCTGTATTTTAACCCAAAAATTAATGATAATATTTATGAAATCTAATTTCCCTATAAAATAAAATGGAAAATAGAAAATATTTTATCAAATCTTCATATCAATTTCTTTAATAAGTTTTGCTCGGATACGTTATTACGTACTACTTAAAAATATATATATATTATTTAATTTCCACTTTGTTTCTCGGTGAAAAAGATCCAGTTTCATGAGTTCTCTACGTATGATTCTACACGGTTCCTGGTACAATGTAACCTTTACAATTTATTCTGTATACATGTAATATAGGTAGAGATCAATTACAGTTTATAATGGGTACGTTAAGTTACATATACGAAGGAGTTACAGGCAACAGCTAGTACTCGCAAGTGAATAAAGGTAACCACTCCCTAAAGTGTCTGAAGTTTAATGACTTGAAAAGTTAATTATGCTCTCATTATTGCTTATGGCAACTCTTGCGGCGTCGATGGAAATGTGAAAGTTTAATGTACCCTTAACTAACACTAGCTGAATCTTTCATCTGATGAGAGTAGTTAGGTATATCCATCTATAATCTATATCTATTTTATGCCTAAACAAAAAACAATTGTCAAACGTGATTTAGCGCTTCTATTTAACTTTGGAAACTATTTAGCTAATTGATTTTGTGTTGCGTTTGTAATTGTCTTGTTTATAATAAGATTGCACTAAAAATAATATAGACATAAATATTTTTCAATAAAAGTAATATTGAAGAAATTTGTGTTCAGTTGTACAATTTCTGAGTCACATTTTATTCGTTAGTACACCCTTGCGAAGTCAGGTCAAGTAACTTAATAAAAGCCACAAAATTGTTGAATTGTTGAATCTTTGTTATTATTTACATTAATAATTTACCAATCTTTTGAATATCTTCCTTCAAATATATATAAAGTTTATCTAAACATAGAAGTTAAAAACAAAATGATCGTGGAAATGGAATCTAACTAAAATAATTTCCTTCGGAGATATAAATTAATTGTGAATTCATGTCACAAACCAATTTTGTCCTGAGACTTGGTAGGCATGAACAAAAGTATCAAAGAGACAAACTTTGCATCGGGGCTTGAGACCATTGCGGACGACTTGTGGCAAAAAGTTCTTCGCATGTTACCGACATGTCGAAATCCGGTCTTATGTGTATGCCACGGTGCGAATCAGACTTCAACATTTGAAGATTGCCACTTGCCATATTCTTGGTCCGAGTTGTTGGTACTTTTTCTTGTTATTTCTTCGAGTTAGAGATACTTATAATGTCACAAAGTCACACATCATATATTTTTACTTTGTATTGGAGATATCTTTTATGTAATTAAAGAACAAGGTCACGGCCCATTTGACAGTAAATGAAAACCATCGGTTATATAAATGAACCATAGTCGTCATGCTTTCCCATTTTCTGAGATATCTCTGCCATATTTCCTTTCAACCGAAACACGCCTAACACAGCAAGTTACTTGGCGCTTGAAATAGATGACACAGAGGTAACTTACACTTGATTTGGTTGTAGTGAAAGAGAGACTTTGAGACTTTTTATGTACAAGTTTATACGGCTATGTAATATTTCTTTTTTCAGCATATTTATTGAACTTATATATCTAATAAGGGGTGTATATTATTAATATTTTATGCATTTAACATGTAACTCAATTCAAATTACAACAAGTCGAAACCTATTAAATTATATTATATTTTCACAATATTTTAATACTTATACAACACTAAACTATTAATTTAATGCACCAAGATCGCTATACCTACTTGCAATATGTCCATGACATACATATAAAACCCGAGAGACTCGATAATAAAGCCAAATTGAACGGTACGGAAAATGATAAATAATTTTGATGTGCACAAGTGGCACAAAATGTCCTATTGAATAAATTATTATTTGACTTTAATAATGTATTTCTTAATATATACTCTCAATAGCTAATATAAAATAGAATAGATAAATTAATGTTTAGCCATTTTACAGTTCTATAATAGAGTAAAGAAATATGTGTGCACAAATAGTTCGTTGCACTAATTATTCAAACACTTCAGAAGTCCATCCATTGTTCCACTCGAACCACAGGGAGGTCGTCGTTTGTTCCGTCGCATACCTCCAACAAACTTTTGCCAGTTATATTATTCTTATTATACTACTTAAGCATAATAGACCTTTTCCATTATTCCAGATAAGGACAAAACCTCTTTAGACACAGTAATTCATTAATTTCAGTTAATTTGAACATACAAATTACAACGTTTAGCAACTCAAAATCTTGCTTCTGTTCTCTATGAGATAAGTTATGGATTCAGTTCAAAATTAAATTAATTAGAATGGTAACCTTTTTAGGATAGTATTCATTTTTTGTATCATTCGTACATAACAATAACACAGTTATTTTTCATACTTGTAAAATAGAATACATGCATTATATATATATTCTGTATGCAACCTAATGAAAAAATAAAAAAAAATAACTTTGATGAAAGATATTATACCCGTGTATAAATAAATATATAAATATAATTAAAAGACTGAAATAATATAACTAATTTAATTTGTATGTAATGTTCCAACCAATATTATAATAAAATAGAAATGTATAATTTAAAAAAGTACTGTTTTATAAGTAAATGTATTTAAATCACATTTTTTAACTAGAAAAATGTATGTACTGGAAATATAACTCAAAAATATTATATATTAATGTAATTTTGCTCACTCCCTGCCGTCGAGAAATATAAATGAAATCACATTTTCATTACCTACTGGCAAACTAATTCTGTTACTTCTGTACTTATGTACTATTCATTCTAGAGTCGAAATAGGTTTCTCTGTATTTTGCGACGTGTAACATGTAGGTATATAGGTAGGCTCGTAAGTGTCTAAGGAATATCTGTTTGTGTGAGGATAACGAGGTACGGATTAAGAGAAATCGGATTATGTTAATAAAAAATTATCAAACAGAGTTAACGAGAAAAGTTTGTGAATAGATATTACCCTCAACCTTTTTTTCAGGCTACTGTTTTGATATTATATAATCGCCTATATATCCAGGTAACAAACACAACATAGATTTCTCTTATTTCTTGTTTTATTGATTCTTTGTCATCAATCATTTATCATCATCTGTATTCTTGACAGAAGAATTTACCGTAATATTCTCATACTGGAATCTATTTAATTATGATTTTTTCCCTATAGATAATTGGATACTCCAATTTAAATTTCGTAATACATGCTATATACAGTGGGTTTAAAAGAAAATAACAGCTCGCTTATTAATATTATTCCATTAATATAAATTGCTTTTTAAATTCATTAAGTTTACTCAATTTGTTTCATTCCTTTCACTTACTTTTTAATTAATGCATTTTTTAATTATAATTTGTTAAGTAATCACTGGTTAACAGAAAAGATTTATTCTTATTCTATTATTATTATATTATATGAACTAAGTTAAATATAACCAAATATTTCGTTATATTTTCGACGCTGTTAATGATAAAAATAAATTACAAAGCAGAGTTTAATTGGTAACTTACCTTCGACACGCAGAGTTTTGATTGCGCCAACAACTTCGAAACTTTAAGAAAAGAGAGTCCGCGTTTACTTAAAATGTTTGTGCACCAGAAAACTCAGACACAGTGATGTAAGTGCATGAAATAAGTATCGGATAAAATATTTAATGGATATATTTATTAAATTTTATCCGTCCCCGGGTTCTCCGTTGGAACGTTTGGGCGCGTGAAGTTCTGTGGCGTCGAGTTCGAGTCGCGTGCTTATATCTTGCAATGAGAGTGCGTCGCGCGCATGCGTCACCATCATTCATGTCATCTCTTCTGAATGACCAACCCACGGACATTTTCACATTTTTCCATGCTAATATGTTAATTTATTAAATGTCCACCTACTTGTTACTAGAAGAAATTTGCACATTTTTTTAACTAAATAATAAGCAATGTGATATACTCATCTAAATATACTTCTTGTATCCCTCTGATATGTTTATATGATGTTATTATGTATTTATGTGTTACTATTATTTCCCTCTTACCAGATCAAAGTTTAGGTAGTGACTTGTCTCGTCGACTTCAACTGCTTTGATATACATATAACCCAATGGAATGTGGTCTTCATCCATCTGGAATAATATATATTTTTTCGAATCGTGAATAAACTAAATACACTATCTTTTGAGAAAGACAATTATGAAAATCATGACATAAAAATTACACAAACGCACATATATGGTATTTTTCACTAACAACATTAGTACTACCGTATTTCTTCGCGACTGTTGACTCACCGTCGATATTAACGTGTTACTTATTCAGAGTCACATTTCAGTACATTTGTTTTTAAGGTTTCAAAACAAAATTGTAAAACGAAAACCTTATGATGCAGAATTTTGTCTATGTACAGTACAATCTCCTTTATTTAATAAGCCACTAGTTACTCGCAGGCTAAACATACAAATATACGAATTATTTAGTTTTTCCTAATCGTGTAATGATATCATTTACCTACAGACACATTGTAAAGTCTGAATATGAATAGAGCAGAAGTTTAAATACACTTCTCTAATTATATTTAGATTACATAGAGAATACGTTAATTCTGAATTCGTTTTGTAGCATTTTATACTTTAAATACATATATACGTAGCTACCCATCTTTTACATTGTAGAGTTTTATGTGAACTGCAAAATACTTACAACTTCATAATACTTAAAGTTAAAAACTTAAACTAAACTCAAGCTCTATTCACCCACACGATTACTAGTAATAGCCATTTTAGTATCGAGAAACTTTCGATTAAAGTGATATATGGTACTTTGACTTAAAACTTACTAGCTTGAACATGTTTAATAAGATTTTTTCCTAGTTCCACTTCAAGAGAAATACTGATAAGTGTAATAAATCTCATAGATGGACTATTTTTAAATGCTATTAATACATTTGAATTTACATATTCTTTAATAGTAAGAAGTTCTTTTTTGTTATGTTTGTTGTCATAACTGTTATTTGTATTAAATAAAAATGCTTGAAAAATCTTATGTAAAAATAAGTAAGTAACGTTAATAATTATACATAAGTATTTTCTCTTATTAGTAATATACTCTGTGCATCTCAGGAGTTGGTGATTAACGGTACTCTACAAGCACACTGTAAAACCCCAATTTAGCTTTATGAGTTGTTCGTGCAAATGAAAATGTTCATAAACATAAAGACAAAGATATTATTTACTTTATTATTCGAGTTTATAACATACCCGTCTACTTATTTCTCCGAGAGTTTAGCTATTTTGTCAGATATAGAATATTTTCACATATATTTTTTTATATTAAATTTTTACTTGAAATTCCTACTTCCTCCTATTGGATACAAACATTTAAATAGGTAATAGCACTATTTCCTATTTAAAATTCACTGTATTGAGATAAAAAAAATGCTTTCAACTATCACTTTTCTACCTACGAAATTATTTGATCTGAGTAACCATTATGCAACCAAAACTCTAGGCAATGGTTTGGACAAATTTTTGAAGTTTCAAGTTAACTTTTCAGTCTCTACATCTATAATAATATGATAGCAAAATAAAACAACATTATTCCACGATACAGTAATATGTATTAGTGCATCGTGAAATAATGCTGTTAAACCATAAAAGAAAATAATATCAATATACCGACAATTTATAAAGATACTGATAATTTTTCTTGGCGCTGTAAAGCTAAGGTAATTATTATTAGGTCTCAAAGAGCTTCATACAGTTTGACTGAAAAACTCGTGAATCATGAGAACAATACTACTTATCTACTTGTTTACTAGTTTTATTGCTAGGTGAAAAATCGATGATTAGTTGGCAATGACCTCTCAAGGATTTGTGAAACTGACAATACATAGATAATACAAATTTAACAGGCAACATATAGCAGACATCAATTCAGAGTATAGTATAGTAGCAGTATCAGTGAATATGCCATATAAAATTAACATTTATATACATATATATATATGTAATTACAATAGAATAAAGTACCTTTCAATAAAAAGTTCTATACAAATCACTATACCTATTAAAATTTAATTAAACTTATTCAACATATTAAGAAATTGTAACAAACGTTGAGAGGTGTTTATTAGTGATATCGTTCAAAATTTCGATTTAACAATATATTTGTGTATATTGCATCTCTTGTAACTCCTCATTAACAACATAAGATAATGTTTACAGTATGGTTTTCAAATAATCAAGAATTTTACGTTAGTTTCTGTTTTTACAATACCACCCACAAAATAAGTTACAACTACGTAATATTAAAGAAAATAGAAAAATATATTTCCCTTGCAGAAAGTTCTGCTGACCTTACGTGGCTCTCTTATGAATACAAATGCATTGCACTTGCAGATATATTGTCTTACAAGTACATACAAATGTTACATTCAGCTGTTATGTTTTCTCGCTAAATGAAACTGCACCATACATGCTGCCTCAGTTGATGATAGTAATATATTCTAATATATAAAATTCTCGTATCACGTTGTTTGTTACCAAACTTCTCCGAAACGGCTTTACCAATTTTTATGATACATTGTGTGCATACCTATCTATTATCTAGGTCTGAGAATCGGCCACCAACGATTTTTCATAACCCTTATACATGACGTCCCTAAATATTTATTTTTATTTTTTAATACATACAACCCTAAATTTTTACCCTTCTACCAACAACCCTTATTTTTTAAAGCGATATTAGAACATAAATTTATATAGCAAAACAACATTTGCAGGGGCAGCTAGTCATATTATTCGACTTTATGTATATCAGGTACATAATTGGCCGTATATATGTCTGTATCCTGTAGATATTATTCAGATAATCGGTAAAGAATTGTCGAAACGATAGCAAATACTATATAGTTACATATATACTTACATACATAATTGTTTCTGAATGAAATAGGAACAAGACTTGGAATTTGGAAGTATAATTAAATTCATCTTTCATATGTGAACCATGAATAATGTAACGCTTCAAGTTTATTTTTAATTTTAAAATTCGGTACACCATTAAAGTTAATTTGATATGAGATAAATTCTGTTATAAAAGTAACAATTAATCCTACAAATGTTATACAAATCAAGCGAAGAATTAGTTACAACATTGCGATGCACAAAAAAATACACCTACTTACATTCAAATGAAATCTCTCCTTTCTGGATTTGATTAAAAAAATAATTGTAGGCATAAAAGGTAAAAATTTATCCACCACCAATTCCGCATGTGATGGTATAGTATTATGTGACGTGTAAAATAACTATACAACATCAATAACCTGCCCTTGTTACAGATATTGACAGTAGAATTTTTCAAATCTCTACCTAGTAGTCTAGTAGTAATATTAACAAAGTCGCCGCCACCATCTGTTCTAAGTAAAATAAATCCGTTGTGTAATTTAAATAAATTTAAATTACACAACGGATTTTAACACAGTTTTCAGCAATAGATATAGTGATTAAAGAGGAAGGTTTATATGTATAATCATGTGTATTATAATATGCATAGAATAAGCAGAGAAATTCAAAGATTTGTAATACATTCATGCGAAACTGGGATGGGCGTTAGTTCAGAATAAAATAATAAATAATGCTTACATACTAGAATTAGAAATCAAGTTATTAAACAATTAAATATTAATTATAATTATTTAATTTAATAACCTATTAAGAGCTAATTATTCATTAGCCCTTAATGCGTTATAAATAATATATTTTCTTTATTTACAATTTTTTATATTTTTTATTATAATTAAATAAACACTCTAATATATTGTACCTAAAGTTCTAAATATTTCATGTCTCAACGATTCCTTTATGAGGCAAACAAGGTAGCAATTAATATTTTTATTGGAGTGAGACGTCAGGGCTCATCAATATTACATCTCCGTTATGTGATGATCATCTACCGATCGCAATAAATTTTCGTGGAATTTTCCTTTTTATTTGTAATTACTGTTGCCATGACTTCGTTTAATTTAATATAATATAATTAGTGAATATAATATATCAGACATCTGAAAAATCTTTATAGATATTGTAAAGCATGAGATCGCTACTCCCAGATTCTACAGACAATGAAAAAAGCCACTACGGGTCTGGAATACTTTCTCATTCGGCCAAGACCACGACGTACCCTAATTAAGAAATATCTCCGCGTGATAGGCATAAACCACTACCTGCCTGGTTGCTAGCATCGAGTTTCGTTTCAGTTTACCAGTTCAGAACAGTAAGTTCTGTAACCTCAACTTCTTTCATCCTGAGCACCCGTTTAGCAGGAGGACGATAGTGTTGAGCTAGGAGCTGTAGCATACGAGTATCTTCCTACTCGGATACTTTACAGAGGAAAATATTTTTTTTCTTACAATACAAGTATTAGGTACTATTTTTCACGAAATATCAAACTATCAATATTAGTACTTATGAATAATATTTGTACATGCAAAATAAATAAAAACATATTTACTCATTTTTAAAATTCATAGGACATTTTAGTCGCTTATAAATGACAAATTTTTTGTATTAATATTATTTTCCCTACAGTCCCGTTCAGTATATACTTAGATTCAATTGAGAAGGACTGATAAAAACTCACATGACAAAAAAAGTTAAAAGTCTGTATACTATGACTAAGTAGTCATTGTATACAGTGATGTAGTCATACTATACAGTGAACTGAACTGAAGTATATTGTGAACTGAGTTATTAAGATTATAAAATTTAAACTAATTAGGTATTCGTGTTTTTAAATTGATTGTTCTTTCGGTTGCCCATCATAATTTTTCACAACACAAGCTAAGAAATTAGGAAACTTCATAGTCAACCCGAATTTTTATTCCCAGATGGCTTTTCTGCCGGATTATGATAATCCTGCTATTTATTGTTGGTACCATAAAGTTACGTAAAGAAGATTTAAATAAAAAATTTCGTAACTAAATTGTTTGCTTAAACAATTGCTTAATGCCTACCCACTTAAAAGTAATTCTATAGCTATTGTACAAAGAAGATATTTTTTATATTTGTTTTACCTATATACTTTAATCATAATACTTACATATTTCAAAAAATAAAATAAAACTACTTTAAAAATAAGAAAACTTCTAAGCTTGTTCTTCGTATTGTACTATGAAAAACCCTCAGAACAATTAACTAATGCAAATCGTACAACAACGAAAAGAATACAAATGAGTTCCTACTAAGAAGAATCCAATTATGAAAAGTCCAATAATGATAACCATAGTTTAATTTGCTAGAGATTACAACCTCATAAGAGTAGATACATATAATACTATTGTTCATTATTTAAATAGCAATTTGACAGCCGGTTAATGACTTCATCAAAATTTAACTTTCAAAATAATATCGTTACACCCTAAGTGTAATAAAACATAAACTAATAAAATGTAGGACTGTAAATTTAACATCAGGAAACTATCTGACCAAGGTACAAACTGAACACTTACATTATTTTATTGTCTTTATTTAACAAGTTTTCTAGGAACTTTGTAGTTAATATGAGTTAAATGCATAATCTAGCTAACAGCTTGATTTAATTGGTAGTATAATTATACGAATTGTATAGATAAGTTGTCATGATAAATAATTAGGTCACTTGAAAAAAAGAATGAAATGCATAATAATAAGTTTCTCTCTCGAATTCTACAGTTGTACGATTAATAGTGTATAAAAAACAGACCATAACTACAGGCATGTATGTACGTCAAGGAGTAAGTTGGTTAACAAACTTCTTATTTAAGGGAAGACCTTCACATACAAAGTAAAGACCCTCACCTCGTAAATGTAATTTAACCCTTTTCCGAATGTATTCAGGCACTTGAGTCTTTGTGTATATTACTTATAGAGCCGACAGTACTAAAATAACAAACAAAATCCACTACTCCTATTATAAATATCAGTGTTCGTGTTAAATTCGTCACTACATGCTAACTGACCTGAGTGACTTCATCTTTATCTTCTAATAATGCCACATGTACTTGTCCAAAGAAACTCTATATACTTATTGCTAATACGTGATCGTAGAGAGCAGGTAATTGTTAATAATGAGAGCTAGTGGCAAATAAAATACACAGCCGCGCTTGGATGTTACAGATTATCCGTAGACGTTATTTTTTTAACAATTAAGGAGACTTAAACCATCTTTGTGATATAATAAATTAGAATTACCAAAAATATCTTGTTATCTTGAAAGAAACTAAACTAACTCAGTTTTTATCAAATGACCGCTTACAACAAAGGCCTTGTTTCTGAATAATTTTACTTAGTCTTGCAAACGTAATTAATACTTCATTATTCATTCCCCCCGTTTCAATAAAGCCACTCATAGTCCTGTCCCGTAGTCTTACCAAACAACCTAAGGAATTGTAATTTGTGTTATGCATTTTACTGTTGCTACAGTCAAGCAATTCTAATTACCGAAATCAAATTAATTACACTTTTCATTTTTCAATATTTATCTACCTATATATAGAGATAAATAAAACTAAATATGAATTAAGGTTTTAAGAAACATTATATTCAATTTCTATTATAAACTTACATAGTTATAATAGGTATTAATATTTCATAAGTTACACAATTTTATGAAGTAATATCATCTCGTTTAAATCTATCTATCTATATATATATATATAGTCTATCGAAGTTCAATGATTTCGAAAATGACATTAATGAATCTCTAACATGTTGACTAAGATAGATAAATACTTGCCTCTTGTTTACATCCTAAATATCTATTCTACTCAACGTTACGGAGGCAAACGTCGTCAGAAAGAAAGAATTCAGAAATAGCATACATACCTAAACCTAAACACTGCTAACAAGTAGGTACATTTATTCGTATAACTTGTTTCAAAATTTACTTGTTATAAATATATAAGTAGCGTAACGTTGTGTGAGAGCACATAACAAATTAACATTTTAATTGTGAACGTCAGATCGTTTTTGGTGCATAAGTTAGCGCTGACAGCGCAGCGATGGCAAACCTCTGGAAAATCACCATCCCACTGACATCCAATCGCGCGAATGACGAGCTTTTAATAGGTTATTGTAATTTTCGACAGCCTACTATGTCAAATGTGTTAAATTGAAGCACGATGTCCATCACATATCACAGTACCTATACGTATACCAATTTGTACGTATTAAACATGCGACGTATTAAATCAATATGACGCTGACGTGTTAGTTAATATTAGGATACTAGGGTATTATAATATATCTATATAGCGCACAGGACCTGTAGTCAAGATACAGGTTCTATGGGCTACTGCTATATATGGTATACTATGTCTATTTGTTACTTTATTACTACTTGGCGCCATAATTACTCCAAAAAACTTTGTTATACAGACGCCTACCTAAATTATTCGAAATTGATATTTTTATTTTTTATGCATTTATCAACAATACCAAAAAAAAAGTTAATACATCTATATAAAAATGGACCAATTCGTTGTTAAACTTCTTTACTTAAAAATATGCGGATAGTAGTAATGCTTCACCAAATCCTTGTTTACTGTTCACAGAGCAACTGGCATCAATTAGGTCACGGCATGTCATGTGATTATTCACAAGCATGTCGCCCCGAGCGCGGGGCAAATCGAACGTCAAAATGACGCTGAACACAACAAGCTTCAAACATTTTCTTCATGAGAATGGTCTTCTCGTCTATACAGTTTTAACATTTTTAGCAGTTGTAGGAATATACATGGTAACTAGTGACTGGAAAGGATTCACCAGCCCGGAAGAGGTAGATCTTGGTTATTTGCGAGTATCTTCGCATGCCCATGTTCGACGAAAACACTATCGTGCCCATAGGCGTTAATGGTATCGCACTAACGTGCTTTTGTTGCTTAAATATAATATAATATGATACATAACGCTCGCATCTTTAATATAATACGAAATAGCATAATTTGGACACATTAAAAATTAAATTGATTCAACTACCTGAATTTCAAATACTTAATTTTAAATATTTTTAGATTTCTAATGAAACTAGCTGTATATAAATGTAATAGTGAACGCTTATTGTAATATATCTGGTCATTAAATCTCAAATAATATTTATGTACCTAACCCTTTTTCTATAACTTATTCCTTTAATACGACGTTACTAAGAATAGCTTCGATTTTTTATATTTATATGGACGATAATTTCATAAGGTTGTGAATTGATTTCACTATATTTATAACCAGCTCCATATACATATATGTAATTTATGGATAAAGGCTATGAGACTGAATAGCAGAGATAGTGAATTAACTGTCCCCTCTTAATCGTACATCGTTTTGTCACGATTAATAAATACATGCCCTTTAATTTTGTTATACTTATGAAGTAGTACCGAATTACATTGAGACAAATTATTTAATTTTTACTATTTAAAATATTTCTTAGGTATTTGAGTAAGTTTAATAAAATATGTAAGTAGGTATTAATCATATGAAAAATTTAAATTCAACATCCAATGCACTGATTTCATGACGCACTACATTTAAATCTGCAAAACATGCCATTTTACTCTGATCCGTTTGATGAATGCTCGTAGATGCTAAACCAAAAAGGTATCCATTTTGAATAAGCAAATCGCCGGCTCGCACTGGACATCGCGCCAAAACATTAACACAAATCATGTGTTGCTTATTCAAATGCTTAAACAATGGTTTCAAATCGTATTCATTAGTAAGTGTCGCTGGTTGCCGAGTTAGTGTTTTTCCCACATGCAATGGTCTTCCAATTATATAAGCTCTTGAATTCAAATCTATTCGCAGACCAAATCTAATAGTCTTTGCACAGAGAGCAAAGTTTTCATAGGTGGATAAAAGAACCAGTGAATTAGAAATAACGCCATCATGGTATATTGGTTCTATGACATCGACAGTGAAACCCTTTTTGCAGCGAGATCTGAAGTAATATAGTAGGTATCAATAATCTATTTTTGCTATAAATAATTATGTACAAGAAGTAAAAAAGAGAGACTACAATTATATACCTAATATATATTTTATTTTCTAGTCCCATCTCAGTTAATTTAAATATGCACCAGTGCGAAAGAGTATATTTTTTTTGTCAAGTAGATACTTTGACACGAATACTTCACACAAAAATTTAAAAAATCAATAATGTTTATTATATTATTATTATGTATACTCCAAGAAGTCTTATCATAATTAGCAAATCGATCCGTAGGTAGGTTCAGGCAAACCTTACCGTTACCTCTATAGATTCTGACATTTTAGTAAAAAAAGGTTGTAAACAATGTAGAAATGGCAGGGCATGTTTCAAACTATTATAATCTTAAGACCAATATGTACACATGTTCCAGTAAATAAATTGAATTAAATTGTATTGTCATTACTTACTTACTCTGTAAGATCTCCCAAACGCAGGAGTATTGGTCCAGATTTCACACACACCCCATTCGCTAAAACCGAAGAGGAACTTATGATTGCGCCGACACAGAGAAGTTCATGTGTCGACGCCAAATGTATCCTAGCAACGTAACGATAGTCGACCATCTTCACAAGATGACATTTAATTTCATTACTTATTAATTTAAAAGATTGAAAACTTTTATAATGTATACAGAAATTAGTAATGATGCATGCTACTATAACAGAAAATATAACTGTTAATAGAGCGATTATGCCTAATTTGCTCTTTTTAGAACGATCATCCCATGGAATGTTTAAAAAATTATAGTTGTATTGATACTCTTCGGCAATTTCCTGCTCCACAACTGTTTTATTGTTCTCGTTGAAATCTTCCATTATCCACGGTTGTTACCTAAGTTTTAATATATTTGTACTCTACTGATGTATTGATTAAGTATTAATTTGCCATTTCAAAAACATCTACTTGGTCATGAAGTGAATTATTTCTTGACAGACTTGATATCCTATAATTATATAATTCATCAACGACAATAGTTATGTAATATAAATATATGTAAACCAACGTCACATTATTCGTGTATTATAGTCATGTGGGGCAAGTGTACGCACTTAAGGTTTGAAGTATCATCATATAATAAAATATTTGAAGTTAACTGAAACAAAATAAGGTTTATTATTTAAAATATTTAATAATCAACAACTTAAACACAAAATAAATAGATATCAGTTACAAAAATTCTTTGGAAATCAACAAAATCAAAACAGGTTAAATGCGTACACTTACCCAAGTATAGGGGTAACTGTGCGCAGTAGTGCGGGTAAGTATACGCAACATGTAACATACAGTAAATAGAGTCAGACTCATACCATAAACCAGAAAATAGACATTCTCAACCTAATAATACATCAGTTCAAATATTTCCTTTCCAAAGTTATTGCATTGTTCATGCCACCAGGTCTTACAGATGCTGCATTGGATCCAGTCTTCATTCGGCGGAAATATGAAGTATTCTGCAGATAGTGGGCAAAAGAATTCCTGCTCATAATTTTCTTTATTTTCAGATCTAGTCTTATCTTCTTTCTGGAAATTTATTCTTCCTCTTCCTTTTTTCTTGTTTCTAATTCTACTTTATAAGGACTTTCAGTATCAATGATTGACTTTTTGCCTTTCTATCGCCAATCTTGAATCGCCACTGTCATCCATCCGAGAAATGCCTAAGGCCAACTTAGGCATTTCTTGGATAGATGACAATGCATACATACATACCTAGTCGAAGGTACATACACTCATTACTGCGGGTGCCACACTATCATTTGCTGGCAACCTCCGAAATTAATCTTTTGACAGCTTCTAGCTATTCCTCTGTGACAACACTTCTATCCAGCATCTTTCTTTTATAATCTCGATGAATTTTTTTATGTATAATTAAACTCTGAAATAACAAATTGCGTCATAAATACAAAGCCAAAGCCTTTGTAGCTTTTAATAATGACCTAGTTTGTTTAATTTTTCTGGATACAAATTCTTATTGAAATTTTAAGAAAAATTTTGCTTGTACTCAGCTGCGTATCTGCCTGTAATATACTTTCCCAAATTAGCATATTATTATTTCGAGTAACTTAGACTTTTATATATATAGTAGACATTCAAACTGCAAAATGAGTACAAGTAATATATTACTAACAACTTCAGTGGTTTAGCGGTTTAACACACCGCTTTACGTCCGATGGTCGCTGTTACGATTCCTCGCAGAGCACAAACATTTGTATTCATGAGTAAGTATGAATGTTTGTATCGGTCTGGGTGTTTTTTATTCGTAATATGTATGTATTTACGAAAAAAAATATGTATTTGTATTAGTTGTTTAGTACCCATGACAAAAGCTTTAGGTAGCTTAACCTTGGTTGTAAATGGCTCTAGGTGAATTGTCCTGAGATTGAGAGAAAAAAATGAGAGTTTTATTATTTCATATTTTCGTAAATAGAATTTTTAAATTAGACATGATAGTGGTAATAAGAGCAAAAATACTTAACTTCATAGTAACAAACTTCAATCAAACAAATTTAAACGTTTTTCTTCTTCAGCTTCATAATTCTACTACGGCGAATATTTTACTATATACCCTCAATAAAAAGAGTAAATAATCACTATGTTCCCACTGGAAAAGAAATACTATGCGAATAATGTATGAATAGAAGATACCGTACAACTTAAAATATTTTAATACCACTATAATGACACCGTAGTTACCTAAAGGCTATTATTTTGGACTAACACTGCTCGCGGTTTTACGGTTTTTTTTTTTTGAAATCTACAGCCTGTGTTGTTCTGTGTATGTGTATGTATAAGCTATATTATTGTGAAGTTTCATTAAAATCCATTCAGTAGTTTTTGCGTGAAAGAGTAACAAACATCCATCCATGCTTAAGAACTTTCGCATTTATAATATTATAAGATATATAGGGGAATTTTATTTTTATTGGGCTTTTTCTTGATTTTGTTCAAAACTATTTCAATGCTTTATATGGCTGTCATGCCGGTGATGAGGTCGCTTGGAATTTTGTAATGTTATTCAATATGTCAACATCAAATCTCTATTAATTAAATGTCAATAATTACGGCTGTATGGCCTTAGACTCTTTGCGTTTCTCTAAAAAGATAAATAAAACTGATGTTTTTTTTTAATGTTTGTTGATAAGAAAAAGCGCGGGAACTTTCAAAGCGACTACACGTATTTTTTCGCGCTAGTTTTGCAAAATTATATTTTATTGAGTTTTTTTTAGTCAAAACCAGTAAAGATGACGAAGAGGAGCGGGAAGAAGCGAAAAAAGAAAGAGGAAATATCGGATGATACATCCGATGATATTAATTTTCTAGGGTCTGACTCGGAATCGGCACCTGAGGATGTGGATAAGTATAAGGCATTTCAAATACCAGATTATGTTCGGTACTATCCTGAGGATGGTGGAAACTTTGAATACATTGTATTTATGGAGAGTACAGATAGTAATAAGCCAATCGGTGATAGGGATATGATGTCCTTAGCTACTAATTTGAAAAAATATAATAAAGGAGTTAAGCAATTATTAAGGATGAATAAATTTAAGATCGGCGTCATTTTTGAACGCCCCGGTTTAGCTAATGCAGCCTTAGTTAATAAAAAATTTCTAGACGGATTTAAATTAAAGGCAAGTATACCAGCTTCAGCCACGGAAGTAACTGGAGTAGTTCAGCATGTTCCTACGCATCTATCGAACGAACAAATATACTCTAATATAACCAGCTCAAAAAATATTGTTTGTGTACGCAGATTCATGAGGCTTATTAAAGGTGATGATAACACCTTTACAATGCAGCCAACTAAAACCGTCTCCATCACATTTTCCTGTCCTGTACTTCCTGACACCGTCGACCTGAATAGTTGGCGCTTTGTGGTGAGGCCTTATATACCTCCTGTAAAGCAGTGTCTTAAATGTTTAAGGTATGGTCACATCGCTAAGTTTTGTAAGAACGCTGAAAGATGCTCAGTATGCGGAAATAATCATAATTTCAGAAACTGTTCGGCAAATATTAACGAAGCTAAATGTTGTCACTGCAATGGTAATCATATAGCCATTTCATCACAGTGTCTGACCAAATTTTAAATACCCTATTAGAATCAATTGTTAAAATTATAACATTGAATAGAACCAATGACAAAACAATATGTACAGAAAATATAAAACAAGTTCTCCTAGAGACATTACAGAATAAAAAAAACCCAGATTAATCTTTCTTTCTTTAATTTTTTATTTCTTTATGGACCATATAGTAATAGTCCAGTGGAATGCACAAAGTTTAGTAAGTAATCAACAAATCTTTACACATTTTCTATTGGAGAACAATATTCATATTGCTCTGATATCAGAAACCTGGCTAAAAGCCTACTATAAATTAAATATTAAAGGTTTTAACATTGTTAGATTAGACTCAGGCAATGACCATAACGGCGTTGCAATTTTAGTTCATAAAAGTATAGAATTCAGTAAAATTGATACATATAGTGATGATTCCTTACAGAATATTGCGGTACGATTAAAATATAAAAACACAGAAATGTCAGTTGTTAGTTTTTATAGCCCAAATAATTGTAGTCCATGTTTTAACAAAAATAAATTCAGTAATCTTCTTAATAGTATTCCAGAACCCATGTTGGTTGCTGGTGATTTTAATGCTCATCACACAGCATGGGGTTGCTTGTCTATTAATGCTCGTGGTCGTGACATTCTTGAATGTATTGATGGTAACAACTTGGTCATCTTAAATGATGGTACACCGACTACAGTAGGATCACACAGATGGCAGAGTAATGCACTTGACCTTACTATTGCATCCCCTTGCTTATCTCTTGCTTCAAATTGGATGGTACATAATGATCCCTTAGGTAGCTACCATTTACCTGTAATAACAAAAATAGTAATTAATAACAATTGCACTAGATTATGGGATAATCTGAGGATTCTGGTCCTCAGATTATCCCAAATTTCATAATTACAATCTTATAGATTGGACCATGTATAAGAAGACCACAGATAGTTTGTTACAAGATTTTACACTTTACACTTATAGTAATTCACCCCTGCAGTGTTATACTAAATTAATTGATATTTTCAATTTAGCTCTAGACAAAAGTAATATATCAAAATCAAAACCCATAAACTCTACAACTGATATTCCTTTTAAAAATAAAAGGATTCCATTACCTTGGTGGAATAGAAAATGTACACTTGCAGTAGATAACTCTAAACAGGCATATGTAAATTTTAAAAACAACCCATCAGAGGCAAATTATATTACATTTAAAAGGTTACAAGCCAAAAAAAAGTTAATACTTAAAAAAGAACAATCAATTAGCTGGAATAATTTTTGTGAAAATTTTAATCGCACCACACCCATTTCGAAAATTTGGAATACCGTTAAAAAATTCAATAAAACTTATGTATATAGTCAGATTTCAAATAAAAATAACTGGATTTCAGATTTTCTTAAGAAATATACTCCTGACACTGTCGAGACCCAATTTAAATCACACATTAATGAAAATAGTAACAAATTAAATTATTTAAATAAACCCTTCACTTTTTCTGAATTCAATGCAGCCATATCTACCCGAAGAGATACAGCATTTGGTCTCGATGGCATACCATATAAATTATTAAAAAACCTCTCTTATACCTCTAAAAATATTGTTCTATGTATTTATAATGCACTGTGGAAAGAGTCAGTTATTCCTTCCGATTGGAAAAAAGATTGTATTATTCCAATTTTAAAACCAAACAAAAATGCAAATGAAATAGATTCCTATAGACCCATAACCCTGACCTCCTGCATGGGAAAAATATTTGAGCAATTATTAAAACAAAGATTAGAATTCTACATAGAGAGTAATTGTTTATTACCAGCAAACCAGTTTGGTTTTCGTAGAGGTAAATCTGCCTCTGAGAGTGTTACTCATCTCCATATTTATATATTTAAAGCACTTAAATGCAATGAAGTTTTGATTGGGGTATTCTTTGATATTATCGGTGCATTCAATAATGTCAATCATCACATTCTTACTCTGGAACTTGTTTCTATTGGTATACCTGGAAAAATTATAAACTGGGTCTATAACTTTTTAAATGGTAGAGAAGTTTTTGTTAAAGTTAACAAGCAGTTAATAGGACCTCGTCTTTCTTATAAAGGTGTGTGTCAAGGTGGAATACTTAGTCCACTACTCTTTATCCTCTACATACACAAACTTAATTTAATTTTAGGACCACATGTCAGGAATCTTCAATTTGCAGATGACCTTGTTATATACTTTTCAGGCCCAGACATTAATAAAGTAACAGAAAAAATAAGTAACTCATTGTTAAGATTAACAGATTACTTTAAATACCTCAATTTAGATGTAAGCCCTGACAAATCTAAAGTAGTAATATTTTCTAAAACTAATAAATCCTACAAAAACATTAACATATTATATAATAATTCACAACTACCTATTACTGCTGAAGTTAGATTTTTAGGTGTTATTTTTTGTAGCAATTTGTCTTGGAACAAATATGTTGATTATTTACTAGGTAAAGCTTCCAAAGCATTTAATATTATCAAAGCTCTATATAAATGTGATCCTAAGATCCTTTTAATGCTGTACAAATCCTTGGTTCGCAGCCACTTTGAATATGGCTATCTATGTTTTGGTTCTGACCAAAACAAGCTTCATAAACTTGAAGTACTTCAGAATAATAATTTAAGATACATAACTGGTGCAATGAAAACAACCCCTATAAATTCCTTACAAGTAGAGTGCTGTATACCACCATTAAACCTGAGATTCTGGTACTTAAAACAAAGATTCATCCTAAAATTATTATCCTTTTCTGAAGACCCACTCTTACAAAAGCTCAAACATATTACTTCTTTATTTCCCCTTTCTAATTCTAAAACAGTTCCCTATATACTTCATGATTTCTCTGACTCAATCAATATTGATCAGCAATACAAAATTCACAAAAGCAATAGATTTTGGAATTGTTACCATGGACCATTTGAAAGTAAATTTCCAAATATTAATATTGTAATTGACTCTGAGTTAAGGACCAAACAAGAAGTTTATAACAAGTTGTCTACATTTTCAACTCATCAATCCATATTTACAGACGGTTCTAAAAACGAATCGAGAACATCCTTTGCTCTATACTTACCAAGTATCAGAACCGGTCATGGAACTAGAATACATAAAGAATTTAGTATTTTTTCAGCAGAATCTTTGGCTATTTTAAATGCACTTTGTTATATAAAAGATGATAGGGGCAATTGCAAAAAATGGTTAATTGTCACAGACAGTATGAGTGTTTTAACTGCTCTTCAAAGTAACAAACTACATTATAAAACCAATTATATCATAGATAGCATTAAGCAAATATTATATGAGCTCTCATTGGAGTGTTATGATATTATTTTATTATGGACACCATCACATATTGGTGTTTTCAGTAATGAAAACGCAGATTTCCTGGCAAGAACTATCACCAACAATGACATTGGCGTTGTCAAGGATGTTGCCATACCTTATTCCGACATTCTTTCTATAGTTTACAAGAGTTTTCGTCAAAAATGGATTGAACAGTGGCAACTTTCGCTAAAGACCAAGGGTAATTGGTTTTACTCTATTAACAAAAATATTCATTCCTCACCCTGGTTCGCTAAATCTAGAGTTTATAAAAACCGGAAATTTTACACACTCCTTATACGACTTCGTTTTGGTCACGCTAGATTCAATAGTCATTTGTGCCGAATGAAAATAATTGATTCAAATGCATGTCAAGAGTGCAATAACAGCAGTCAGACCCTAAATCACATATTTTTCGAATGTTCCGCTTATAATATTCAACGCTTGGTCTTTATTGATAATTTACTGAACATTTACAAGAAACCGGAAAAAATCCCGCGCGACATCCAAGACATGCTAACTAATTTTGAAACATATATACCTATATATTTATACGTTACCTCGATATCGATGAAACTTTAAATAATTGATACAAGGATATGGACTACGGATAAGACTTAAATTTTGAACACGAATGAAAACATAATAAATAAATATACATAAGAATTGGCCTTTGGCCTCATCACTTGTTCAAATATGAGGCTAGTACGCTAGGCTGTACGGTCTAAGGATCTTTGCCTGTTCCATCACTGAAAAGGAGATGGACGAATATGGAAAAAAAAAAAAAAATGTTTGTTGATAAAATTTTGACATATTTGGTTTTATGGGTTTATGTTTATACGCAAAGATATGTAATTATGTATTAAGTTCACAAAGTTATTGGTTAATATTGTTTTATTTGTAACGGACTTATTATAAAAAATGCCAACGGTATTATTACTCGACATTTCTTTGTCGATGTCTCGACCGGTGCCTACTTCGGACTCAACTGAAAATCATACTCGTCTTACCATTGCTTCTTCTGCAATAAACACATTTTTAGATTATTTAAGTGTTCATGCAAAATTGGAATATGTAGCTTTGGTTACTTATTCGTCTCTATACGAAGGTATTTTAACAAAATTTATACAAACAACCTATTAGATATATATTTAATATATATATTTTGTGCCAGCAGATAGATCCAAGCACCCAATTTTATGTTGTTTTTATTATTAAATAACTGATGAATGGAGTACATGAACCTATGACCATAGTGGCAATAAGATCCTGCCAAACAAATTGGAGTTTATTATATATATGCGAATTTTTAACACTAAAAACCATGTATCTAAATTAAATTCTATCAAACATTTAATCATAATCAGTAATACTAGAATATTTTGCAAAAAAGTCCATGTTAATTAAATTATAATTATTAAGTATGTTAATAATCTTATACAACAAGTAAAAGCAAAACATACATTTTTATTGTATTCATACCATTCTGAATGTTTTCAGTATCTGTACCATTTACACGAGATTATGATTCAATTCGCAACAAACTTCCCCTTCTTGAAGAAGGCGACAAGACATGTATAGAAACAGCTTTGCTTGGTGTAAACCAGCTTATACTCAGTGAGTGGGGATATCAAACACCAGTACAAATTATAATAGTAAGTTTTTTTATTCAAAGATATTCACTGTAATGTTATGAGTATATTGCTATTGTAAAAAAATATAGTGTATATAGAAATAGATTAGTTCCTGCATTCTCAATTTGATTTATTTATTTTGATAACTGATTACCATCAGATGAGCCAACAGTTAAAAAAAATATGAAATGAAAAACATATAAGAGTGAAAATTTACACTATTAATTTATTTCAGTAATAGATCTGTTAACTTGAAAAAGTAACAAACAACATATTATTATTTTAAGACATTTTAAATTTTCTAGATAGGAATATTTTTTAATTTAATATATTTTCTTTACAATCCAGATAACAGATGGCAGCTGTGGAGTTGGTGCTATTGGTAGAAACCGCATTATACAAGCTTTACCTTTACCACCTTCATATCCTACTAGGATACACATTTTGCCAATAGTATCTCCACATGATCCTTGCTTACAACAAGGTAACATTATTTGATTATCATAACAGAAAAAAATATTTGCAAATGATAATTAATTTTATACATACCAAAAAACCAATCAGGAAAATCTTACATTAACAGAAGCATAAAATTTTATAATATATCTCTAATCTCTATCTCTCTTATATAGTAGTGTTAACATAATATGTTTATGCTTTTACTTATAAAATTATGCCAAAAACACTGGCACACACACTCCTTTCAAATTATGAGTAATAACTTGTGTATTTTATTGTACTCTAATTTTGTTCCAGCAATGCCACTGTATCAGAAGATTGTGGACTTAGCTACAGGCACTACTAACAGTTCAAATCTTAGTATTTCACGTGGTGCTATATTTTGTCCAGACCAGTTATCTGTACCTGGGGTTAGTGTATTATTTTATTAATAAGGACCAATTTTAAATAACTAATAATGTATTAGTGTAGTGTAGGTTGGACTCCATTTTCCGCAATTGGCCTCTCATTCGGGCTGTTGTACGTGTAGAGCCAGGCTACTAACGTAGCCAGCCAAGCTCCTCCCAGAAGCGCAGAAGTCTCCTGGTGTCTTCGCAGGCTTCTCGGAGCGACCTCACCGTTCCGAGGATTTGATTGCGTTGTGTGGTCACTGCTTCGCACTCCAGGATTACGTGAGCGTTCGGTTCCTCGGCTACAAAGCACCCCCGGCAAAGGGGACTGTCTGTAGCACCTATTGTGTACAAATCTTTATTTAAGGGACAGTGGCCCGTCATTGTCCCTATCATTATTTTTATGTTATGCCTGTCCAGATTTAGTAGGCGTTTTGTCATTCGTTGATTTGTTCTGGGAATTGCCACTTCTGATTGTTTGCAATCGGTGGTTTATTTCCATCTTTGGTTTTGTATCTCAGTGGATCTTTGGCGAATCCAGGATCGAAATTGTGAGAATGGTATTGGCAGAAGCGGGAGGGGGCCTGCTACCGTCATGCCTGATCCTCTTCTCGCCAATTCGTCCGCGGCATCATTTCCATATGATCCACTATGCCCTTTTATCCACTGGATGGTTACACCGTTGTGCTTTGCCACTTTATCCATGATATTGTGACATTCGATTATTAATCTGTTGTTTGATTTCCTGTTCTGTAGTGCTTTTAGCACGGCTGCACTGTCCGATATAAATTTTAAGTTGAAGTTGTTGACACCTAACTTTTGCACTGTTCGCGCTGCCTTAGTCAGGGCAACGCATTCACATTGGAAAATCGAACTGTGTGTACCGAGTGGTATGTATAAATTCATGTTGAGGTCAAGGGAGTGTGCTCCAGCTTCTGAACCGTTATGTGTTTTGGAGCCATCTGTGTATATGCGTAGTTCATTTACTGCAGATTGGTCTTGTTCCTCCTGATTCATTTGTATCTGGTATTTTCTGTTAAATGAGTGATATGTTTGAGTTCTGTCACACGGAGCGGCAATCAAAGGTTCGTGTTCGATTGCTTGGTTCAGGATGTAAGTGTGAGAACTATTATGGTTTTTGCCCCATAGACCAAGATGGTATAGTCTTATGGCAGCTATGGCTGCCTCCTGTTGTATGTACAAATCGAGGGGTGTTATTGTACTGTTGTTGGGGTAGTTTTCATACATCCCGTGATTGAAGAGCATGCAAGTCTCTGAAAGGACCTTAGTTTGTTGACTGTGGTCGTGAGTTTCGACCTTGTCCGCCAAACCAAGGCCCCGTACACGAGCATTGGTCTTATCACTGCTGTGTATAGCCAGAGTGTTATTTTTGGTGTAATACCCCACTTGTTTCCTAGCATCTTTCGACATTGATAAAATGCTATGGTACTTTTGTTAATTTTGTTGTCAAGATGTTTGTTCCATATGAGTTTACTGTCTAGTATAACTCCCAGGTACTTGACTTCTTCTTTTAGATTAAGGTCTGTGTTAAAGAGTTTCGGTATCCTGAAGGTACCAGGAGCTCTTTTGTTAGTAAACATGATTAGTTCTGTTTTGGAAGGATTTACCGAGAGTTCGTGGTTTTTACACCATCTCTCTACAGTTCTGAAGGCTTCTCTCATGCGGTCGCATAAAGTTCCCTTAAAGTTTCCTGTTATAAGTATAGCAATATCGTCAGCGTACCCTACCGTGTAGAGGTCGTTGTCGTTGAGCTCCTCAATCAGTTCGTTAACAACTAGGTTCCAAAGAAGAGGTGATAGGACCCCTCCTTGTGGACATCCTCTGCTCACGATACCTCGTGTGGTAGTGTTTACGGTAAACTGAATTGCACGATTCTTTAGCATGTTGTTTATCCATTCTATGATAGTTAAAGGTACTCCATGTATGGCAAGAGCCCGGCTTATGCTGGTAAAATTTGTTTTATCAAAGGCCCCTTCGATGTCTATAAAGGCACCTAGTGTTGGCTGCTTTCAGTATAACAAGTTACCAATTCGGGTTACTACGCTGTGGAGTGCTGATTCCGTTGATTTGCCTTCGCTGTAGGCATGTTGGTTAGGGTGAAGTGGTTTGTTTATGGACACAAGGTCTCTGATTTCTTTGTCGCAAAGTCTCTCCAAAGTTTTTAGTAAAAACGATGTGAGACTAATTGGTCGAAAGGATTTGGCCTGTGTATAATCACCTCTGCCTGGTTTTGGGATGAAGATTATTTTCACTTCGCGCCATTTCAAAGGTATGTATCGGTGTGCCAGACATGCTCGAAATAGCTGAACGAGTTGTTCGGCTATTATGTCTCCGCTCCATCTTAGGAAGGCCGGAAAGACACCATCTAGTCCCGCTGCATAAATAGTATTACAGGTGACATCCATGGGTCACATCCATGGGTGAAGTTTCTCACTTAGCACCAGGTGTAATGTCAGCTTGTGTGGCATTGAATTTACATAAAATACTTAGAGAACTGCATTAAACCTGCAGACTACAGCAGCCTTAGTTGCCAGTCACCACTGGGTTTAGTAACTGTTTACTTCGGTTCCTCACATTATACAAACATTTGTATTCATAAGTACTGTTAGATAGAAAACATGCAGATCAACACAAATCTGGGTGTTTTCTATATAAAAAAAGTTTTAAAGTATTTTCTATTAGATGTCTATCTACAACTTTTGGAAATTATAGAATTCAGCAGTAAATTAAATATTAAAATGATTGGGATATGTTGACATTAGAAAAATTCCTGAGATATAAAAGTGACATATTCTATAAAAATATATAAAAGATTTATTCTATGAAAGTATAACTTTACAATAATAACCCATAATTGTTTGTCTTTTGTCCCATATATAATATCACAATACGACAAATAGGAGCAGAGCTGTAATCAAAAAGAGGAATTGTGATACAGTTACAATTAAAAACGTCTTTTAATAACATGTGTGATTTATTTGTTCAGGCAATAACAGCTATGACGCGACTCTGTGAACAATATTACCAAGAATTTTGGTGTTCACTGAAATGCGGCCAGTTGGAAGCCAAAGTGCAATTGTTCCCAGCACCACAAGCCGCTCTGCAAGATGGTCTCATTACAAGTTACACAATAGCGCATCAATTGCATGTTGTGGGTTTCCTCCATCAACAGGACCTGGGTAAAATATCTATTTAACATTAATTTCAACTTCTGTAGGTATAATTACCCTCTTGATTGCAATATACAATAAGAATTTGAAATTTCATATTTACAGGTACACCAATAGCAATAAGTAAACATTTAGTAATACCTCAAGCTGGTAATGCTAGTAGCAAGGAAAGCTATGAATCAAAGACGCCAACAAAGGTAATTAAACTAATTATATACTATTATGTATTCCAATGTGTACCTACTATCTTACATGTACTCTCAATATATCTTCTAGGAAGGTTCTAGTACAGATGGATCGGCCACTGAAGAAGATACTTCAGATCCCAGCAAGATACCAAATTTTTGTGTCTTGCTTCATGGTGCATTAAAGGTAAAACCAAAGAGTAAAAGGTAAAATAGATTTTCTTTATAGTAGACTGTTTGTTTCCATCAAGTTCTTTAATGATTTTTATATATTACTATTTCATAAACAGGTTGAAAGTATGTCAGCGATAGTTCAATTGGGTTCAGATTGGTGGGGCACATTGACAGCGTGGTGTGAAGCATCCAGATCACGCCGCTCATGCCTCCTGCTTAGCGTGCTGAGGCCAGGAGTCTCCGCCGCGCCATGGCTTGGCCCTCTAGATCAATTAGGACCAATTGATGATAATACTACTCCAGGTTAGGCACATTTGAATAATATGTAATAATATTTTACAACTACATCTTACCAATCATAAAATGGGCAGGGCTGGATTAACCATTACACTGACCAAGTAATTCTCCAGGCTACGCTGCTTTATATAGGGGGAATTGGGGCTGGACCGGCAAATAAGAAAAAGTTTTATAGATATAATTTAAAATTTATTTTGATAATTTTAAATTTGTTTAAGAAAAGTTTTTAGTGCAGCTCTAAAATATTATCCCTTTTGTTGTAATAGCGGAAGCATTCCCTATACGATCTTGGCGATCGTACAGCAGTGGTGGATCTGGATGCGCTTGGGCCCGACCGCATGCGTTACTCGCTGATGTTCAGAAAGTTTTACGTCATGCAAGAAAACTTCCAGACAAAACGCAGCATCTTTACAAGGTATATCATAATATTATTGGTGAAGCAAACAAATTGTTTCAAAAATTTTACACATATAAGAGTATCGTATTGAGAAAAAAAACAATATATTGCATCAATAATAAAAACATTAAACTTTCTACTATTTTTTTGACACAAACATACACACACAGAGCTACAGTAATGCCATTCGCACAGTCACATAATTTTAAGTTTATTTTATAATCTGATTTGATATTAATAAAATATCTATGAACTTAAACAAATATTAATACCATATGTCGTTTATTACACCAGGAACTGAACCGTCTTCGTAGAGCCGCTATCTCGCTCGGGTTTTCAGAGCTTCTCACTTGCGTTAGTAACGCCTTGGAGCGTGAGCGCACTGCGTTGCCGAGCTCAGCGCCACAAGAGTGTTCACTGCAGTTGGCTCATGCTGCTGCAGCATTGCGCGATTCAAGAACAGCATTGGATATCAAACATGTACTGCAGCCTCTGGCTGCTAATTTCACCGTGTCATCCATGTCTCATTAATTACAATCCATATTGAAGTTTTATATATATTTGTAAATGATACCATTATTAAATCATTTTCTCTGATTTTTATTTGTATTTCTGTATATAATTTTTCATATTCTTAATATTTGTGAACTAAGGTTATAAGTAGGATGCCTGCCTGCTTGCATGCCTGGGTGACTGCACTAATGGTAAATACTGTCGGAACATCGAAAAGAAATCTAATCCGTTTTTTCCATAATGGCGAAAATATCATGATAAAACGATTACTTGTCTAATGACAACAATCGAGAAGATTCTACCCAGAAAAAATAAAATAATTACGATTGATCATGTGCAACAACTTTGTTTATATAGACCTGAGAGAATGTAAGGTATGATCAATAATATCCATTCATCCATGGGAGAAAAGGATTGTTAGTAATGAGGACTAAAACCATATTGTTAGCATTGTACCATGTCAGGTTGATCTCCACGCGGTTCCCCCTAGAAACCATAATGATAAATTCATATTGAATTTACCACAATGGGCTAACTGACCTGACTTCATGCTCATCCTATCATCCACCACTGGTGTCCCGCCAGCGAAAACCGCTAGCTTAGGTAGGTGTACCATTCCATTATCATCTATAGGAATAATATCCATTACTAACAATCTGCTCCCATTGTAAACATCAATATTTTTAGACATAGCTAAAAATAATTAAAACGATCTGTTTTTTATTAATGATAGTTAAAATATAGAAGACTTAAAGCTTATATAACCCAGCCGTAAATTTTAAACCTGAATTAAAAAATACAGGAAATTGTCAACTGACATATGTCATAATTATTTGTCATTGTTTGTCAAATTTGAACTGAACGCTAATATTTATTTTTTTACATTGATTTTTGTAAAGATCGTGTTTTAATTATTGTTTATAATATATACAATAAATAAAAAGTTGCAAATTATGTTCCACTTACTATTTATACGAAAATAGGGAAATGATTTTCAAATTGTTAGGTATTGTGTGTCTTTCATGTTTACCGTTTATCTTCAGTTTACGCGGCGAATTTGTTTTCGATGATTCTGAAGCTATTCTTAAAAATAAAGATATATCATCAGAGTCATGGTTTGACTGTTTCTATAATGACTTTTGGGGCACAAACATCCAAAGTAACTTAAGTCACAAATCCTATCGCCCATTGACTATTCTCTCATTCAGGTACTTATTTTTATGTATATTTATTGTACATATATAAATTGTTCACTTACTGTGTGAAGAAAACTTTCAATTAACTCTGAAATACTATTTCAATATTCTTGTGATATGTATACACAAATTTAAAATTCTTGCTTTTAGTTTAAGTGACTTAACTCCCTTTTTTTTAAATTGTACTCACTAATTGAAGAAATTTTTTATTTCAGATTGCAATACTTTCTAAATGATCGAAAGTTGTCACCTATTCAATTCAAAATTGGTAACTTGGTGTGTCATGTTATATGTTGTATATTAATTTGGCATACTTTTGAGAGTATAATAAAAACAGTAGGCAAACATGGAAAAAAGAAGTATAGTAATATAGCATATCTGGCATCTGCTATATTTGCAGTGCACCCTGTGCATGTGGAGGCAGTATGTGGCATAGTAGGTAGAGCTGATATAATAGCAGCCATGACATTTTTTCTATCTTTCATTGCCTACAATAAAGCCATCACTAGTGATAAAGTGATATATTTAGTTGCTGCTGTACTGTTGGCAACAGTTTCAATGCTGTTTAAAGAGAATGGTGTGACAGTATTGGTAAGTGTATGCATGTAGTATATTTTATAATATAATTTTTCAAAAAGATTCAAGTGTAAAGATAAACTTTTATATATTACAGACAAATAGAGAAAATCATAATATTTAATTTGTTTATTTTTACTATAATTTATAACTAGCAAATATCCTGTGGTACAGTCCACATGAATTTAAGTAAAATGTATCCTAAATGTTATTATAAAATATAGTAAATCTGGGTGACATTAAATTTAATAATGAAATAAACATTGTCCTCATAAACTTTCTCTTATCTACTATTAACTGGTTTTTAATATAGAGCTATTGCATTATATTTTTACAGGGCTTTTGTTTATGTTATGAAATTATTACAACATTACTAAGGAAAGATCTGACCAATCCAAAAAAATATTTTAAATACAAATATTTCCATTCCATATTGCGAATTGTTATTACCGCCACATCTATAATTGTAATTCTTTATGGAAGATGGATTGTTATGGGGAGTACTACACCTAATTTCAAACCAACGGACAATCCCACTGCCTTCTCAGAAAATATTTACAATAAGGTAACTGAATGATAAACTAAGTACTAATAGCTAATCATATGTAATTTCTTACATTGATCGCTGTTTGCTATTACTGACTTCAACAATACTTAACACTGCAATACTTTAAATAAATAATAATTTTTTTCTCCTAGCTGATCTAAGATGCTGTTAAGTATACAGGATCATATATGCGGGATAATGTAATTGAAGCATATATAAATTACTTGTCAATAACTAAGAGTTTCTTTATTTTGGATGCTTGATTGTTGGGCATACTTCTTCAAATACTTGTCCAAATAATAACATAACTGAAGGAGTATAAAATTCATTAGTATAAATTAAACAACAGAATTTGTTCATCAAATAATGAGTATTAAATGGATCTGTAATGTGATTTATAAACTCCTTCAACAATGCAAACTATAAACCCTACAGCAAAGATTATCTTACTGCACAATATGCAATCCTTACTGTGTTTGCAGTCAAATGAGGGTAATTTAATTCTTATTCTGAGTTATTATCATAGTCTTTTCATAATACATGATAATGTATGGAATTCCTTTTGATTTGACAACATACTATACATACTAATTTATTATATTAATACTTCTACCAATCCTCAATAATTATTTCAGATGGGGACATACAACTATATATATTTCCTGAATTGGCTATTGTTTATTTGGCCACAGTGGTTGTGTTATGACTGGTCTATGGGGTGTATACCCATAATCAAAAGCACTTTGGATTATAGACTCATGTTTGTATTGTTAATGTTTATGTATGCTATACTAATATTAATAGCAATTATAAATAAACAAAATACAAAAACATTCAAAAGGTACAGTTTAGCAGCTAATGATTAATCCAGTGTTTCAGAACCTTTTTCAGTTACTCACTACTGGGAAATTAAATACAATTCTCAATAGAACTACTAAACAGATAACATTGTTTAAGAGAGTAGTTGGCATTTATTTATCATTTTTAAATGGTTCAATGATGACTTGTGGATACCTAGATTTTCACAAACTACAGTTATGAAACACTGCATTAATATAATGGTATATGAAATAGTTTAATAAAACTATAAATTTATTTATATATTTAATTTCAGCTTTCTGCTAATAGCAGTAGGACTTATAATAGTGCCATTTTTACCGGCAGCCAACATATTATACCCAGTGGGTTTTGTTATAGCTGAGAGAATCTTATACATACCTTCTGCCGGTTATTGTTTGATGTTAAGTCTTGGTATAAATAAAATTACTGCAAGAGGGGAAACAATGAAGAAAGTATGTATTTACAAATTTATTATGATCATTATTATGACATCCTCGGTGGTCTAGCAGTTTAGCACACTCCATTACTTCCAAAGACCTGTGTGAGTTGTCCTAAAATAGAATAAATATCTTTAATTTTTAATAGCAGATTCTTTGATATGATAGTATGAGAATACATATATTGCACAAATATATGCATACGCAACTACTTAATTCTAGTCATGATTTTTATGTAACTGAAATGGCAAAGAAGCTGACGGTCCACCTGAGGATAAGTGGTAAACGTTGCCGTATACACGAACTGCAAGCACTACGGACAGCAGTCTATATTGTAACACTTGTAGTACCACACTTTTGTTGCTTTTGTGGAAGTGTAAAATTAAGGTCATGCCTATAATAGGCCTATGATTTCTCTGCCTTATTTCACCGTTTTACCGAAAAACAAGTTAACAAGCTAGTTGCTTGGTAGTAGAAATCGGTCAACCAGGGCTATCCCCGCTAACGACTTTATTCGAAATGATATGCTTATTAAATAGAGAATAATAAAAATAATACTTATAGAGAATATTACTTGTTTCTCTGTGCAAGTAAATCGAAAACCATATGTCTTATCGGACAAAGAGCGGAGCGATCTTAGAGATCAGATTGGCACTCTTTGTAATGGTACCGATCCGAAACGGCTTGACCGATCGATACCAAAATTTCTAAAAGGTCGACCTTCGGGCCTCCATCGTATACCACTCAAAAAATTCCGATCGGTCAAAGTCGCGTTTTTTTTTAAATAAACGCGCTCTGCTCAACAAATGACCATTAAAATCACATTGGAGCCAGTTAAAAAAGTAGCATTTTGTTACAGATGGTATATATACTCTTCCCTTTATTAATAGTAATTTATTTGCTCAGATGTTGGCAAAGGTCATTCGATTGGCAAAATGAGTATCAATTGTTTATAAGTGGACTATCTGTATGTCCTTTAAATGCCAAGATCCACTACAACATAGCAAAAGTAGCAGATGCTGCAAATCAAACCGATTGGGCTATTGCTGAATACAAAGAATCTTTAAGGTATTGTTGTTATATAATTTAGACACCATTATTGGATACATTACATTACAGATTAGATTTTAGTGTAACAGATTCTACTGTTACTTTCTTGCGCGACGCACTAGTTCATAGTCTTTGCTTGTTGTGCCATATAGTATAAGCCATTTTGTGTCTTTCCAAAATAGTGCCTCGCACTAAGTTAACGAACTATATAAGTTAAGTCCAGCAAATATTAAAATTAAAGTTATAAAACAGAGTATTTAGTAACAACAGGAGTTTTCAGCAAATACTATGTTTTTTTTTAAAAAGATATGCATATTTTCCAGTTTTTAGAATAAGCTCTAGAAAAATGAACTTGTTTCAAACTAAGCTTAGGATATCTATCGAAATATATAATATATATTATAATGTCGAATATACTTTCGTCAGTATATTATTTAATTTTATTATTAGAAATCTTATGGGGCGTCAAGAAGCTCTTCTTATCATGCCTCCTACTTCCGCAAGCATAATTGTTTATTATATAATATGTATTTAACATGCTTTATATTATGGGATGGAATATTTATTCCTAACATAAAGCATATTAGTATTAGGTTACGAATATATAAAAATATACGTTGTCTTAATCTTTCATTAATTCATCCATATGGTAAACCGTTTCATGTCTTTTATAAAGTGAAATTGAGTTCTATAAAATGGTATATGAAGTTATGTAGAGAGGTATAGTTGTATATCCAATCATTTGTGATATGTGTAATATAAAAATTTCCTTTATTTAATCCATTTTTTTAGATTATATCCAGAATATTACCAGGCTTCAAATAATTTGGCTAATTTACTTAAAAATCAAAAACACTTTACTGAGGCTGAAGAATATCTTAGAGCAGCTATTAAAAATAAGTAAGTATTTTATTTCGTAGTAAATTAACAAGTAGAAAATAAATCTAAATGAGGCGGATGATATACAGTCGATTAGCCTTAGAACATGGTTTATGTAGCAACCTATTTCGCCAATTGGAGTCCATCGGGACGCTAATCTCACTTGGGCAATCTAAGTACTAACCGACTGTATCAATAGCCTGAGAAAGTTTGCTTCATTTATTATAGATTTATCTTTTATTCTAATTCGGTGAAATTAAAAATAAAAATAATTTTCATTTTATATTATTTTTTTAGGCAAGATTTCTCAACCGCATGGATGAACCTAGGTATAGTACTGGCTAATACAAATCGATTTACGGAATCTGAGGATGCCTATAAAAATGCATTAAAGTATCGTAAACACTATCCAGATTGCTATTACAACTTAGGAAATTTGGTAGGTAGTAACATAAATAGAAGTAAATAAATAAGTTAATAAATCCCTAAATAAATTTATATCTACTTCATACAATTATTATGATAGAATGAAAGATTAATATTCCAAATGTCTTCGCAATCCGGCAATTAACGTTTTTTTTTTTCGATGATAATGGAATGGTGCACCCGCCTGGGCTAACGGTTTACGCTGGCAGGGCACGATGATATGATGAGCATGAGGTCAGGTCAGTTAGCGCAAGCTCACCAGGAATTTGTCACGATGGTTTCCAGAGGGAACCGCGTGGAGGTCAACCTGTCATTGTACATTGCTAGCAATGGGGTTATCAATCCACATTACTAACAATCCCCTTTCCCCCCGGCAATTAACGATTATACAAGTGAACTTAAATTTAAACACTTTTGACTAGTCATACTTTTGATTAATCTACCACTAAACCGGGAAAATTAATCCGGGATATTTAGGTTTCGAATTCACCTCTATAAAATATAAAGTTACAACAATTGTTTAAAAGAGCAACACTCCAGTTTCTTGACTGTACTTCTAGTCCTGAAAGCTGTTTCAGGACTCAGGACTTTTAAACAATTGTTGTAACTTTATATTTTATAGAGGTGAATTCGAAACCTAAATATCCCGGATTAATTAAAGTCAAAATATTAAATACATAGTTGGCTGAGTAACTAAATAAACCAGTCGTGCTGATTACAGTAGACCAGTCCCTACAAGCAGCACTCTTTCACGAGTATGATGGATGAGCCAGCCATCACTGCACTCAATCTTATTTTCACTCAACCACATCATTATTGCTAATTTATTATTATGACACTATGCATATCAGTGATCAATTAATTATACTCCTATTTCAGTATCTTAGTATGAACAGAAAGGAAAATGCTGTAGAAAGTTGGATGCAAGCTATATACTTACATTCTAAGCATGCCCTAGCTTGGATCAATTTGCTTGCTCTATTAGATAATACAGGTATGTAAATGAGTAAATTTTCTTATAAAGTAATGAATAATTATTTTATTTCTTTTTTCAGTCTTATTAGATATAAAAGTTATTCAAAATATATTTTAAAATATAGCATTACGATTGTTATGGTATGTGGCATAGTCACAGGTATTATCAATAGTCCAATTTGTGGTGAAAACAATACATAGCAAGCTGGCGAGCCAACCACAATCCCTCGAATTCATTTTTAGTTTGATATTGGTGTTACCTATTATATTATTATCTAAGATTTTTTTGTCTATGATGTAGGATGTGACAGCGCTTGGTTGTGCAGCATGAATCAAGGGGTGGCGGTAATCACTTACCATTAGATGAGCTGCAAGTTTGTTTGCCCCATATACAAAAAAAACTCAGCCAGCGCCTATTTAGGCATCCAGAATTAATTTAACAAAATGTAAACCTGTTTAATTGCGTTGATGTCTAATATATTTTCTTATTTTCAGGAAATCTAGAAAAAGCAAAAGCATTAATACCGAAAGCTGTTGCCGAATTACCGGAATCAGCACCAGTTAACTTCGCAATTGCCAACATTTATGGAAAAATGGAACGATACACTGAAGCTGAGCAATACTTTCTAAAGGCAATAAAAATTTTTGGTGATCGAGTACAAGCCATACATTATACTAATCTTGGTAATTACAGAAAGAATTACGCTATTTATCGTCGTGCTACAACTATTTTAATTACTGTTTTCATCACAATCACAACTATAAAATATATAGATAGCTTTAGATTTTCTACCAAAGAACATGTCAAACATACCCATAAACACTAAGTATATATATTTATAAAAGAAAAATCTCCATTTTAACTAATTTTTATATCTAAAGCATTTCAAAATTTAAAATTTGCTTAAGCTGTTAATAATCAAACTAATTTTACATAGAGTTAAACAGGTTTATTAGGAGTCTAAAGTTTTAGGTGATAATAATAGTAATTATGCCTCCAGTATAGTGTAGAAAGACACTGAGAGTGGCTAATAGTGGACTCCTGGCTGGTGGTTACTAATTTTATTTTAGAACCACTAGGAGTTCTATTCTTGAACAAGGGTGTCGTAATTTCGATAAAGAGTCCGATCCGGACATGGAATTGATAGAAGGCAAAATTGTTACACTATCTTTTAGTATAATTGCCATACTAAAAGATAGTGTAACAATTTTGCCTTCTATCTACAAATAACAATAAACATACATATGTAGACATCAAGCACTTTAAAAAAGTTTCATTGCCGTACAGAACATTGCTGCTAGGTAAAATAGAGATGGAAGCAATTTGTTTCAGAGTTTCGTTACTTAAATTGTGAGTATCATTTGCCTTTATTCAATTTTGTTTTCTTTCAGGAGTGTTATATCATCGTTGGAAACAATATAATTCTGCGGAAGAAATGTATAACAAGGCGTTAACACTCAACCCTATGTTCACGAGTGCTCATAAAAACTTACAAAGTTTACAAAAACTAAAACATAAATATCAATAAAAATATTACAAACTATTAGTTTTTTTTTAATGTAAAAGTATGAAATTATTCTCTTCACCCGCCTGCGGTACCGATTCCATTGGCGTATGCTCGATATACGCCAATGGTAGAAGTTATGGTAAAAGTTTTGATCAAGAGAATTTTCTATTGATAAAATGGTTAAGATCGTTGAAATTAGGCAGTGGCTGGGCAATTAGTGTTCTTCAATTTAAATGTAAAAGTGTTTCTTAACGTGTTCCGTCGCCACACAAGGGGCAATTTGAATGAAAAATTACAATATGTACAGAATCTACTAAGATGTATTTACGCGTACGTATGTAATCTTTAAAACTAAATATCTAAAATAAAAAATACTATTCAACAAATCGGTACCGCAGGTACAGCACGATCCTGCTACAGCTGGTAACATTTAAAAATTTTACATTTACACCTGTCTGATATTAAAAATAAAAACAGACTATTGGTATGTATGGATGTCAATATTTTTCTCTAATTATTGAAAATATTAATTATCGGTAGCAGTACTTTACAGTTATAATACAAAAATACTATTAAACATATGTTTTAAATAAAATAAGCATAATAGTCGTACCCTATTTGATTAAATTAGTTCCAAAAAGTTGCCAGAGACAATGAAACGAAACGAAAGTAGGCGAAGTAGTTTATGTAAAAATTCCAATTCCTTTTAAAATCCCTTCCTAAATCATAAATTACGATTCAACCAAACAACAATATTTAAAATTTTAGGCGAAGTATGGTAGAAAAGGAAGGAATCCCCCTGGGATTGACGGTATATTATTAAATTGAAATTAATGAGTATCTGAAATAATCTTAATTAAGTAAGCAAGCTTCTTAGTATGCTTTAAATTATTTGTAAAGACTATTTTTAAAATGACCGGTTTTTTATAACCGGAAGCAGAGCAGTGAGCAACCACTAGTTAGGTATGAAATGAGAGTTGGATTTGACAATTCGAAGAATGTGTTAATGTTTATTTACTAAAGTATTTTACCATGTTACAGGAATTAAATAGTCTATAATAGGTTAATAACCGTTTTTGTATGAATCAGTTTAAGCTAATACGTAGAAGTAGAGTGAAAAACAAGCATTATTTACAATAACTTAACCTACGTCTTAATCCACAATGGAATATACACCGGCATTGTCAGCTTTTAAAGGTTTATTTTTATCTGCAGACAACGTTTATTCATTTTCTAAATTGACAGCAAAAGGCGGTAAGTATCTTTTAAAACTCCTAATTAATTATGTTTACATCTTTAAAAGAATCCTATTAACATATATATTTTATTTTATGCAGGCAATGAAGAAAAATTTAAATATATAATTAGTCGTATATACAAATTTCTCGAAGAAGCTGATTACGTTAATAAAGATGGAAAGGGAATCATAGAAAGCTCGATATCAAAGTTAAGACAGCTATCATTATTTATAATATTAAATGCCGACTTACCGTCATTAAAGGAGATTGAAGAAATTGATGAATTAGAAATGTTTGTATGGGCAGTACCCACGATATCCAAATGTCTTATGTGCGAATTGTTCTGGAAACTTCATTTTGATATATTTGTATATGAATTAATTGCATACTCTAATCCCCAACTGAGTTTGGAAATCATGACTGCATTTACTGACAATATTAAATATTATACTCCTCATGAATGTCTAGACAAATTGAAAGTCATTAATATTGCAACTCACAAACTTATATGTAGGTTGAATCTCTTTAATTATGAAGAAAATATATTATCAGATAAACTAACAAAGGCTTTTAATAATTTTCAAAAATGCCTTGAATATTTCACAGTGCCTCCTAAAGCTGAAAAGCTTAATAATCTTAGTAAAGATGAAATGTATAAATACAATGGTTACTGTATACATACAATGCTACTACTCATTAATGAGTGTATGGAACAGTACATGGCAATTCCAGATTTATATCCAAATGACATTGGTGAGTTCTACACATTGACACATACAGGAGGAACTAGCGTGAATAGAGTAGAGTTCATAGTGTCTGATAGTCCCAATACAATAATATTAGATTGTTTGAAGAAGTGTTACATTATGCTTCTTGACAAATTTCAGCAGTTAGTCATGGGTGTCAGCATAAATATATTTTGTGCTTGGAGTGAATTTACACTAAATGATAGGAGTATGCAACAAACAATTGGAGAAATGTGTTTTAAAACGCGTAATATTTTATTGAATGTTGCGAGTATCTCAGACCATCCAGTTATAGATATGATACAGCAGATAGCCTGCAAGCCATTGGAGAGCCTCGATTGGAGAGACCTAATTAACTCAACGGATTCTGCTGCTATCATTGATAGCATCAACAGCAACAATCAAGACAAAGCAGCATGCTTGATGGCATTAATACATAAACAGAATTTATTCCAAGACAATAATCTTATTAAATGTCTCTCTTCTAATATACAATTCCTAAATGAAGAGGCTTGCTATGAGCTATTTCATATCATAAAAAATAATTTAAACTGTAGTCCACAAAATAAAGAATTATTAGAAAATCTTGCAGTCAAATCATTTCAGCACTGTAGTGTTGATAAAAAACATGAAATACTCGCCGAGCATTTTAGCAATAAGACTTTTGTTGACATGACTGAAAATATAGAATTTGATACTATATTGATGGAAACATTTAACAAATTCATTATTTCACCAAACACTGATATGTCTGATATACTTCATGTTTTTCTTCAAAATCCTAGACGAGTTTACAGAGAGATATTCAAACTGGCTGCTGAAAATATTCAACAAACAAATATTATGCTGGAAGGAATGAAGTTATTGCAAAACTATTCAAGTCATTATTACAGTTCTGACACAGAGCCTTGTATTGTTCTTGTGGTACAGGATTGTTTAGATAATTTTGAACAGCCTAAAATAGAAAAACTATTAAGTTTTCTGTGTGGTTTGAAAAATTGCAATTGTATAACAGGGCCAAAGTTGCTCCTTTTAATTATTATGCCAAAGTTACACAAAGCTTTGATAGATAAGCATTTGGAATGTCTTTATACACAAAGTAAGTTATTGTATGAGGCATACAGTCTTGACGAATTATTAGAATATAGAGCACCATTACTGGCTATGTTGGCTCAAATGCTTGATGTTGTTCGCTGGAAAATAAACACATTTGAGCCGGCAGCCCCAAAAGCTCTACAATCTATATTACAGCTACAAATTCTGCTATTTAATACATATTCATCTGAAATACCTGGTAAGTAATTAGCAACATTACATATTTACATATCTAAGTAAATATATTTGTATAATTAGATAAAATTTTATTTTAAAATATAAGTTGTTAATTTTGTTTACAGAAAACGAAAGCAATTGGTTAAAAAATAAAGTGAGGAATATGCAACCACTAAATATGTATTATTATCGAAAATTATGGAATCCACCAGGCAGGAACTTCCTTGAAGTAGTGACCAATAAGCAAATACACAAGGACATAGACAAAGAACAGTTGGCTACATGGTTATCACAGGTGACTGTTAAAGAATACAAAAAATACAATCTGAATATTACATTATATAGGAGAATAGTGTATTTTTTTTTTATTTCATGTGACTGCAATAGTATACTAGGTGACAGCCCATCAGATGACAATAGTCCCTGATTATAGCAACAGCACCACAGACATGACAGCCTCTGTGGTCTAGCACTTTAATACATCATCCTTACTTTCAATGCTCACTGGTTCGATTGCTTAATTAGTACAAACATAAATTCATGAGGTTATTTGTATCTGTCTGGGTGTTTATTATATATAATAATAAAAATACTTAGCGAGCGTAGGGTTAGAAATGTAACACAGAGCGCTAGGTGGGTGTGGTACACCCAGATAGTAATTGTGTGGTTTTTATACACTATTATTACTAATACCTGTTTTCTTGAATACTAAACTGATATTTACTTCTATATTGGATTACTTAACTTAAGGGTGAAATAAAAAAAATAATTATTATTATTCTTATTTTTTTATGTGATACAAAATTAACAATTCGTACATATATTTATTAATTAAAGCCAATTATTATCACTTTCTGTCAAAAATATGAAAATAAACACCACATATAGTATTTTTTCTTTTAATACATTAAATATGAAAACAAAATAATACTTTTGCTGGGTCATAAAATTAATAAAAAAATATTCATTCATCTTGAGATTTTGTGCATTTTTTATAGATGAAAATGGCATGTACCATACATAGATAAGGGCTGCACTGCTAATAAAACGTATTTAAGCCTTTTTTTTATGGTATTTCACATTTCTATATAGATCTGGCTACTTTTGTAGTGGTTCTTTTGAGGCTTCTCCAGCATGTTTTTGGATTTTTTATGAAGTTCTGTAGACAACTTTTGATTTTCATTCATATTTCATATTTCGTAAATGTTCTCAAATCAATTATATTCCCAGGACTATAATGAAATCTCGACGTTTCACTGATGAATTGACATTGGTTGAAATGATTATCATGCTATTTATTCCTGACATATTCAAAATTGAATAAAAAATTACCCCTGGTCATCTTTACATATTGTGTCAAAATTGCTACACAATTGGACCTGACCTGTTAACCATTTCATACCGATTTTCCCCAACAACCATTACCTTCGCTATCATTCTCTTCTAATTCTACATGCTGTTCTTCGTCATCTAACTCCTGCTTTATCTAACTTTCGAAGTTTCTTTCACTAACATTATGTATATCTTGCTCACAACCAGATTCGTCAGAAAAACTGACTTCAGCTCCTTCAAAAAGGCGTAATAACCTGTTTTAGTTGTCCTCGTACGACATTCTAGATTTTATCATAATAATAAATTAAAACAATGCACTAAGTAAAAGAAAGAAAATAAAATGTGTTTGTTAATATTGCTACACAATTGGAACCTTACGCTCGCCGGGTTAAAAAGGATACACATACAAAAAAGCAATATGTAACAGTTCAAAATCTATAATTTGAATGTATTTAAAAAGTATCACAAGCTCTACTTATCTTGCGACTAAATAGCGCTGTATGAACTGTCCTGAGATATTATTATTATTGGTGAACCCTGCGGCATCCTCATGGGTTATGATTCCAGAGGACTGTATTAATCCTCCATGCTCTCTAATATTAATGCCATTTCTCACCACCTCTGTCAAATGAAATACAGCTTACAAAGTAAGCTTCTTGGCGGCTGAAATAGGTGAAATAATGGTACCAACCCAGATGACTCCCTCGGATAATGACATTAAAATGGTGAAAGGACTCATGAAACTTTAGTCCTCTGGAATAGAAATCCATAGGCAATACCATAGGTACTTCATGACAGGATATACGATGTTCCTACATATTGGCTATAGTTTCCGCTTACCATCAGATGCACCAAATTAGTATTCATTATCATCATCATCATCAGACCACTACAGTCCACTGTTGGACATAGGCAGCTCCCAAGGCACGATTCTAAGCCCTGTCATATTCTGGTACATCTGATAGGAAACGATTTTTATATTCTGTGGTCGCTTACTACCTACAACACTAGTGTTAGCACATGCACAATATATAATAATTATTACAACCATATCCATATAATTACAAAAGTGTCTGTGTGTATCTTGAGTTTGATAAAATCTTAATTAAATTTGACATGAAGATTATCCTACAATTTCGCGGCAAATAATCAATCCGCAATATAATCAATCATTCTTGCATTTTGTTTGCAGTATGTTACCTGCAACTCTACCGTCCTCTTTCAGAGAAATGTAGTATAAATTTTAGTAAAAAATATGTTTTTATGTATTGACCACATTTTAATTCTCGATATCTTTGTGGTCTATGTCTGGGTAATACTCAAACAAGGCCAAGTTATCCTCGACAAAATTTGCATTGCATTAATAAACATAGAAATTTACCAATATAACCTGTCGAAAATTTATGTTTTGCTAAGAGTTATTGAAAGAGAATAAATTTTTATTTACTTCAGTATAAAACATTATTTCTGTCGGACATTATCAGTTACTACGCCGACCCCAAATAAATGGGATAAGGAAGAAGCAGATGATGATGACTATGAGTTATGATTTTATTTTCCGACTGATGCTAGCGCCTGTATACAGTTTGTGTAGGCATGTATATTGTAGGTCGCCATCTATAGATGATGATCAAATGACTCGACAATGATAATGCTCAATGCTCCTATGTGACCATCTACTGTTTGATTAAGGAAATAATTAACAAAATAATATGTATTGAAATAATTCCCAATATGAATAATTTCCCCTTTGTTTTTAACCTATTTTTACAAATTTTCTTTAGCCTATATGTAGACCCATATTTAACAAATTATTCTGTTAAAATTTCGTAGTTATTTCTCAAGCCAATTGAAAAAGAGCCAATTTCACACGAGATATTAACATACAAACAAACCGTTTTCGCCTCGTTACAATTTTACGGTTTATTATATGTAAAGATAAGTAAACAGTTTTAAGAAGTATATTTTTCTTTTAGATTATTTGTTCAAGTAATCAAGAGGAGTGGTGTGAATTATGGGACAGTATAAGCATATTTTCATACACAGTGATATTGGATATATTTCATGACGCGATGTCACTAATCACTATAGCTGAGGGAGCCAACAGCACACCGAACACTTGGCAATGTTTGCAGTACTGCTACAGAAATTTCGTTTTCACTATAAGGGTATGTAACAACGCAACGATTTATCTTATCTCGATTAGAGGGATTACAAAATCAATAAATATCGAAACCGTGATATGAGTTTTCGCCTAAAAGAATTTGGTCATGAAAATCCTGACAATAGTTGGCTGAACGTCTGAAGACGTCTGGCATATAACAAAAAAATAAGCAAATCTTTTATGGTATATTTTTAATATCAATGGTCAATGACTTCATGTTCTTATATGGCTATATTTTTACTGCACGGCAAATAAAGAAATCGGGTATACTTATATATACACCCGATGAAATGTGGCTATTCTAGACAGCGTCTAGAAAAATCACATGGAGGTCGATCTAAGTGGGTTTTTAAAGGCCTTAAAGGGTTATTTAATTAACTTAGCGCGCGGTATTTATTCGCAAGGCACTATGATTCCCAGGGACCCATTACTAACAATCCCTTTCACTCCCGAACTAAGGGGATTATTATGATATAGAAGAATAGAAAGTATAATAGAATATACCCTGTATTGCTAGTAGATAGTAAAAATATATGTAAATTTATACTTACCAGTATGCAAAAAAACTACAGATGCAGGTTACTTAAATGTAAGTCTTGTGTAAATATCTAATGTTTAAATTTGTATTTTCCAGTATAAATTCTTTAAGGAACCTCTAACTAATGATCAAGTGTCGACCGTTGTTGATAAAATGTCGATTACAACCAATCTTATGGGCGAGAATCACATAGAAGAGATGGGAACAATTTTACTACCTTTATTTGCGTACATGGCTGAAAGGAAAAATGATTACAATATAAATTTGTCGCATTACATGCATAACAAGCTCAGACATTCCAAGTTTGCTGACACAGTGACTAAAGTGTTCCTCAATGGTAATCTCTGAAATGGAATAACTACTATTTTACGTTACATATTTGGTTTTCTTTTTGTAAATCCGTATATATTTTTTATTGTTCATTATATGTAACTCTGTACATTTTACAGCATAAAAAGAGATGTTCTGTGGCCAAAAATTATTGTTTCACTTTTTTTTGTTATTTAAGAGGCACTTCTCTGTATATTACAGTACTAGCGGCACGTCCCGGCTTAGCACGGGTGGAAATTTTTACATTTTTATGTGATCTTCTAGCAAACCTATATCTTGGTGAGCAGCTTTGTAAGTTTCTTTAACAATTCCATCTGTCTTTAAGTCCTGAAACGATGTTGGTTCACGTACATGATGAAGTAGTATCCTGAGAAAAAAACCTGACTGGGAAGGATGAATACTGTATACTCTTCCCAGTGCCGCATCTTTTTTTATGCCGGGGTGTACAACTACGTCTTGCCCACGTTTCCTTCTAGAAAATTTATTGTTAGTATTTAGTAGAGTTGTAGCAAATCCGTTCAAAACTTCTGCATAGGTCAAAAAATGCCGTGAGTGTCGTTTTTGGTGGATTTTCTACAATTTAGGTATATGTTTTCCGCTGAGAAGTCTATTCGTTGTCCGTTGCCTAAGCGTACCGATCAGTGTACTACGGTAGGGTGTCTGTCATATATATATATAAACTCTAATAACCTCAACACTGTTCAGATGTACTGACTGCTGTTTAAATAATTTTCAACTTCGTCATGAGCATTTCAGACACTGAAAATTGCTTGATCCGATGAATGGAATATACACCTACAATTTGAAAAATTCAGAAAGTAATCTGCAGGTATTGAAACAATTTTGTATACAAAATAATTTATTTGGATTAATAAATAGGTATGAATAACAAGTACAATGCGACAGCGTTATTTTTTCTATTTCTATAACCTATGAAATTCGTAATATCTATTGAATGTTGTAGCCGATTTCAACAATTCAAAAAGAAACACAAATTGAAACAGTTTGAAAACAATAGGATTTATTTAGATAAGGATTTAAACAGAAGTATGAATAGTTTGGTCGGTATATCTATCAACTTTTAAAATGTAAAAAGTGGTTATTGTGACATAATAGTTGGATATCGCGAATTTTTTTGTAGTTATATTGTCTTCAATATTGTTGAACATACTTCTGTTCTATCACCAATAGTTTCCGCTGTGCACGCGACGAAAGATATTTTATAGCATTATGAAGATGAGCTCTCATATTCATCCGTAATTTTAAACTTTCAATTAAAGACCATAAGGGAGACGATTTCAAGCGTACCGTTATGATATCTGCTCGCGTACCTACGGTAATGACAGGGAGAGTCTGTTTGGAAATCCCCAGTAAATTCAAAAGTAATCCCGCCCATGAGAGCAGAGCAATTTCTAAGATCTTTTAAGGTACTATCCACGGCCTCTATATGTGCTCTATGGCTTATGGTGCATTCATCCCACAAAGGCATCTTGTAGTAATTTACAAAGAGGCCCATTTTTGTAGATAGAACATGTAGATTGTTGCTCAAGATTTACGGATAGCGGAAGTTTAAAAGTAGAATGAACAGGTTTTCCATTCTTTAAGAGACTTGCAGCAATTCTTGACGAAGTAACTATCGCTATCTTCCCTGATTATCTTAGCAAGTATCCCCTCCCATACCCCAGTGACGCCCCTACATCGCATTTGGCTTATAGCTAGCCGAGCAGGGTTTATTTCTAATACTTACATTTTTAAATACGTGATATCTTTCGAATGGAATGTCCAAATTGAATAATTCAAAAAGTTATGTAAAGGTATAACCAGTCGTGAATATGAAGTAATTTAATAAGGGTTAATAACAAGATATAAATAAAGGGCTTATTCTAACGGCGGCATTTAAATTAAATTTATAAATTAATAAAAACAGTTATTGTGATATAACTATAATAGTTGGACATATGCTGTCGCGACACTTTTTGTAGATAACGATGTGTTCTACAAAGTCGTAGTACATCAATTTGTTCTATCATCAATACTTTTTGCAGCGCACGCGGTGTTAAGTATTTTTTATGTAATATTTTTACACCTTGGGTTACATTATTGGAATTTTAGTAAGGATCCTTAATTTTTTTTTGTAAATATATGCCTGCCTATGTTACTCAGGGATAGTGTAGCTTCCTAATGGTGAATGAATTATTCAAGTCAGTCCAGTAGTTTCGGAGCCTATTCAATACAAACACACACAAAAATACAAATCTTTCCCCTTTATAATATTACTAGACTAGACTAGATGAAAACCCGGCTTCGTTCGGGTGAAATGTGGGTAGATATTTCTGTAGCCATCGGTTCTCAAGGAAAATGAAAGGTAAGCAAGGCATAGATTCGTATAGCTTCGTTCATTGTGTTTAATAAATATAGTAAATAAAAAGTGCAAAAACAAATAATTTTTAAATCAACATTCAAAATAAATTAACAAAACATATAACTTTTAAGATTTATTCTCTGTAAACCTCTTTGTTTTAAGCACTCTCTACTTTGGCAGATGTTTAAAACCAATTGCTTTATCTTTCCCATTCTTGATCGTCAACTGGAAGTAAATAAGTACTTATTTTATTCACTTTAAAAAGAAAACATAGAACAAATTTCACTTAAAAACGCAATCTGTATGTAGGGAACATACAGACCTACTAAAATACTACTCACCATCTTTACGAAGAGCCCTTCGCTGCACCCACTTTCCACAATTGTGACAATGTTTACCAAAAGCAAAGGGGATTCGCATGTTAACAAAATGATATAGGTATCATCAAACAAAGACACGACCAATGAAATATTTTATGAAATACTTACGATTTTCGGCATAATGTGTATAGTGTTCACTTATTTGTTATTTATGTCTTCTTGTATGTAAGTTGTTATCGACGTAATATCGGCTCGTTAGCCATAGCTCCACGTCTTTACCCCGCGGCGCTTGCGCAGGGAATCCCTTCCCTCTTGCGCACGGCGGTCCGTGTACGCTCGGCTCGAGACGATAGATAATAAACTGCTAGTGTTTCCACATACACTACAACTCTCTCCTTTTTAAGTTTATTTTCTTTTCAAGCATGAATCAATCCACTCTATTAGGTATTTGTTCCTTGGAGGCATGTGTGCTACGTTACAACGATGGTGGACTCATTTTGACACTATACTGCCACACATAAGCCGAATGCCTCTAGTGCGATTGGCCTTTCCAGCGTAACCAGCACCGTGATTCTTCCTCCTCTTTTGAATATAAATTACATTTATATATTAACTCCAATTTACTCTGTGTTTCACATACTTCACCTTTCTTCTTTTATATTTGTTTTCATATAATCGTTATTCCACTTTGTTATTGTGTAATATTATGTAAGATTAGTATAAAGCACTTCTGAAAAAATGTTGTATGTTTATGACCAGAATATCTCTATCATAGTAGTCACTACTTTATATTTTGTAGGTTTAAGGTAAATACTTATATTTTTTTCCATTCTATCTGTCTCATGCAATGTGTTATTTACATGTAGTATTTTTCTTTATCATGTAGATTTGAAAACTGATTATCTAAAACATAATCTGGAATTTCTTCAAAACTCCCCACTATTTATTATTATCATTCCATAAAATATTGATGGGTCCTGTGGTGGTATACCAGAATATTATTATTATATCAAGAGTTACATCAACAATTGCAAACGACTTTCCACTATATTCTATCTACACATCTGATATCAGTCCATGTAGTATTAATTGGGTATAACTATAACCATTCTTCATCGTACCAAAATTATCTCTCTTATCACCTGCATTAATTCAGTGCTAAAATATTAGGAAAGGTTGTCCGACCAGTCTTTGAGCGATCGACATATACCACATATATCACCACGGCGACTCTACGTACTCCAGCAATCGTCAATTATATTAGTTATAGAAATTATGTTTTCGACCAAAATTAATTTGTGTCCTATGACTTTTGATTTATTATATTTTACTGAATCCGCTCCATTTCACTCCGATAATTAATATGCATTAAAACTGGCAATTTTTGATTACTTACATATATTCAACCGCAATTTAATGCAACATTCTATCAATTTACTTTTAAGGAATGGGACACCATTCATCAATACACAATACAATGCTTGATGACCCCGCAAAAGACAATTTAACACAAACTGGACGTTAATACGCAATTTAATGCCTGATGGCCCAGCCAACGCAATTTAATGCAATCTGTCCATTAGTTCGCAATTTAATGCCTGATGGCCCAGCCAACGCAATTTATAGAAATCTGTCCATCAGTTCGCAATTTAATGCCTGATGGCCCAGCCAACGCAATTTAATGCAATCTGTCCATCAGTTCGCAATTTAATGCCTGATGGCCCAGCCAACGCAATTTAACGCAATCTGTCCATCAGTTCGCAATTTAATGCCTGATGGCCCAGCCAACGCAATTTAATGCAATCTGTCCATCAGTTCGCAATTTAATGCTTGACGGCCCAGTCTACCTTACCTCTGTAGCTCCTTTTTTAGAATATCAATGCCATTGTCACCGTCATTATCACTCCATTGAACTTCTTAATTCATCCTCTTTAAGTATTGGTTATTAGTATTATGCTCATTGTTTTTCTTCCTTTGCTAATTTCTTTAAGGTCATCAAATTTTCTAAGAATGTCTAATCAAAATCAAAATAATAATCTTTAGACCACTTAGGTGGTTTTACAATTCTTTTACTCCTTTTCCCTTCTGTCGTATTAGGACTATCAAATCTATTAGGTTCACTATTATTAATACAATTATCTTCCCTATTTGGATGGGATTGTGTGCTACCCTGAGTTTCATGATCATCCATAATTGATTCATCATTACTGTTACTTTCGCTTTGAACTATATCTTTTGCAACATTACTAGTGCTCTCTTGAACTTGACTTTGTTGATCATCAAACTCTGGATATATCACATGTGGACAAGACTGCTGGGTAATAACCCTTCCATCACAAACCAATTTATCATTGTTTATACACTCATCACTAAAATACACAGGTTCAGTCCTTTTTAAATCACTATTATGGGACAACCTTAAATGAATAGAATTTCTTACAAAAATATTTCCAGTTTGTGTATTTTTCACTTTATATGAACGACTATTTAATATCTCGACAATTTGACCAGGTTCCCATAATCGTGAGTTCGTGTTCCATATCATAACATTATCACCGGGATTAAACATTTTGGCTGGCGATGCGTTATAATTTTAAAATTTTTTCATATTCTGCCTCTTTGACATTTGTTGAGCATGTGCATTATTTATAATAACCTGTGGTTCCAAATGTTTTTTCACAGTGGGTAATTTAGATCTTAACAGCCTATTCATTAACATCTGACTTGGCGAGTAATCTGTCCCTGCCATTGGAGTTACACGATATTCTAATAAAGCTTCATAAATCTCTTTTTGTGATACATTACATTTTGTAATGATCTTTTTGGCTATACATACAACCTTTTCAGCTAAACCATTGACCAATGAATTATTTCTATATTATATTCCTTACAAAATAAATGTAGTTGTTCTGCTATTGAATGGGCTGTTATCACAAATTATTTGTTTTGGAATGCCATGAACAGAAAATAGTTGTAACAATTTTAAACTGATTTCTTCTATTGACTTAGATTTTAACAGAATTTCCTCAAACCACTTTGAAAAATAATCTACTGTTATTAAATAATTTTTCCATTATACTCTGCAATATCCATTCCTAGCTTCAAAAATGGTAACTTAGGTATTTCATGATTTATTAGTGTCTGTTTTCTATTTGCAGATTGAAGTTGTTCACAAGACAAACACTTTTTAACATAATTTTCTATCATAGCTGACATATTCGGCTAATAAAGTAAGGACCTTGCTCTTTTCAAATGATCTGCATATTGAAATAGTTTTTTCTAAAGATAAGTCAGATTCCCTTAAAAGCCTTTCTTGCAGAGATCTATCGTTTACACCTATAATCATGACATCTCTAAGTAAAGATTGTTGCTGATTCCCAAATTCACATTTATCTGATATTAGTTTCAGTTCCGTGTAAAAATTGTCACAGGACTTTCGCTCATATTGCGTTCTTTTGAAAAATTTAAACCTATGAAACACTGTATGTTTTCTTGGTTCGCAATAATGATTAAATTTCGTATATATTACCTTCAATGACAAATTATCTTTTTCTTCTGTCGTAAACTCAAATGTGTTGTATATCTTAAGTGCTTCTGTTCCAATGCATGATAAGAACATTGCGATTTTCACTTTTTCATCCTTTTTCTCGTATTCGTTGGCCGTAATAAATAATTGAAATTTTTGTAAAAACGTCGACCAATTTAAGGCCAAATCTCCATCCAACGATAAGCTTGTTGGCGGTTTGAACTCCATTTTTTGTTATAACACCTGACACCATGTGTAGTTTTGTATTAATTAATTTAATTTAAACTCGTCAGTTATCTCTAGAAAAACCGTTTATTTCGTAACTTGTCTTAAATCTATTTTTAGTACACACTCAATGCTCTGTGGGTCCGGAGTCGCCATAGACTATATTAATATATTCTTTTAAGTCGTTTATCACTAATACATTACATTACACACAGAGGGCACGGGTCAATCAAACTGAAGGGATCGTTACAGATCCCTCCAACATCAAAACCCTCTCCGAGGCTGAAACATACCGGTATCTGGGCATGTCACAAAACATCGGTGTGAGGGAGACGGATATGAAATAGTCAGTCCGTGAGAATTTTTTTGCGCGCCTTACAAGAGTACTGAAAAGTTCCTTGTCGGGTGCCAATAAGATCCGAGCATACAACGGCTGGGTCATACCCGTACTCCTTTACACTTTTGGCGTGCTCAGATGGTCTCAAACTGAACTCGAAGCCCTGGATCAGAAAGTCCGCACAACTATGACCCTCCATAGAATGCATCACCCGAAATCGTCAGTCATGAGGCTGTACATCCCACGGAAGGCTGGTGGTCGAGGCTTGTTAAGCGTTAAGACCATGCACAACCGCGAGATTGACAGCCTCAGGACATATTTTCTGGAGAAAAGAGACGAGGGTTTGCATAGAGAGGTCATAGAATGTGACAAAGGATTCACCCCTCTTTCTCTGGCTAAAGAGGACTGGCGAAAACCTGAACTCCTGGGTACCTCTCAGCGGGAGGCCGTATGGAAAGAGAAGGAGTTGCACGGAAGGTTCTTCAAAGCCCGCCACGGGGCATACGTCAACACGAAGACCTCCGTGCGCTGGCTACAATTCGGTGATCTCTTCGGAGAGAGCGAGGGTTCTGTCTGTGCAATACAGGATCAGGTGGTCAAGACGAACAATTACCGAAAGCACATTCTGAAGGATGGCACTGAGGACATCTGTCGGGCATGTCGCCATCCCGGTGAGTCACTCAGACATGTGCTTTCGAGTTGTTCAGCTCTTGCCAACACTGAGTACTTGCACAGACACAACCAGGTAGCCAAAATACTCCATCAAGAACTTGCTCTGAAATACGGCCTCGCGAATGAGAGGTTGCCGTACTATAAGTACGAGCCCCATCCGGTCCTCGAAAGCGACAGCGTCAGGCTCTACTGGGACCGATCCATCATCACGGACAGGACCGTTCTTGCGAACAAACCTGATATCGTGGTGATGGATGGGGCACTCTCGAGGGTGTTTTTGGTGGACATCACCATACCGCATGACGAGAACCTCGTGAAAGCCGAAACTGAGAAAAAGAGAACATATCTCGACCTGGCTCACGAGGAGACCGAAATGTGGGGGGTGGTGTCCACCGAAATCATTCCAATCGATAACGATTGGAATGACCGTTCACCGATATAAATCGGTGAACGGTCTTATCCCAACCAATCTGGAGCAACATCTCAGACCGTTGGAATTCCGAGGCGGCTCGCTCCCGGGAAAGATGCAGAAAGCGGTGCTCTTAGAATCTGCCCGCATTGTACGCCGGTTTCTCTCCTTGGGGCCCTGAACCCCGGCCGACTGTGCTTCCGCCGGGGGTAAGTTGCCATCTCCTCTCCTTAAGAGGGGAGATGAGATTTTTTTAGGAAGTTAGGAATAATATTAATAAAATAAAAAAGTCTTTGCCCTGATAACTTTTTTTACGCACGCTGGTTCTGTAATTTTACTTTATTTTATCTATGAGTTGGCTAATTTATCTTTATTTATGTCCTTTCCATTACTACCATTCTTGTTTGACTACACAGTCTTACATAACGTGTCAAAAACCCTCCACAATCACCAACTTCTTTTTTTTCCTCACACTTGTTACCCTAACTTTATTCAATGGGGGTATTTAGTGGCGATAAAGAGAATTTGGGGGAAAACCCCAATTTAACATAACTGGGTAGCACTACACCAATCAAATAACTACTATTTAAGAGGCAGGTTGAATCAGTAATTGACTGTCTACTGATAATATAAATGCAAAAGTAATTCTATTCTGAAATTTAATAAAAATTGGATAAATACTTTCTGAGCATAAATATAAAAATTACACAGTCTACACACACTGTTATGTATGATATAGAAAAAAATAAGTAAGATATTTTATGTCAGGTCAGACATGTATCAATAATGTTCTAATATATATAACGAACTCTTTTGATAATTTCAGCATTTTCTGTTATTGCTGTCAATTTAATGGTGTAGTACCACTACACCATTAAATTGACTGATAGTTACTTTTCTAGCTTTGAATAGGATGTCGAAATTGTCAGTTAATTTATTGCACCGTATTCGATCATAATGTTGATTTCATTTTGTAGTTGTGATGATCCCGTACAAAACTCTCATCTGAATACTGACATGTTCCCAAGTTCAAATCAGTTATGGGGAATGATAGGTACTATAGTAGTAACTGTTACATGTTGGATATTTTATACAAAGGTAGGTACTGAGATATAAAATTACTTATTCAAAACCAAAAGGTTTCATCCATTCAATCATGAAACGTAACGTAGGTACATATAAAAAAATGCTTCTATAGGTATAGGTATCGAATATGTATCTTGGAAATTCAAAGTTAATTAACGTAAAAGCACATATAAGATAATATTAAGTAATAAAAGTAAGAAAATCATAATATCATATTAAATAATAATATTATAAATGCGAAAGTGTCTATCTGTTTGTTACCTTTTCACGATAGATTGTAACACGAGAACCGACAGAAATATTAAGAATCTGAAAAAAGCATTAAAAGTATAGTTTGACATAAATCTCAGAAAATGATCTGGAAAGGGGTGAAAAAAGAAATGAAAGTTTCTGTAGACAAAATTGAGGGTAAGATCTAGTTCATACAGAACATTTTGTCTATGTTTATACTATCTATTGAACTGCTACTCTATTGATCTTTCTATATTTTCAAAATATTTCAAAGAGGATCTTATTTCGATTGTACATTGATCCTCTTAACTTTTGAGGCTAATATTTTTCGTAGGTATATGCTGTAAATAGATACTTATTTTATTCATAATTACCTTTTCCTGACTACTTTTAGTTCAGTGATAGAATATTTATGACATATAGTCTAATAGGTTCGATGAATTTTAATGAATAATCTAGCGATTAATTATATAAATGTTTTTACTATGCTCATTTGTAAAGTATAAAGATATATATATAGATTGTGAATTTATAAAAAGCATTTCATAATTGTTATCATACAGATAACATAACATTACATATTGTACTATAAATATTGTAAAACTTGTAGATCGATACCTACTCTACTCCTCTATAGGAGTTTACGATATTTGAACATAAAAGTTTCATTGAAGAAGGAACGTTAGTATCCGATGAGAAAAACTTTCTGGCGTTAACTTAGGCTTGGTAGGATCCCAAGTAGGGCCACCCAACTACCCTAGATCACCCGAGACGAGGTAGACCGGGAGGAGGGTCGCCCTGCAACATTTATCTACAGGGTGGGCCAGCGCTGCGGGAATCGCGGTAGAATGTTAATACGTAACATTGTTAAAAAAAAAGCTTTGTACAGCGTTTACTAAAAACGTGCTTTTGAATGTCTCCTAATCTCTATTTTTTTAAATAAATTAAATATTTTAAGCAGAATTAAGTAAAAATCACTCTCAATTTTATGCTTGCAATAATGCCTCGTATTTTTTATATTTACACAATCAATTCTTACAGATAGTGGTCAGAAAAATGCAGCAAAAATATTATTATCAAAACAGAACAAGAATTACATCCCCAGGACGTAAAATACGTAAGCACAGTAATAATTGAAATAAAAATACCATACATATAAAATATTTTGTTTTAATCATATTATTATAAAATATAATCTAATATGGCTCATAAGAAATATATTAAAATTTCCCAACACCCTACAACGAAAATAATATAACAAATTATAATGTTATTCCATTACTTAATGGATTTATATTATTTTGATTAATTCACCAACTATTAACATGTGAGTGCGGTGTCCTGATCACCGCTACTTTTACAGTAGCAATGATTAGGTTTTAAGGTCATTACGATCTTTTGTATAATCAAAATCTAATTATTTAATCTACAGCCAAATTGCAATACGTTTTTCTACGATGTAGTCTGGTCAACGAACAGTAAGTTTTTCAAGCTATATTCATTGATAGAAGCATTATCAGGCACTGAAAATTTGTGGTTTCACACATGCTAACGGTAGCATATTATTCATAAATCCATTAAGTAATTAAATGGACTTCCGAAAATAACACCTATTTTAATAAAATATATAATGTCATTTGCTTAATTTATAATATGAATTGTTAAATGATTATTATTAAAACTCATATTCTTTTGACTACTTGTAACAGATAATTTTGTTGCGTTTGAACACAAATATTTCTCATTTTATATTTTTTTTACCACATAAAAATGCACTTTAGGAACACTATATTATTTGTAGGATAACATAAAAGAGGAAATTATCCTATTTTCAATAACATTACACTAGCACAATATATTTTTATATAGTCACTAAAATATACGTACCTCTAGAAAGAAATTAAAATTATTGACTGGAGAGGTGAGACGCGTTTTATAATTCCTAGTTTGCCAATTTATTCAGTTCTCAGTATGACTCAAATATTAATATATATACACATACTACTTTGATAAATATTCTGATTAAAGAAATATAATAGTTAAAAATCAATAAACTTTTTTCAGTCTAATATTTTCAGTTCAAAACTTTCTAATATACAATGCACTGAATAGCCGGTGAACAGAAATGTGAAGGTTAGAAAGCTAAATTAATATTCAATACAAGGCCACGTTATTATTTACGTAATTTTTAATGTATTGTTGGTCTCTTCTTTACTGTATGTTACAAATAAATTATATTATATCTCTATCATGAACATGTTTACGATTACAGTTACAATTAGCTAACAGCTAATAAGTCAAAATAAGTAATATTAGGTCATTCAACTAAAATAATGCTAAAATTTTAATGACTTAGATAAATACAATTTTTTTTACACAAATCATTGTGTAAAGTAATATAAGTATATTTAATATCTTTGTGGTTATTGACGTTTCTATACTTATTCTGCTAACATTATAGATGTAGAACATTAGTGACAATGATATAGCTATCACGTATAAATCTGTAACATTTTAAAAAAATCTTATTATTTTGTCCCCTTAGTCGCAAAATCTAAAACCTACAAATAGTATCTAGTCATTTCCTTCGAAGAAAGAGTGTAGCTTGAAAGAAGAGAACTACATTTTATTCGCTAAAATTAACTTACCGACCATACCACATTTGTATTATCCGTCAATTATTAACTGAAGTCAATACCTGTCTATAAGATGAATAGTAAGAAACTAAATAAATGCATCATAAAACAATTTTTTTTATATTAATCATGATATTATACGTCGTATCAGTACCTCTGCGATGATATCCAATCAGCTTGCTATATTGTGTTTTAATTTGAAGTAAAAGTCATTACTAGTTTTGTATTTTTACTGCCTTGTCAACCGAATCCTTCAACCGAAATACGTGAGAATCTGGTACCCACACAGACATCTTTTTGAAAAGTCTACCTCGGTGCTGTTCATGTGTATTGGCGACGGTTACCGCGTATCATAAGTCGTTTAGCGATTTTATGAATACGAAGAGATAACCTTTAACGTAAATCGAACAAAAACACATTAATAAGTATTATTTAAAAAGTCGAACGTGTCTTTAGATAGAAATCTCTTGCAGTCTTGTAACAAGTATTTATATTCGTCATCTACGCGTCCCTTCTTCAAAAGATATACCAATATATATTGGTACGGAAACACGGGAACATTATGGCGTGCGAAGAATCGCAATTTGACCCTTTCTATTACTTTCATGTCAACAAAACAGTAATCGGCAGTGCAGCAACTTCCTGGCGTCCTGTGAACAATAATTATATAGATATATTAATGCTGTCTTTACTAGTATCTACATAAAAGCAGTAGAATATTAGATTTGTATTCTAATAATTGTACCTCATTCACACCTATTTCAGTCATCAAGCAGCCTGCCAATGCAGGTAAGCCTTGGTTGTAGGATCAATTTAGGCTATGACATTACCGGTCACGCCATTTAAGTCCTTTGGGATTGCAGTGCATGAGTGTTACCTCTTACCACCAGGTGGGCTCTTAGCTTGTTTGCTATTCCAATTTCGTAATAAAGAAAAAAATATGCATATGCTATGTGCAGCAAACTAGCTCTTTGAAATGTATTAAATGAATGTGACATTGTGTTAATAGAACATACAAATTGAGTGAATTCACCTTGGATCGTATGTAACTGGCTTCGCTTTGAGAGTTTTAAATATCATGTTGTAGTATTGTCTATATTTCTTCTTCATTATCAACACTATTTGTTTCCCTTCAAAAGGAAACTTTGCATTTAATGCTTGTAACTCTAAATGCCAAAAAACAGCTGCCTTAGCTATTTCAACACTTGTATTGTCCAATTCTAATATTTTTGGGTGTGTCATCCACTCATAAATATTTTCCTGAAAATAAATATAAATTTTAATACATACTAATAATATATAATCAAAAGTGTGGCCGTGTGTTTTTCTTTTACGTGTACCTTTTTATGACTAAACGGTTGAGTGGGTCGGAGTGAAATTTGACTTAAAGATAGATAAACATAAAAGTTTGTAGACACGTTGGAATTGGGTCCGTAATCACGCATACGACTGGACGAATTGGAACTGAATTTCGTATACAGATAGATCACACAACATATATTACCACAGTAACTTTTATGCGTGGACACAATCCACTGAATAAAACAGTATTATAATATTTATCCATTGGTACTTACTCTCATAAATTTCTTACAGCGGAAACTATCGTAAATATAGCTGACGTGCAATAACCATTTGCCCGTCGCAAGTGCACACACCATCATCCCGGTGAATGTGTCGTTTGGCAACGTTGCAATATAATGTGTAGCCAACATTTCCATTTTAGTGTTTTCAGCAACAACACCACCTAATTCATTAATCATGGACACAATTCTGTCACGATCCTATAGAAAAATTATAAATTATCATATTACATAAGCTCCAGAAGGTTCCAGGATAATTTTATATTAATTTTTTACATCACTCAAAAACTACATCGGATAAAACAAATCGGTTTTGGAATGTTATAACTAAACAAGTACATATGCTAGAAGAATATTTGCAAATATGTTTAATTTTTATAAAGTTAAAATATTAATAATTTCTATGTAGTGTCTCAAAAATAGTGCTGTCATAGACGGACCATAAAGGTACAATTTTATAATTTGTTTAGTTATTTCGGTAAATTTCAAAAATTACTTACACTAATAAATTCTGATAGCATGAACACCTTTTTGTCACAAGCACATATTAAATTCTGCTTCATTCTCCAAGATTCTTCGGAGGTACCACTCGGCGATCCATAATCACTGTCTAAAAAATAATTAAATAACTTGAATATAAATAGTAAATGTATAAATGAAGCCTGCTCTATGATAAACATTTATAACAGTAATATCACTCTAAAATTACAAATCAAATCTAACTTCATTTCGTGACTTAGGTTTAATTTTATTTACTGAATTAAATAAATTATTTACGAAAGGAAAAGTCTACTCATACATTCACTTGTATTCCTCACCGGATATTGCTTCTGGTAGACAAGCTCTTATTTTACTGGTCACCTGCATTTTGCCTCCAATAGGACTATAGTTAGTTTTCTTCTTTTGTCTATAACTCTGTAAGTACTTCCGAAATGGAAGATAATTAGACGTTTTCGCCTTACTATTTTCAATAAATTGACGAAAACTGACTTTTTTTGGTGTACTTTGTCTGCTGAAGGAACTGTTAAATTAGAAAATATTATAGATATATAAATTTAGTATGAGTTACATGTATAATATACAACCTACCAACTCATATGTATAGATTCATGAAACTGAACTAGAACCAAGAAACAAAATAGAAATCTGAATACAAATTTTGAACTTTCATATACATATAAAATATAAATTTAAATGAATATTTTCTAATTTGCTTCATAGGAAAAATATTCAGTATCATAAATACTATCACTGGCTTTGGCTTGGTATATTCTTTTGAACTAAACTTGCAAACGGCTATAAATCAAGCTCTCAATCTAGCACAACAATATCTTACACACTTAATATCATTGTACTTGTTTTACCAATTTGTATTACTGGACACCACTTACTACTTATTGTAATCTAAGTTAATTTTTTTTTCTATATAGCATATTAAACTAAACTCATTGAAAGAATGAGCTTATTTAATTTCTGCAAGATTAAAAATAATATCTAGATATGTTATAATAGACATAATACAGTAACGAATAATGACTTTAATAGAAGAACACAGTCAATATGAGTTTAATTAGCTTTTTTAATGGAATTGTATGTTTATGTATATTTACAGAAATATTATATTAGGTGTTTTGTAGTTTACCGTGTCTATTACATACAATCATATATTGGGCCAATTATAGGAATAAAATGCATATTTAAGTTTGTAATAAACAAAAGATCCAACAATAAAACAAATTGGTAAAAGTAATGATGTACATATGTATATAGTATAGAGTCCCATAGAAAGCAGAGAACCCATAAATGTAAGAAAAAGCTTGAAATATTGTTAGTTTTATATATACTTGCAAAGCATTTGATGATCCCCAGGCATGCTTACACTGGACTTTCAACTCACTCATTCCCCAATTTGGAAAAAAATGATTTAATTGGACTGGATGTCGGTGTTTGCTTTTCTTCAATTTTATTACATTCAATTTCTTGATAAATATCCTCAAAAGACCAACCTATCTGTCGGCGAACTATTTTTGGTTTCTTAGTTTGTGCATATATAGGAGCGCTATCAACACAATCTATTCCAGGGTCTATAAAGCCTGGTTGTACAGTTCGATTCTCTATTTTGAAATGGTTTATTTTCAAATGCTCTAAATACACCAATTTGTCTGTAAAAATTTCATGACATATGGGACATACAAAATGGCGCACCTTTACATTGGTGGTACACTTGTTTAAGTGTATGACATAGTCATCATATTGGTTATATTTGTCGTCACATAGTATACAGGATACATAAACCTCCGTGGATTTAGAGTCACAATCAATGTCAGCTGCTACTAATGTCTCGCTACTACTGGACCGGGGTAGTCCAATGTTTTCAATGGTGCATTTAACATGACAAGTGTGACCTCCATAATTGTTGTAAGACTCATTGCAATACACACATTTAATGGAATCAACATCACTATCAGTCTCATCACTTACTTCAAGACTATTCTGTTGAAGCATTTCAGTGTTTTTGTCTTTAACAGTGTTTTCATCATTTTCTCCCTCTATGGATCCAAATATTTCATGCATATGAAATTCTGTACTAAATAAATCATTGTAATCATCGTGAGAGTTCTTGATTATTTGTGACTCTAAAATTAAAACAATATTTTAGAGACCTTAATATTTAATTCAATTTAACCATACATTTAATGAAGACATTCAGTGTCAAAATATTATTTTCTATAAATGTTTAAAATAACTCACCAGGTGCTTTTCTTAGCAGATTGTCTATCCTTTCACACTGTAGTTTGAATAAATATGCCGTACTAAGATTCTCAATGCATGTACTGCATACACGATCTGAGAAGCCATCTCCTTCATAGATCTACATCAAAAATTATTATTATTATCATCAATCAGTTATATTCTTTAAAAAACTAATAGTCTAAATAATAATAATAGTCTTTATTGTACATAGAAGAAAATACAAGGAGAAAGATAGTAAGTTGTAAAACGATGATTAACCCTGGAAACCATTCTAATATTTTCCTGGTGAATTTCTCACAATAGGCTAATTGGCTTGACCTCATGTTCGTCTTATCTTATCGTTTTCCACTGGTGCCCTGTCAATGTAAACCGTTGGCCCAGGCGTTTATACCATTCCATTACCCATTAAAATAATATAGTGTGTAACGGTAGTCACCGCAATCCCATATCTCAGCGGGTGCACCTTCTTAATATCAAAGTACTGATATAATTTTAATGAAAATTAATTGTTAGAATACATTTAAGCTTTTATACTTACTTGAATGCTAGTGAATGACATAACCATTTCAGACAATTTTATTGTATCATCTTGTTCGTAAATTGAACAGAAATCTCCAAGTTTCAAACACAACCTGCATTTATGAAATGGATAATCCATTTATTTCTTCACTTCTCTCAAGTTGAGCTAGTTAAACAAGAACTATTATTCTATTCACTAGTAAACACAAACTTGACACCAATATACTAAATATTTAAAATTATTGAAAATTGAAATTACAAACAATGTGTAAAACGGTTATTATCAGTGTTACCAGTTATCAAGTTACTATTACCACAGATGACATAATATTACATACTATAGTCTATTTTTTATCCTAAAGAATAAATTAACAGGTATAAATACCAAATTTATGAATAATGTTTCCAGCTTTATCTGCGACACCGAGACAATATATATACTCCAGCTATAGGGACATTGGACATAAGAGAGGGGGTTGGGGGGGAGGGGGAGAGAATACGTAATGACAGATTTACAATTTAAATTGAACCCATATGAGAACCGACAGAATTTGGAAATGTCTGTCAGCACTCATGTGGCTAGAAATTTCCACATTCTGTCGGTTCTCATGTGGGTAGGTTTAGAAATCCGACTTTTGAGTCTTCATTGGGACATGCGAAATTTGGGAGTAATCACGAGATTATATGGCAACAATAGAGAACATCGAAAGTGTATCGATTTGAAACTCGAATTACTCAAGTAAGTTTATTAGAATCGTACTCTAAATTTCGAATGACTTCAACTTTTTATTCGGTTGCGTACGATGAGTTGATTAAATTTTCGAGTGGCATACGAACTCGATTCATCAAGTCCGAGTTTGACAACCTCACTCAAAAACAGGAATCGAGTAGCACTTGGTACTTGATTTGGTACTTAGCAGTAAACAAAAATATTTATTAAACGAAATATAAAAATAGTAATTAAACCAACTTTTTATTATATTTATTTTTACGATACAATTGAATTTATAGTCAATGTTATTGGTTGTGGTCTTATATTATGAATCAGATATTTAAGCGTGTCAATTTAATTAATTTATTTTATATTTATAATTATTAGACGTCCTTACACATGTCTACTGATGTCATTAGTAATTTATATACCATAGAAATTGTTATAACAAACTTGCTTACCATGTAATTAAACGAAGTCAATATGCAACCTGAACTTTTAACTGATGTTAGTATTTATCGTAAATCATTTCCACATTTTGATCGACCTAAAGTAATAGGTTACATAGGACTGGAGAATCTTAAATTTTTGAAGCATCTTCATGATGAAGAAAAAGAAGTAAGATTTGACTTAAATCTTAATTTGGATGAAGCTAAACGTCGTCCACTGGATTTAGATGTGAAGTTAACAGACTTGTTGCTATTTTTAAGGGAACATAAATTTAGGCTTGCTTATCCATTACAAAATGCTTTAGAAAATTCAATTTTTTATTGTTACCGAGGTCTTATGACATGTATTTCATGCACACCATATGAAAATTCAGAGCCATGGAAAATTGTGGTCATATTGTATGAAGGAAATATTTATATGTGTGCCAGACCAACTGATGAAAGTCTTAAAAGAAAATATAGCATGACAGAACGGGATAAGCGTTTTCTTTCATGGGGTTATAAATTTGAGCAATTTATTTTGTCTGGTAAGTGATAACACAAATTAGTTAGTGTATCCTACACTCAATTTATATTAAGTATATGTTTTTTTCAATTAAAGTAAAAAAGATGTGAAGTACATGAATAGTATTAAAATTATTGTGAACATTTTTAATCATTACATATTTATGGATAACATTTTTATGTACAACTAATGACACACCGGGCATTCATATGAGCATGTATATTAATTTACATAAACTTTTAATGCATTATTCACCTAAATAGACTTATTTGTAAGTCTGCTTATGTATGAAAACTGCATTATCTGTTCAGCTATTTTTGTGATTATCATGGAAAAACAGATATATATAGATGGTAATAACATACTTCAATAAGCACTGACTGGAAACCGATCTGTGATTAGGTAGGTGGAATTTTCTGATATAATACACCAAGGAGCAACACATTTTAATATATTGTATAATATACCAGATATGGAAATATTTTCTTGTGTTAAACCTCTGATATTTGTATTTTTTTTAATTAAATTTCTAGACAAACCAGACACTCAACCTAATCCATATGTTCCTGTTGATGAAACTGAGGAGTTTTCATTGATATTTAAAACAAAGTTAAATAAACACACAATAGTGTATGGGGCTGAAATGGATGGAATTCATTGTGGTGGTAAATCAATACCATTACCCCCCAAAGCAGAAGGTGTGGATGCAGTTATACAATATCTGGCTACAAAAGAATTTATCGAACTAAAGACGAATAGGCATATAGAATTTAGGAGGCAAGATGAAAATTTCAGGTATCATGTTTCAATATTACTTAAAATGATGTGTCATGGATTGCGGCAATAGAAATGGTTGCTTGGTAGGGGCAATACCTAAAGTATGTCACATGTACAGAGGAAGTCAGGGTGTTGATAAAGTGTAACATTGTCTGACAAGAGCTGGTAAGGGTCCTAAATTTTGTCATGTTCAAAACCTACTGTATCTAAGTAATAAGACATAGAATTTGTATGAATCATGACTAACATAAAAATATTTGCAACTCTATCTGTATAAACATATTGTCATGTTGGCAAGTTTACACTCCATCTAGTTGTGCAAAATATGTGATAAATGTATTATTCAGTGATACTTTTAAAGTACCTAGAATAGCAAACAAACTTATTGCCTACTTGATGGTAATTGGCAAATATCGCCTACATAGGTACATAACAATACTATGATCATCACATCCTCATTATTCCTTCATAATTTCACTACAGAAAACAAAATATTTTGATGGCTGAAATTGATTTGTTCTATATGATTTATCTATTCAATATTTAATTTAATTCTATAAATGATTCCAATACCACAATTTCTGAGGTTTGACCAATTGAACAAAAAAAATTGAACCAATTGAATTAAAATAACTACAAATTTACTACACTGCATTAAAGAAAACAAAACACAAATCAGTGGAGCTGTTTTTGAGATTAGTGCACACTACCTAACAAATTTCTAACAATCATTATTTTGTACAGTTACATTGATAAAGTCCACTAATAGTTTTTCTGAAAGGTGAGCGTATTGTTAGTATTGGGAACTAATTATCCCATTGCTAGCAATGTCATATCAGGTTAGCCTCTATGCGATCCCCTTATAAACCAACCTGGTGACTTGATACAATGGGCTGATTGACTTGAATGAAGTCAATCTAACCTCCTCTTCCTTATACATACATGTCTTTCATGTACCAACATAGACTTAGTCTACTCCAATCTGTTTCTCTAGCACCTCTTACATATTTTAGACGCTACAAAACAAAGAAATGGTGGTGTCAATCATTTTTAGTTGGAATAGACAAAATACTCTGTGGATTCAGAAATGATGAAGGTATAGTTGAAAAACTGAATACCTATAGTATAAAAGATTTGGTGAAAATATCTCAGGTTAGCATATGTCAAAGTTAAACTAAAACAAACTAAAATAAGAAATATTATTTGGTATTGTTTAATTACATTACATTCCATTAAAATCAAATATAAGAAATATATTTTTAATAAATTCAGTAACTATTGAAACATATTGAATAAATGAAGTTTTACACGTATATTAATATTGAAATATACCTATGTGAAAATATAATATGGCATGTACTGTAAGGATATTTTAATTAAATATATAAAATATTATAATTTCAGAATTATTGGGATCCAAATGTTTGTTTTAATTTTATGGATACCTTTTTCACATACGTCAAAAGATGTTTGGCTCGAGAAGTAAAACGAAAACACGGCGAGAAAGCCGTTGACAACCTGCAGTCCCTCCCTATCGTATCTCTACTCCTGGAATGGAACCCAGGTATGCCAGTACGCGTTGCTGAAGACTACAATTATGAAGAGGATCCTATACTACCAGAGTGGTTCCTGAATAAAAATAATGTTTAAGTAATTAATATGAATATAATTGTTATAGATATAAAGCCTTTATTTTAATATAACATATACAAATAACATGTATTTTCTGAAACGCCGGTACTGAGAAACACTATTTTAAAATCGTTATCGTCGTCGTTACATCTGTCTGTGGGCAATAGAAATGAAATTCCTATACACATATCTACTCATATGAGTACCTCCAAGGTATTAATTACTAATTACTCATATTGATACCTTTAGGATTATTTTACGGAAACTATAAAAGTATCTGGTTTTATGTTATTTTAGGCTTCAAGTGGTTTGTTATTGACGTTTCCATTACCAGAAATTTAGTCATAAATTGACAAAGATTTTTATAGGTATATAAGCCGGGCAGATATTTCTGAAGTTAATAAATTAAACTTTAATGCGGTTATTTTTAATTCTATTAGAATTGAAGGCACATTTGTTTGTGTAGTAAAAAGAGCAGAGCTATCTTTATTATTTATGTCACGGTTACTTGTATTTACAACTTAAATTATTTTAATATTCTGTGGATCAGTATTTTAAGGAAAATAGTACAATATTAAAGTATAGTAATTTTTAAATTTATTAAATAAAAGTAAAACAACACTATGATACCATTTATTATCACTGTATAGCAAATGGTGTAAATCAACATCCATAAAAGACTAATCAACAACATGGATATTATCACTTAAAATTATATATTTTACAGTTAAAATTAAATTTCATTATACATTTATAAAAAAATAGGAATAAAAACAATAAAAAACAGAACAACATATTTTTAATACAAACAATGTCATGCATATGCCTACATAATCATATTGTATTTACATAACATTAGTTATTTTTAGTAACAAAATCTCCATCGTATGACTTCACACGTGTCATTTCAAACATCAAATAAATCATATCCTTAATAATACTTTGTAAAATTTTACTTACTCAAAAATCTTACATAAATATATTTCAAATCTATAAAATGAAATATTAAAAATAATATACAAACTATTTCCATAGTTTAAAAATGTACATGGTATTATTATTTAGCTAATTAAGTATGGGTGGTATATGCATAAATTATTACGTATTCGAGATACACGGAATGCAGTTATAGATGGCCAGGTAATATTAAATTATATGATTCTTGGACGCCGTAAAATTTTACAAAGTTATTAAAACTTGTTTTGTTATTGATCATATTTATTAGATAAAAGTAATAAAATCTATTAAGTAAAGAAACTTTTTGATAACATAAATAGTTTCGTTAGTACTACTTGATCACAAGCGTTTTGCGATATAACAAGTACATGTATATAACATTAAACATTAATTCCATTTACACGAAACAGGTAGTCTCATTCTCAACTTTAAAAGTTCAGTTAAAGTACTAGTAAATAATTGTTATAAAAGTAAAACTTAAATGTACACAATAATGTTACAACAATTAATCAACTATTACAAATTATCATTTTGTTGATGATGTATTGTGGGGAGTAGTATGGCGACAGTTAAACATCGCTGTGTTGCTTGTAACGGGAGGAAGCTTGCTATCCCCACTGCTACAATACCCAATAGGACAATGCATGAAATTGACGAACTATATATATGTATATTAACTATAGCTATTGTTATCATCAGTAGATTTCTATCAAAGCATATTATTGCAACAGCAGTAAAAGGGATAAATCTTAAAAGTAAATATTCTGTCGATTACTTTACTGTAATGCATACACTTTAATTTTGTTGTGATATTTGGTGTGGATATACATGATATAAGATAAACATGAATACTGACGATGACATTATTTATAGAATATTGTTTTATAATTATTATATTTAATATAACTAGTAATCGTATAAATGTGAAACAGATTAGATTAGGGATCTTTGGAGCGGTGGTTTAAATTTACTTTCAGTGTTATTATATAAACAATAACTTATGTTATGTATTATAAAATAGACGCAAAATGTGTATCGTTATTGATTAATAGTCTGGTAATAAAATAATTCTATTCATTTTAAATTGTAAAGCGCATATTTTGATACTTGAAAATATACTAAAATTTATATCAGCTGTTTACTGAAAGAAATTTACAATAATATGCTTACATTATTTAATAGATTTATTAAATACTTTAAAATTTTAGTACCTCAAACAATTTAACGGGACAGAGTCAAAATCAACACAATTATAATACATATGATAAAGGTATATTATAGATATGTTGATAGGGGTATAATATTCAAGTCTAATAACGTTACAAATGTTTTAATATTTTATGAATTATGTCAATGAAGCTTTTTATTTAAAACAAACAACTGAGAAATAGAATAAACACTAATTTAGATATTTACAAGACACATTAATACCTAATAAGATTACTAAAATGTACAACTTAAGAGTAGTTAGGTACTAGTCGATTTTGGTAAATTATACCAAATTGGAATAATGCTAGTGAATCTGATCACTGAGGTCTTCGTTGTCTACCTCTATCGCTTTCCCCTCTATATAACGTGAATATCATGCAAATCATTTTGAAAAATCTACAATCTTTATAACAGTCTTCGATTTCCCTTACAAATAGGTATATCCCTGTCGAATCAGTGTTATTTGTACTAGCGTTGCAACGAGTCCACTACTAAGCTTTTATCATAATAATTTTATTCAGGCACAGTTTGAGGAAAGAAACCTAAAATTGTTTCATGATCACTTGATCAATGACTTAATATTGAAATTATTTCCACAGAAGAATGTAATATATATAAAGACAAATAATTACATTAAATAACATATAAATATTCATTAGGCCGCATATAACGAGGCAAAATGACTAAAACTTGACAATAATAACTTGTAATAAATTTAAAACATACAGTTAGTAAATTATACATTAAAATTTTTGAACAGTTTTACAAACTGTCTGTTCATTGATCACTTGGACCACAAAAATAGAAGCCGGCCCTCTTTCTAAGTATTATCTTTAGTTATGATTAATGATCAATTTGACTGACGTAGGATTTCTGAATAGCAATTAAGTAGGTCACACTAAATAATCGTTTGTATGACAGAGCCATAGCACAGGAAGCTTTCCTCAGAAATCCTATGTTTTACAAGTGTGTATTTCCTACTGTAATGCGATCGGCAAGTCTATTTTCGCTACATTTTTATATCACCCTGTTTTGCTGCTAGATTGTAATCACGTTTATATTAAGCCGGCCTCAACAAGTCAACAACGTTTCGGATTCCTCCTATAAAGCTCATAGCAGCCATAAGGGCAAGTTTAAAATTTCACTTCGCATTTAATGCATAGTATTTAAATTTTGTATATTAGTAAAACTCCTATGTGATAATAAAATATATTAATTCTTTGTGCTAACTTACAATAAATTCATTTTTATAAACTATAATATGCTATTTAATATTTTCCTTACGAAAATCAATTCTAATTCACTAAGCGCGCTTGGCACGCTGCATTGGTCTGGATAAATACTACAATATCTACTACTATCATAGTTACGAAAATATTGGTGGAATATTTCATCTTCTATATATTTATCAACTATGGATTGTCACACAATGTATTAATAAAATATATATACATATATATATATATATATTTAAATTTCGATGTTTTCTGTGGTTTTTAACTACCAGAAGCTTATTATATCATTGAGGCACGTACCAACTTTAAAGGTATATATTATTATATAGATAAAAAGAAATTTAAAAAATGCTGTTCGTTATTTATATTAAACGTCTCAACATAAACTTATATAATAAGAATTACGTCCAAAAATGTGATGTATTTAATTTAATAATTAAAAGAAATTAATAAATATTTCTTTAAACTTTAAATTTTTAAACCTAATTATACATTATACGTATACATATATATATATAACGAAATAAACTGTATTTGCTGATGGAACATCCTCTTGCATTATTTATCGATTGAAGGGTAAATACACTTAGCGAAATCCGTAATATGAAGTTTTCAGTATTTAATATAATATTCATATCCAAGTACTATAATGTTTTGAGGTCATTTGATCAGATTCTCAGTACTCAATTTCTTTCACAACTAAGAAAATTACGCACTGAGGACATAAATGCGCGAAAATAATCTATATTTTACTCATAAGTTTGAGGTAAAGCGTAACTAAAATTCTGACAATAGTGGTAAATCGTATTAATGCATATGCAGAATATAATTCGTCTATAGAATCAGAAGCCTGGAGGTACATTAAAGCATAGGATATTTCAACAGCACAACACAAAACTAGAATTTTATGAACCACAGATTGTTATTCAATTATCTCTTCAAATTTAATGGAACATCACATTGATCAATACATTTATTTAATAATTGATAAGTACCTATCGCTATATCTACACATTCCACTATCATTGGGGTTGTTAATTTCTTACAATGATTTCGATAGCAAGAGTTACGAAAGTTAAATTTATTGGTAGTTTTATTGTAAACACAACAATACAAATTATCTAGTGGTATTTAGTGCTGGTTATTCAAAAGGACTTTAGCATCACGTTTGTGGATATTGGAATTATACAGATATGACATGATTTACACTAGCGTCCCGAACGACGTGATGTTTCTCATTCGTTTCATTTATTAGAAACACAAACGTCGCTCTAGCGTCCCTCAGGCATCACAGGCCGTTCGCAACGCGGTAAAAGATTTATCTCTTTAAATCATGGTCACCTTGTGACATTTTTATTTTAAACACATTCTCTATATCTTTACGTTTGATTTGACCTTACAAATTAAACGAATAACAACAATTGACACTTTAAATAGTATGACAAATACTACATTACATAATTATTGTGCGAACATAAAAATCTTGTTTTATATAATCTTAATTTCGATTAGCATATTGTGATTAGTCACTAATCAATTGAAGTTGTACTAGATTTGTATACCGTACATATATCACAATACCATGGTGCATTATATATTGACTCATTTTTGGGAGTGTGCAAGCCATATTTTAAACGAGGATGCACAAACAAAATTTGCCTTCACTGAAGGCATAAAAAAAACATTGTACTCTATATAGATAGCCAATTTTTCGGTATCTGTACAAACAAACGAATCTAACATTATATTTACAAACAGTAAAAATCAGAATGCTGACTAGAGATCGACGTTGTCGAGGTCGGCCAGCGTCAAAGGGTCCAAGATATCCTCTTGTAGCATATCATAAGGCGGTGAATTGAGTTCCTGTTCATTATCCACCACAATACCATGTATTTGAGCAGAGCCACATACAGAATTGCCATTGATAAGATAGTCTCTATTACTGTAGCTAAATACACTTCTATCTTCTGCAAGCTGTGGTGTGGACGGCACAGATTTCGAAGACATGCCATTTGATGATACATTGGAATAATTGTCTGAGGCAAACAACTCTCTAGAACGACGTGAGTCTATTTGCAGATTGGGCACAGTGCGTTTATAAGGTAAAGGCGTGCTAGGCACTGATCGGGACGTGTAATATTTACTCTTATCGGTTTCTAACTCCGTTATATCGAATTCTATGCTATTTGCTCGCTTTAAGAAATCATCAACGTGATCTGTACCAGTATTGTCATTGGAAAAACCTTGATTGAATTGACCACTCCTATTGAGTAACTCCTCGTTACTTGGTATTAAAGAATTTAAGTGTTCAGCTGAAAGCATTTGTTGTTCTGGCAGAGGATCACAACCATTTCTCAAGCCATCATTAGGGTTCAGAAGACTATCAGGAGCGCCTGTATTAAGTACATCATTACTACTATCAATAGCGTTATAAATTTTTACAAGCGTCTCTGGATTCAAACCAGCTTTAGATATGTCACAAGTTTCGGCAAGAGACCCAAAATCGCAAAATTCATTGGGAACAGGTGTTGGCGGAACGGATCCAACCGGTGTATTGTTGTAACTTAGAAGTCCCATATTATTCATGCCTTGTTTTAATGGGACAGATTGTGATCGGAAAGAAGTATCCAAACCAGGTCTATACACTGGAGTTTCTGGGAAAAACTGGCTTACTTCGCTCGATAAAGGATCAGCAGATAACGGCTGGGAAAGATCACCGTTCATATGTTCTCGAAATGGTGCATTTGGCAAAAAGTTTAGATTCAAACTGTTGCTACTTCCATTTGGTATTCCAAATGATTGACTTTTGTACTGTGAAGAAAGAATATTAGGCGATGGTGGTGCTGACATTGGCTGGCAGTATTTGTTTGGCATACATACTTGTCTTGTGATATCTTGTGGCATTTTATTCATGAATTTTTGTTCACATGGCATCACAAATTGTTTGGAGCCTGGGTCTACCATACCTAGAGATAATGGATTGCGTTTTTTGCGACCATTGTGTTTAGGGATTGGTCGCGAACAGAGTCGTGATCTTGGTACTGGAGTATTTCTTGGACTTACGAAAGGACTGGCCGCAGTACTATGGGAAATTGGAGAAGTTTGTGAAGAACCTCCCATAATGATGGATTTATTTACTTTAGTAGGACTGTGCCCTCTCGGTCCGAAGCCTATTGGAGATTTAGAATTAAAATTTCTCGGAGAATGACAGCCATCAGATATTGGTACAAAGTCGTATTGTTGTGTTCTTGTAGTTGGACTTTGTGGTTCATTATGACAATGTCCATTATACAAATGCGACCCCCCGACATTTGACATTAATTGATTAGGGGTATTATCATTCATATATAACAATGATGTACCATTCTCGGTGGTCATTGAATTTCCATGTTTGCTGCCATTTGTCCGTTGATTTAATAAAACAGGTCCATTGACTATGTCTCCTTCACTAGCTATGAGTGGTTTAAATATACCTTCAGATTTATTTGGTTGTTGCTCTTGCAAATTTTCTTTTAGTGGTTCAGTTTCCTGATTTGGCGGCATGTTATGGGAAGTGGACCCACTTTGATTTTTTAAATTTTTGGCCAATAATTCCCTTAATTGTGATATTTTCTCATTTTTACCCTGACTATGTTCGTCGTGTGGGTCCTGGCCTGCTTCTAAAAAAGCCACTGTATTTTCAGATGCATTTGTCCCCGAATCAACTTCAACTTCGGCATCGCGCTGTTGGAAATAACGTAGTAATTCTTCTTCATGTTCTTGGCTATTGCCTTCATTTAGATAATCGTCTAAATCGTGTTTATCTATATTACAGATACTAATTACCCGTTCTCTATTGAGGATTTCAGAGTGCTTTTCTTTGCAGATAATGCCCGTTTTAATATTGATCCCTAGACCACAACATGAATCGGGCGTTGCTGGTTGCTCGGGTGAGTCCGTCCGATCCGGCGAGGGTCCCCTCGTTCGGTTGGTAGTTTTCCGTTTAGTGCGTTCGGATTTAGGGGTCGGAGCCTTCACCGACTGTGTGGGACTCGCCGCCTCCTGTTCCTCCCGGACCAGCGCCGCGGCGGTGCTTTTGGACCGGCTCGTTAAGTTTTTTGGATCCTCTAAAAAAGCAGCCTCGGGACGAACTGTATGTTCGGCACTGACACCGACAGAAGTGGAAGCCGCATCGGAGCTGGCAGAAGCCAGTCGCGCGGCTGCCAGTTTACCGCCCATGATCTCGGCGGCCCTCATCTTCTTAGGTAGATACTCCGTACGCGGAAACTCCTCTGATGGCTGGTGCTGGTGTGACGACCGCGTATCGGTCTGAGAAGATCGCGGTGAACTCGCCTGAGTCTCGCTCTGGTATGTTTCCAAGATGAGTTTCTTGCCGGGAAGCGGGAGCCGCGCGGGCGGCGGTTCTGGCGGTCGTCGACGTTGCCAGTCGGTGCGCTCCGTCGACAAGTCGAGGGATGAGTCGGTGCTCAGATTTATGGGAAGGTTATGAGCCGGTTCGGAGGGGACGGTGAGATCGCGCGGTACATACGACGAGTCAAAAGCGTAGGGGTCTTGTCGATAGTCGTGGACTGGCATGGCAGGGTGGGGCGCCGGATGGGGCGCGGGATGGGGCGCGGCGTGGGGCGCGGGTGGCGCGAGGGGCGCGTGGGGCGGCGGGTGGGCGCGAGGCGGCACCGTGTGACCGGCGTATGGGAACTGCCCCCGCACCGCAGGCTCATACACGGGCACGTACGGTGGCTGGTACGCATACCCCGTATCAGAGATCACCTCACTCTCGTGTTTCACCGGCGGATGATGGCCCATGTACGAAGTCGATGGGGGAGATTCGCCGGTTGTCTCCTGGCTCTTGTTTTTCTTTGGTCGCCCAGGTGTCCCGTGCGTCTATAATATATACCATTTAATACAAGTACCAAATTCAATGAACTTTCAGAACATTCTCGAGCTGAGATAACCTTAGTTACAAATTATTGTTGTAGTAGTAGTACATTAGTAAGTTTATACTTATTTACCTGGATTTTTCGTTTCAATTGTTTCATCAACTGCCGACTGGAGGCATCGTCTGACGATCCTGAAATTAAACAACTACATTAAAATTCGTAATTATATTCTATGTATGCCGCCTTATTCTAATATTATATTCAGACCGCCTTATTTTCGATAGTGGCGAGTTCCATCGCTCGCACAAACATTATAAACACTAGATGAATAAAATTACTGTTTTAATTCATATGAACGAATATGACGAATGAGCTAGCCATCATTGACAGTATGAAATTATTTTTTATTAATAAGAAAAAATAATAATTCTGGACATATTGCAAAGACATGATATAATTATGAAAACAGTCATAGCTCGTTAAGAAACTATTTGATAAATATTTCGCGTACCAGTCGTCTGTAGAACATTATAATGTCCTTAAGGTCCAAGTTGCCTGTTATATTATTATCAATATCTTAATATTTATGTACCCTTTTTTACTTACTTCTACTTCTTTTAATATGAAATTTAAATTATGCATAAAAAGTACATTAAATCAATAAAAAAAACATTACACACACTACTTTGTATTTGACACACACACTCATGTCTGTTAAAGTCTGTAGTCAAATTGAGAATAGATTAATATTATATCGCTCAGTATACAAATATGAATCTAATATAAAAAGAAAATTGTGTAGCAGTAATCGGAATTTGAACCTTAATAATGTTCAAATAATATAATTTATATTAAATATATTCAAATTTCGACCACGGGGTGATCACTAGTCGTTGTTAAAGTATGCATTATTTATCGTATACTTTATATAATGAATATCACATATATTTACCATGGCTCTGTGGCGGCGGCGTGGACCCACCGGCGGTGCCTGATACCGCGTGCTGAGCACCAGTTGTCAGAACATAACACAACTCTGATAGATTTGTGAATTTGATACCTAAAATGTAATATTAATAATACATATATTATTAGAGTATAGAATTATTCTTAGAGCTACTTAATGCCGGAAGTACATTGCTAAAGAAATATTAGAACTATACATATACATGAACAGGACAATGGACTACGTTATCATGTTATACCAGTAATATAACTCGTTCCATAGGATTACAATGTTACATCTCCTATCCTATAATTTCGCTGCCTAATCGCAACCTACAACCGAAACACAGCTTACAAAGCCAGCAGCACGGCGGCCGAAATACTGAGGCGCCCACGCAGACGCCTTTTTAGAGACCTCGCTGTAACTTTACTACCGTAATTAAACGAAATTAATCCGAGATATACGATAGGACTGCTTTGCCATATACTGCATTGTGCAGAAAATCTGGGAAAGTTTAGTGCTACATATATAATAATAATGGCATATAATTAGGGATGAAGGGGATTGTTAATAATATGGACTGATGATGATGATGACCCCATTGCTAGCAATGTACCAAGTCAGGTTGACCTACACGTGATTCATGGGCTAACTGACCTGACATCATGCTCATCTTATCGTCTTCCACTGCTGTCCTGCTAGCGTAAACCATTAACGAAGGCGGGTGTACCGCCATTACAACCATAAAAAATGGCATCAGCTTAATTATTAACTAGCCGTACCCGCTGTTTCACTTACATAAAATGTGCCTATGAGTTATTTTGATATATATTGAGCTCTTGAAATTGATTTATTTCAGTAGCCTTGTGTGAAAGAATAACATCCATCGATGAATCCATCCATCCATCCACACTCAGAAACTTCCGCGTTTATAATATAAAGTAAGAAGATTATTACCTTCTGTTTTTTATGTTTGTGATAATAATACATTTGATCACAATATTATCAATAACTTTATATTAATTTAGGCTTTTAATCGAAATAGATTATATATATAATTATATATTAAACATACCTAACTGAGTTTCCGCCCAGTCACATATTATTCTTTCAGTTTCTTTTAATGTAACGTTTATTTCCTGAAACATAGCATTTTAACATTTAATATCATTTCTAAGAAAAATCCAGATAAAGTATAAAGGGTATACACGCTGCGTAGGTTTTAAAAATGTATTAAAAGTGAAAATTTGGTACCCTTAGCAATTTTGTGAATTCATTATAATAAAAAAACATCAAAATATAGAATATACCTTAGATACTTTAGACGAATCGGCCAAATCGGGAAGCTGTGGTACTTCCAATTTGATCTTTTTACGAAGTCCCGCATAGCAGTATCTGTAACGACGGAAAACGTAAAATCATTAATATAAACATTCCGTTGTTTTACCGAAAAATAATCGAGTAAACAAAATAATACATCACCTATATACATCATCTAATAAATAACTCGTGACAAACACCTATTACTGTTTCTCGATTTCAAAAAAAGTGACCTAACACTGTAATCTAAAAAATGGGTCATTTCAACATTCTACTACTTTGATGAATAAGTAGATGTACGTTCTATTAATGAAATATTATAGTTTAAGATTACTGGTACTAACTTGAGTCCCAAAAGTTTACATTTCATAATAAAACAGTGGGGATTCTCTTTAGTATTATTAGGTAAATTAGAAACAACAAATTCAATATCAGTAAGCCAAAATAATCATTACCTTCAAAGGTAACTATCGCACTCTTACAAGATAACACGAAGATTAACACGATAAATTCGTAAATAGTCATAAAAGCTAACCACATATCATGATTTGACATAAGCAATCTGTCTACCTTTATCCTACTTGTACTCCTGACCTACACCAATTTGGAGAATTGAAGCAAGTGTTCAGTGCTTCGTGACAAGACTTAACGACAGGACGAGGGCCTCTTATGGCCCAAAGCCCCAAAAAGACGGATTATATAATAGAAATAAACAAAAGTAATTATAATAAGAAAAGAAAGAAATGACAATTTTCTGCTTTTAGTCTTAATAAAGTAATTTATAATAATTCTATCGTATGAATCACGATATAATTGTTTTTTTTAACTATTCTAATAGTTTTTTAGCTATAGCGTTCCTTTACAGCTTCCTCCGAAATGGGAGAAAATGCAGAGGGCACTCCAAACCCACGGAAGGAATTATGAAGCAACTGATGACCAACTCCTGCGTGCCGGATACAACTTCACTCTGAAGGTAACGTTAGGGGTTCCAAACTCGACTCAGGCAATCATGATTTCGATCCCTGTTTCGGTTTGATGCTATATCTGCTTCCTTAAATATACTACTGAAACTGACGACTGCATATATTATTCTTAAATATTTTTTAATTTTAGAACATCAAGGCTACGGCATACATTAACATATTTTTTAATTTATAAACCGAAAAGAAAATTCTTTTAAACGGCACATCCGTTTGAAAGAATTTTCTGCAGGCCCTGGCTAAATCCCGCACTGAATGAATCCTGAACTATTTCGCGCAAATCGTTGAGGCTAAACACTTCAAATTTCTTCATTCCTGCAATTCCCATGGGTATTGTTTCTGACTGTCACAGTAAACAGGTAGTGTAGTATAGATGTAAATAGAATTAGATCATAGATAGTCATGTATTAAACAATACGATATCACCACACTGATAAGATAGTTACAAAACGAGACAAATACCGGAATTCTATTTAAGATTTTACAATGATATAGTTATTAGGATTAGGACTCAACTAAAAAATATGTATGTCTCAGTTGCCTCTTACAACTATACGACCGATACCAATAATAAGAAGTCATCTGCGTAAGTATTTCAGTCACCAAGCAGCTTTCGGTTGTAGGGTGTGATGAGACAGTGAAATTCCAGAGGTCAAAATATTATAAGAGGCATAATATTTTGTCCTCTGGAAATGGAAATGCATGAGTGTCACATAACGTGATTCGTAGTGCTAATAATGTATATAGGCGTCGGTTATCGTTTATCGTCTAGTGGGCCATCAGCTTGATTGCTATTGCTATTTGGAATGGCAATTCCATTAGAACTTTTTTTGTACAAAATTGTGTGCGTAGGTTCAGTTCCACCTGTTTCAGCTGCTAAGAACTTTGCTTTCTAAGCTGTGTTTCGGTTGAAGGGTAATATATATGGCATTAAAATGATAGGGTATGGAGGCCTTACACCTTAGAACTTATGAGAAGTATCATAAGCGTTCAAGTATACATGCGACGAATACTACTTACCACTATATCTACTAGCCGTCAGATTGTTTACCAGAATACGGTACACCGTTTTAATAAAACGGGTAAATTTTCTTTCATATTCTGGGTAGCTTAATAGAACTTGATATTGAATTTACTGAAATTGATAACTAAGTGACTCAATTTTCTTTATATACACAAATCTCCGTCATACTCGTCTCCGTGGACAATAAGTACTTGGTATACGGTGTCCGGAAGGAAAATATTATCTTCCGTATAAGTTGTTCTATTTTATGTAGTAACTTATAGAGATGAAGAAGTTAGGGTAGAATCAACCAAGACGGTTTGCAGAGGCATCACGTGAAGATCGCCCTAGTAAACATTGCTAGCAATGGGGTTACTAGTCTCCATTGCTAACAATTCCTACCCTACGTTCAGAATATTCCTTCTCTGCGTATTGTTTAATAAATGCGATAACGGTACACTTACCTCGAGTTGCCGCGTGTACCGAGACGACGTGGTCGAACTGTTGGGTACACTTGTTTCATTACTTTGCCAAAATCAGCAGTTGATAAGGGTTTCGTGTTGCTGCTCATACAATGTGCACTGTTGAAACACAAAACAAATAGGTTTTATTGATAATTCAATTATCTCGATTCGATAACCTATACATTTTTTTTTGTAAGGTATTTTTTTATTTTGTCAAAATGCATCTTAAAAGCTTTTAAAGAACTAAACAGTTACAATTAAAAAATCTAAGAGAGACATATTTTGACAAAACAATTTTTTCATTCAGCACATTTACAACATATTTCTATTGTACCTATCCTTATGTACAAATAAAGTAGCATAATATTTATTTAACTTGTTAGTTAGTAAGATATATTGCTGTATTGTATATACTCCATTAAGTTTGTAGGCCTACTTTGAAATTGAGAGAATCAATTTTGGATTATTCTAAATCTGTGAAATATGTCTTTGTGAACTCAAGGACATGGTCATATTTTACTATTTTGATTCTTCAAAAACAATTAATTAAGGTCGAATTATCCTTTTTCTTCTTTCTATTCGCGTTGTCCTTTCTGAAGACATGGAAAAACAGCCTGTAAAATAAATATTGTACAACAAATAGTTTTGTAAGTTAAGTTAAAAACAAAAATGTTAACTTACATGTATTCGTCATATACATCTTGTTTTGGCAAAGAGACATCAGGGTCAACTTCTAGATGTGTCTGTATCCATGTTACAGTTTGCTGAAGCTCGGCCCTAGAAAAAGTTGTTGTAACTCATTATTAAAACTAAAAATGTTGCATCTTTTGGTGTGAAGTATTTTTTAACTGACTGTAATAATAATAAAGTTGAAAAGTACTAACTAATTTATAACTTGAATATTATCCATTAAGATTCTCTAACAAAGCTTCATTATTTATTTCTCGAGAGAAGTCTCACGAACAAAATTAACTAAGAGAGCTCTCTTAGTTAATGCCCCATGCCTTTCCGCACCCATGAGCATCATGTTAAATAGAAAAATATAAGTAAAAATGTAATCTTACCTGGAACCCAATGGATTGATGGGTTGCTTCAAAGGATCGTGTGGAGGGACACCCGTCGGGAGGCGAAGATAAAGCAACAGCTTTTCAGCACCACTTAAAGCATCTACAGCCTCGAGCAGCTGAGCTACACGTTGTCGACCCTCTTGGCTGCAAATATTGTTTTTAAATATACTAGTGAGAGGATACTACCCAGAGGTGGAAATTCAACCATGATAAAAAATACAAAATGATCTTTGAACTAGTAATAATAATTAAATAAAAGAGTATATACCCCTGTGTGTATCTAATACATGGTAGTGTGTGTAATGTTTTTTATACTCATTAATATATGGTATATATTGGGATAATGTAAAAAAATATTAGTCTTTTACAGTCCTCTACAACGAGTGTATAAAATGAAATTCCATACTTATGCACAATTTTCATCAAAAGAGGTTTTAAGATTTGCTCCATGTACTAATATAATATATTTATATATTAATTATTTAGTTTGACTGTTTAATTCAATTTAGTTTCTGTAGTATTATAAAATGGCCAAAACTATTACCAAGAGACAGTATCATAATACATTATATTACTACATGACTAGTTATTAAATTCAGTCTTATTTTATTACTATTAAATTTAAAAAAATCTGTGATAAATGTATTAAATTTAATACATTTATCACAGATTTTTTAAAATTTAATTAGCCTAATTAGGCTACCTTCAATCAATAATTTTACTCTATATTTTGTTAAAGTTAGTAGAAATAGCTTCAAAATTTTAAGATCCTAATTGAAAGATGGATCTGAGAGAATGACATACTGCGCCGACCCCAAATAATGGGATAAAGGCAAGGCAATGATGATGAAATGAAAGATAGATCCTAAGATTATATTATCCTAAGAACATTATTCACATCTCTAAAGATGTGAATAATGTTAAAAATGTTACAATTAGCAAAAATATTTTATTTTATGTATGACATGAATTAAGGATCATGTTTCTTATTATTTCTAAAAAATAATAATAAATAAATATGGTAATAACATGCTGCTTGACTATATAAAATGAGATATTAAAATAAATATGTAATCTAGCTTTATTTATGCCTATTAATAAGATATGAATTTTGCTTAATAATAATAATGAATATTTAAAGAAACTATCCTAAAACACTAGCATGTCTGTCAAATACAATATCTATGAATAATTACCTAAAAAGAATAAATATGTAGAATGTTTGCAATTATTAATAGGATTAATAGAAGAGGATTCTTAGTAATGTGAAATGATAAACCAATTGCTAACAATGTAACATCAAGTTCCTCTTGGAAATCATTGTGACAAATTCCTGGTGATTTGCTATTATGGGCTAACTGACCTGAGCTTCCACTGGTTTCTCACCAGAGTAAACAGTAAGTGCAAGCAATTATATTAATAATAAAACATATTCTCAATGACAAAATAGATGCTTTTTTTTGCTTAAAGCAAAAAATCATATATCAAATCTTACAGGCATTTTGGATATGTTATTCACAAAATTAGAAAACTATACATGCACCACAAAATTTTGAATATTATTTTTCTATTGTAATTAAAATCCGAAATAAAAATATTAGGTATTACTAATTATAATTTTTTGTACGCATAATGTTATATACAATATGAATATTGATTAAAAAAGTGCAGTACAGTTTATGTGCTATTGATTTGTGTATTTATAAGATATCAAGTACACCATCTTTGAAAATACATATATCATAAAAATCATATTTCAAATATATAGACTTTTCTCTCCTTTCATCTTCCTTATAAGATTTTTTTCATCATTTTAAATAGTTCATACAAGTTTCAATATGGGCTTATAGATAATTCCAATAGAACTTACAGAAAATGTAAACAAACACTTTATCTTAAAAATGGCCATATAAGCACTCAATAAATGCAGCAAACAGCAACATATTTATACAAATCTTGAGGGTTTCAACTATAACTATAAATAACTAATATATTACCACATATTACAGCAGCATATTACACAGCACTTACTTGTTTTCACTTTTTACATTGTATTTAAAAAATATTTATGGAAAATTGTGAATATAATGAATTTTTGTATTGATTATAGGAAAACTCATATATGTTGATAGTAACATAGAAATAGAAATAATCTTTATTCAAATAAGCTCATTACAAGCACTTTTGTATAGTCATATTTTGATTCTACCACTCATTCGGAATGCAGATTCATCACAAGAAGAATGAGCAAGAAACTTGTGTGTTGCTCTTTTTAATAGATTTTTTCTTTTTATATAAATAATTACAGTATAACAAGTAAGAAGCATGCAATAATCAACATAGAAATAGCTACGCACTCAATATTAATGTAATCAGATAATATTGGCAGTGCTATGGATTTTAAGTTTTTCTATGAAAACATTATTATTGTTAACGAATTTTTCAATTTTATAGTAAGCTTTTTTGCAAAGGAAGTGTAGATTAGTAGAAAGGATTGCAGATTTATATAGTGTTTCATATCTGAAAGTAAGTTGTATTGTCTGTAAATTTCTTAATGGCTTACCATAAGAAGCATATAATTTTTCCAATAATTCAGTATAGTATTCAACATGAAGAAAGAAATAGGGAATTTTTGTATTGGTCCATTGAAAAAAGTTGTCAAGGAGAGACAATTGTGTATAGAAAGTAGAGGTTTTAATAATTCAATAAATAACTACTGTGAATAGTTAGATCCCAGTGGAATTCATACTACCTATAACAAGATAGTATTACACATGGAAACTTCCTGTTAGGAAGTAGTTCTGGCGTGGATTTGCAGATGCAATAAATACATAGACATGATCTATCAGAACAGAAATGAATACCTGAGGGTGTTCTCAACAATTTGTTGCATAGAAGCTATTTTGGCAGAGTCCATTTTAGACTCGCTTGCCTTAGTGGTTTCGGCAGCAGAGTCTGCAGCACCCGATGTTCCTGGAGCGATGGTGGGAATAGCGACACTTTCTTTATCGTAAGACGCAGTTTGCGTATGTTTTGGATGATTGACATTTTCCCGATGAAGTTTCGCGTCATCTAGTTCTCTTTCGGTTTTAAGATTTTTCGCACTATCGTCGGCAGTCCAAGGTTGAAATGGAGTAGTACTATCCATTCTAACCCATACAGGCTATAATAATTATGTTATTCAGATTCATATTGCATTTTATTCTAATCGGAACTATAAAATGCGTATCTAAACTCCATTTTCTTGACATTTGATCAGCTGTGGTGAGGTGGGAGGAGAGGGGGCGTAGTAGGGCTGACTATCTATCGAGGTTTTCTACTAAGCAGTTTATTTTCTACTAAGCACTTTAGATTCCGTAAGTGAATAACAATGCATTTACAGATTGTAGGTAACTGAAATTCTAATTTTGTTGTAAGAAAACATCGATTTTTGCCTATGACATTGTTAAATTATGATATTTTACGTTTTTGATGTAACTTTTTAAATCCACAGGAATCAGATCCTATTCGGTTTCGTATCATTTTGAGTTTTTGGATGACCTCTTATTTCTCAAATTATGACTTTTATTTAGGATATCCCCGTTATCGGTTTCTTTTTTTGTCGTTGTTATCAGAATTGATATCGATTTGTCGATGTTTATGCATAGACCAATATCGATTAATCTTATCGAGTAACCTATTTTATCTGTGAATTTTATTTTCTTTTCTTCAATGTTCAATTTTTAAAAAAATATATTAATTATTCTTAACATTCATGCTCAATCGCTTTTTATATGAATCTTGTATTCTAATATCTTCAAACAAAACAATTAATAGATAGATAATAAATAAAAAAAATATTTATTAGTTTTATTATATTGTAGTCAAACAAATTCTGGCTTTCTTCTTATATTAACCTTGGTTATATTCAAGTAAGTACACCTATTTCAATACCATATTATTATTGTACCTACGTCGAAAGTCAAGAATAATTTAATGTTTTTTATATTATTTATTTTGGTCTGTAATTATATTTTGTTTACAATGTATTCTGTGCTATTTACTTGTATAGCACTGTTACATTATTATGAGTTCTGAGGTAACTTTCCTGACTTATTTTGCACTATATTTTAAACATAATGAATCTATGTATACATATAAATAAAATTGGAGTGTCTGTTTGTAATATTGAAATAACCGTTTTTTACTACATGCATATGATTAGAAATACGTTTCGGTGTATACGTTACATACACCGAATTTTTTTTTTTTCATTTTTGTGTATGTCTGTTTGTTCCGGCTAATCTCTGAAATGGTTTTACCGATTATGACGGGGCTTTTTTTTAGCAGGTAGCGGAGTAACTTTGGCTGCTTTTATTATAGAAAAATAAAGTTAAATTCAACGCTGACGAAGTCGCGGGTGCAGCTAGTAATATATAGTATTAAAAAAGTACAGTACAGTAAGTAGGATTGTATCCTATATTTTCACCTATCTAACATCTATTTTTTAATAGTGATATTAGTACTTTAGGAATATTCTACTCTTGTCGGTTGATAACTGATTAAGTTATATGGCAAACAAATTTTGCCAGTTAGTATATATATACTATACATATAGATTATTATTAATACTCATTTTATACATTTTGTTTACTTTCAGGTAGTTATGTCAGATGATATTGATATTGAGGAACATGATATACTGGATAATCCAGTTATTAAAAACATGTTTCCTGATCTGTCGGTACTCAAAAAAGAAATTTTGGATAATGATGATGGTAAATATTTATTGTTATTATTTAAAGTGGGAATTCTTTTCCTAAAGAATTCCAGTCATGTTGGCATCTGAAAGATTAGGTTAGGGGAATGAGATAAGGATTAGGATAGAAACAGGATAATGGAGAATGGTGGTGGACTCTCCACTTAGTATGCAAAAGGTGAAATTTAGACAGAAAGCAAATAATTTTGGTAATGACATTTTGTACAAATTTCTGGTCTTCAATTACACTTCAGACCTATCTAAATATTGAGTTCATTTTACGATGTATTTATATATTTTAATGTTAAATAATCAGGTAAAAGCTTGTGTTATGCTGTTTTGGTTGCTTATTCACTTTTGCAGCACATGAAGCTACCTACATTTGTTTTATTATTTTGTATTTATTTTGTCTCAACATTTCTTTGCTGTGTTTGTCATTGATGAATAAAGTATTTATCTATCAATTTCTGCTATTATAATTTAATAAATTCAATAATTATTTTAGGAACTGGATCAGAAACTACAATATTGGCTCAAGAACCAAATGCTAGTATTAATTCAGATGTTGGAGAAGCAGGAATATTAACAAGAAACCCATCAAGTAATAGTAAAGTTAATACGAAACTTAATTCTGAAGATACTTCTAACTTTAAATTATTTAATCAAGAACATAAAAATCAACTCAGTAACATTTACTGTAATAGACTATCTATAATCCAGACTACTAGGAAACAAAACAAACTAGAAAGAAATCTTAAAACTAGGCTACCTGCCAAAGGGCCCAATGAACATATAAGTAGTACTCACTTAAAAATAAATCTGTTTAAAAATAGTTCTCATAAACAATCACACAGTAAACATATACTTAAAAATGTAATTTGCCCAAAAGAAGGAATGCCAATAGAAAACTATATATGTTCTAAATCGTATCCACAGGTACACCCTAATAAAATTATTTTAGGATCTAAAATTAGTTTGAGCTGTAAACAAAATAATGTCTTAGAAAAAAATGTTATATTAAATAATGTACAAGTGTCATTAATCGATTGTGCACCTTTATTATTCAGTAGTGACAGATATTGTCCAGATTGTCGTATATTATTTAACACATATATTGGACTAGAGTTCCATAAAAAAAATGCCCATCACAATTATATAGACACTCGGAACGAAAATAAGAAAATGGTAACTGAAATCATTAGAGACCATAAGTGTTTAATTTGTAATATTTCATTTACTACTAAACATACTTTGAACAAACACAAAATAGAAAAGCATAGTTTAAGAAATAGTCTTACTTTATCAAACATTAATTCTAGTACACTTTCATCTGATTCAAATTACGGATGTTTTCATTGCAGCAAGCATTTCCTTGACCAAAAGTCTCTTATTGAACACCTTTATAATGTTCTTCAGATGAAGTGTCCTAGTTCATCTAACTCATCTTTATTGTTTAATAAAGTAAAACAGAAAAAAAGAAATAATGACATCAAATTGTTAGAAAGACATACACATAACATTGAAAAAGAGGAATATTCTATAATTAATTTTAAGGACAATTCAGGACAACACAAATATATGTCTAAGTCATTAAGTAGTGTTAAAAAGAAAGATGCCGCGGCAAAAGTAAATGTAAGTAGTACAAAAGGAAAACCGACAAATCTGCTAGATTTAGAACATAAAGAAGTAACAAAGAATAGTGGTAACATTAAAGAACAGAAGACCCTATCAACAGATGTCTGTAATTTAAAGAAACGTAAAATTTCTTCTATGAAGGAAAAATGTGATACAGTGATTACTAGAAGTGTTAAACAAAAAACAACATTGGCGCATAATAATGCTGTTATATGTAATAAAAATAGTATAAAATTATTCTATGAATGCATGTATTGCTCTTATTATTTTAATAAATTAAAGTATTTCAAACTACATTTAAAGAATAAGCATAAGGTTAAAAATTTGCCGAAAATACAAAAAGTAACATATAAACCAAAATGTAAATACTGCCTTAAAATATCTGACGAAATGATTGTGCATAATGTTCACCTGCAAAAACATCACAAGGATAAAATACAAACAGTTATCAAAGATAGCATTGACTTGGAAATTGATAAGAAATCTCAGCAAAATTCCGTGGATACATCTGATTGTAATATACGAAAACCACACAAAAGTTCCATGTTAGAACAAGTAATTGAAGAAACGTCTACTAAAGATAGTGATTACTCATCAAAAATAAAACCACTGATTTTAAAATCTGTGTTGTATAAGTGTAGCAAATGTGAAGTACATTTTTTATCGTTACAATTAGCATTAAATCATTCAGAGCATATAGAAATTTTAATCAATTGGAAATGTGATATTTGTATGAAAATATTAAAAAAAAATGATGAGGCTCTCCATATACAACAACACCTGCATTCGGGTGCCTTTACTGTATATAATACAGATGAATTAGATATTTCCCTAATTTTATATAAATGTTCCAAGTGCACTATACATTATGATGAAACAAATTATCGACGCCATTATTCGAATTGCGAATTAATGACACCTAATGGTAGTTATTGTATTGCTTGCGATATTTTAGTGGATAATAATATAATTAAATTTCATGAAATTGACCACAATCAGAAAAATATTAAACTCACAAATTTCACGATTATTGAATGTGATCTGTTAAATGAAGAAATTGATAATGTTTACAATACATATGAATCTAATAAGAAGGTAAACAGTAAACCTTCGAAGAATTCACGAAAGTATAAAATCAGACATTTAACAGATAAAATGTTACTTGAGAAATATTTTTGCAGAACTTGTAAATGCTTTGTTAATAATATTGGATCTTTGAGTAAAGTACATATTCAATCGCGTTGTCAACATCTCACAAAACACATATGTATCTATTGTGGACTTCTTTTAACTAGTTCAACTATAGCTACACATAGAGGATTCCATAAACGAAACCCAAAAATAAGTTTGCAGGATTTCAGTTTTTATGAGTTTAAATCTAGAAAAAAAATTAAACCTCCAGTACCAGAATACCCTAAATGTGAAATATGTAATATATATTTTATGTCTAAGGTAGCCATAAAGAATCATCTGTGTAGTGAAAATGCTTTTTCAATGTGTAAGGTTTGCTTTAAAAAATTATCTAAACCAATTTATAAATTGCATATGGCTTTTCATAATTATTCTTTAAATACTAAATCTAAACTTTTAAGTCATAATACAATCTCTACCATATTACCAATTTCAGAAACGATTGGTTCGGATACAACTTCACATTTTTCAGTAGATTTATATCAACCTCCTAAGATTGGCAGGTTGACTGTATTCTATCGTTGTAGGAATTGTTCTACGACCCTTATCACGTATGATGAGGTGATAGATCATTGTCATCTACATTACAGTAATCAAGAACACAAGATCAAAGCAGTGACATGCGATGATTGCAAATTAGACTTTGATATAGGTTGCTACGAAAGGCATAAAATATTGCACATGCAAAGAAATATGTTATATAAGACCCCACTTGAATTTGATGCTTTTTATTTCAAATTTGATAATGATATTTGGACAAAACATGTATTCAGTCCACTTCCACAAAATCAAATAAATGAAATTCTTAAACAGTCTATATACCGGTTCGAGCATAGGCTTATAATGAATATTGTTCAACATGGTTCTTCAGATATAACATTGTATAAATGTAATAGTTGTTGTTGTATTATAGAACCAGAATTAATCTACAAACATATTGAGATTGATTGTTCAGATGTACGAAGGTTTATATGTATATTTTGTGGGTTGAATTTTCTTTCTCTTGTCTTTAAAAGAAATCATGAAAAAATTCATAACCGTCAAGAAATGAACTCAAAGACCTTTAGAGTAGTATTGTTTAATCAAAATGAACACAAAAGTTACAATTCTACATTTGCGGTTTCTCTGAACTATTATATTTTGTATCAGTGCAGGATTTGCAAAATCACAATACAAAAATTTCAAAGGAATACTCATAAATGCAGTGAAAATGCAACAATAAATTGTACTGAATGTAAATTATTGTTTGATAAAAATGAATACGAGTTACATGTATCTAAACATAAAGAGTTTGATAATTTCAATACCGAAAACATTAAAGTTATACTTTTCGGAACGTCATCCACAAACAATATTAAAAACGCTGATAAAAAATTACTATCCTTTTGTGGTACTGTTTACGATTACACTTTTTATAGATGTACAAACTGTAATATTTGTGTGAGAAATGTGAAGTCTACTTTTCTTCATATTTGTTCACCTAGTAATTATAAGATTAATTGCCCAAAATGTGGATTACACTTTCATTGTAATTCGTACAAGATACATCATCAATCTCATATTGTGGATCCAGATTTTGAAATAGAAAATATTAATATTATTTCATTTGATGCAAAAAATTCTGTTTCAATAAGCCAAAAAGACGGAATGGGTAATTCGGATATACATTTAACAATAACTGGGACTGAAGAGGCACGAGACACTACAATAAATATTGAAAGCTCGAGTCAAACATTGAGTAAAATAAAGGAAAGTAGTATTATTGAAGCAAGAAATATTGATGTAGAAAGTTCGTTAGTGACAATTTTTAAATGTACTGATTGTGACCTTAATTTTCTAGATGAAGCTAGTATCAAAATACATTTCACTCATTGTGGACCTAAAATCAAACTACCAAAACAAACTTGTACGAAATGTGATTTACTGTTCACTCCAAATACACTTTTTACTCATTTGTTAATTCATCATGGACATAAAAATGAATTTAAATATGAAATAGTAGAACTAACTAAAACGCTGAAATGTTCAAAATAATTTTTTTTTTGTTTAATTGACGGCTTTACTAGGTAAAAATAGGTATCAGATTAAAATGGTCAGTGAAGTTATTGTTAACTGCACTAATGTGTGTTAGCTACTTGCGCTTATGTATGATAAATAAACATATCGAGAGAACTTATATGTACGTTATGGATAAAAATTCAGTTGCGAAACCTACAACTCGTTTAGCAATTGTAAATGATTTATATATAATCGCAAAACTTATAACATATTTTAATGTACCATATATGTACGTTATTATTTAAAGAGTTTAGAAGGTATTTTCTGTACATTTTCCTGTAAATATAATACATTTGTAAAGGATAATTCCCAATATATTGTAAGACTTCGGTATGTTGTACGTTATAATACGTATACATAAAATCTATTATTACTCTAGGATCAAGTAGGTAATCATATAATTGATTGATAATTTATTTTTATTTATTAATTTGTTTCGGATATCCATCCATATTATGTTACTAAGCAAATTATAAACTATGTTAGTAAATTACAATATCCTTATATTATTTTAATTAATATGATTATATGTGTCCACGTTTAGAAACACTGGGTCCGCAGCAGTGCAATAATATCCAATGGCTCTGGAGCGGATCCATCCGACATTTTGCTATAATGTTTAGGAGGCTGTTTGCGCTCTTCCGAATTCTAGACATCATCGATTCTGTTTTTTTTTTGTTGTTCTTGTTTTTTTTTCAGTTCTTTTACGTATTATAGCTTGACATCTATCCACGCTGCTGCAAACATCTCTGATGCGATACAGAACCGAGGGAGACCACACAATATGCCAAACCCATTATTATATTGTACTTACCTATAATTACCTACTTTATTCTAGAGTTCGTATAGTAAATTTATTACTACATGTTTTAAACTAAGATTAAATGTCTAAACTAGATTAGCATGATGTAAGAAATAGTCGATTATTTGAGAATATAGAATACATAAGTTTCGTATTTTGTTCATCCTAGGCAACTGTAGTCCAATTTGACCTTACGATTGGAACAGTATTTATTAGTCTCCGAGAATTTTTTACTTACGACGTTGATGCACAGGTTTTATACACTGTTGCTCTTTTGGATATGGATGGTGCTATATATATATGTAATGAATATGGAGCTTTATAACTTCGTTGAATAAATTTTATGTTAAATACAATGTATTGTTTTAATATTTACGACCAATCTTAAAAATATGACTATAATAATGATGTAATGGGGCCGGTCATTAAATTCATGATAATGAAAGTCTGTATATGTATAAATTCAATCTCAGGAAAAAAATCCCATTTAGAAACAACCTGAGTAAAGATAATATACATATGTTAGTTACGTATGTTCCTGAGTCGCCAGTATCTGCTCGTACCTATATATCAACACTAAAATAATTCCATACCATAAATATTTTTAGGGCTTTTATTAATAATAATAACAACCCTCGACAATTCAAGACAAGAGCTCATACAAATAGGTGTTTAATAACATATGATTGTATTGGTCTGGGTGTTTTCTATGTATTTACTATATATTTCCAACAAAGTGTATATAAAATTTCTATTAGTTGTCTAGTATATTTTACCCATAACACCAACTCTGCGGGGGAAAAGGGATTGCTAGTAATGTGAACTAATTACTCTATCGCTAGCAATGTATCAAGTTAGATTGACCTCCACGCATTTCCCCCTGAAAACCATCGTGATGAATTCCTGGTGAATTTGTCACGATGGGGTAACTGACTTGACCGCAAGCTCTTTCCATCATCCATCACTGGTGCCCTGCTAGCGTAAACCGTTGGAGCAGGCGGGTACATTTTATATATAAAATTCTCATGTCACAGTTTTCGTTCCCATACTCCTCGGAAACTGCTTGACCGATTCTCATGAAATTTTGTGAGCGTATTGAGTAGGTCTGAGAATCGGCCAACATCTATTTTTCATCCCCCTAAATATTAGGGGTAGTCCACCCCTAATTTTTTTATTTTATTTTAAGTCAAAACAACGTTTGCCAGGACAGCTAGTAATTTCATAAACATTAATAAAAAAATACCAGCTGTGCTTAGCTTGTTACTAGTTGGCGCAGTGTGAATTAATGGGGTATATAACTATTATTATCGTATACTTGTATGAAATATTTTTTTTGTAGGTAAATCCAAATACATAGTAAGAAATGAAGAAGTACTACTACTGTAGAAAGTAGACGAGGACGAATGTGTTCGTTAACAACGTTACAAAACTCGTGAAAGGAATCGAAACCCCGACCATCGGAAGCAAGGCTGAGTGCTATAATTCTTAACCACCGAGACAGTAAAATTAAATAGATTTAGCATATTGGCATCGCATTTAAAGTCGTTTTTTTAAGGATGATAAAGGAATGGTTCGCTCGCCTGCGCTAAGGGTTTTCGCTGGTGGCAGTGGAGGATGTTGAGATTGACATGGTCAGGTCAGTTAGCCCATCGTAACAAATTCACCAGGAATTTATCACAATGGTTTCCAGGGGGAACCGCGTGAACGTCAACCTGTTCTGGACTTCATAGTTTATTTGCTGGCAACTTAAAAGCCATTTTTTACCTTTAAAAATAATGTATACCTATACCTAATTGTATTTGTTAATTTGTTAGACTTTAATATATTATATTTGTTAATTTTGTGACAAAAATCCCCTTCGCCCTTAGGAACGTATTTATTTAGTGATTGCTTGCATTATTCATCGTTCTCCAATAATAAGGGTTTCCAATACTAACAATCCCCTCCGATAGTTAGTATAGTAAAGGTCCCCTCCGGAAACCATTGTGGTCAATTCTCGGTATATTTGCCACTATAGGCTGACTGTCTCAACTATATGTACATCCTATCATCGTCCACTGGTGCTCCGTCCGATAAATATTATTAACATTACTTAGGGATGTGTAGTTCGAGGATGAACTAGTTTAGAAAACGCTTTTCTAAAACGAACTAGTCCGCCGATCTTTCGCTTTTTAGTTCCTTTATTATTGATCAACCTTATTACCTTCCTCTGAATCATACATTGATTACATTATTTCCTTTTAACAAAAATGCAATAGCATATGCTGGTAGTCACTACATTCTCCCTAATTGAATTAAAAAAAGATAAAAATGTTGTAAACACGTGCAATATCATTTGAAAATAATAAGAAATGAGTTTCTTGTCAGTTCTTCTTAATTGGAAAGCGCTACAAAATAATCTATACATTTCTCAATAAACTACAATATTTCACTGCACTTGAATTGAATTTACTTACAATATCAACGTTTATCACTCAGTCTGACTTTCATTAAACCTTTTCGTTTTAAATCACATATAACTGAAAAGTTTGGATTTTGACCACAAAAACCTAGAGATAGGCTCATCCTAGTAATCCAAATCAGTATAACAATTTGAAAAAATATGCAAGAATTGTAATAAATTTTCAGAATAACAGAATAAAATTATACTTATACATATATATTTTCTGCAATAAAAAAGTAAGCCGAGTAGAGCAGAATGTAAATATTTCTGTTAAAATTTCGACTGGAAAGTATTCTAATTCTAACGCGCTCAGGGGAAGGGGGATGTAAAGTAGGATGCAGGGCTAGTACCATAGAATATTAATATATTACCGGAGATAGAACGATTACTGATGTATGTACTAGGTACATCATAATTTTATAACCTGGCTGATATGCTTGATCGAAGGAAAAACAACTTGTTTTGATAAATAGTTTATTTCATGAATCTAATATGCGTTACGTAACGTACAATATGGTTTTTGACAATAATATACTTCCATATAATAGCGGCGATCGAGTCAGTAGTGATGTGCCAGTGTCAGCAACAGTGGCCTCCCTTATCAAATACAGATTTGATGTTAACAGTCAGTATAACAAACGATATAGAGAGGCTGCGGTGACAACACATGAACACAGAGTACTTCAAGTAAAAAATTACAACCGTGTTGCTACTAGGTTTTGTTTCGTTTTGTAAAATTTTGTTATTATTTAGTAATTAAACAATTATTTTAATATTCAGCAATTATTTCATTCAACTATTTGCTTTGATCTATTTCATGCAGCATTCTAATATTGTGTAACTTGTGGATGTAAATATGTAGGGATTTGGTTTACATAAATATTATACGGACAGACTCAAAATGATTCTGTACGATCGTTTTTGTCAGTTCTTTGGAAATATAAAGTTATCTCGCGTGATAATTTGCGTTTTTGTTATACTATTCCTAGTACCTCTTGTCACTCATTATTATTTGTCTAAGGTAAGGAAGCATTTTTTTCTTTTTGAACTTTTTTTTACTTGACACCGGTTACATCAACATAACAAAGTTTTCACTATTGCGATAGATTGTCAATTACTAATTCACCCTAATCGTAAATTGTCATGAAATTTTGTATGCACATAATATACTACTTAATGTACGTATACAACATTATCTGCCAGCTGGATGTAAAGTGAAGTTTAGACATACTTTTGTAGCTGTAATCTTAATAACCAAATATTGTTGGGAATTCTACTTTCCACAGAGTAATACAGTTTGAAGTACTTTTTATGCAGTAAAAATAGAAAATTTGGTTATTAATAATATAGTGTTTCTTAAACTATGGTCGAGTAACTGTTTGGACCTCCAACCTCTTATATATGGACATGTAAATTCACAAAGAAATCTACATCACAATGTTTTATTATATTTGTTAGCAGAAAATTAAGCAGTCCTTGAATTTCTGCCCATTCTATGAACTGAAAATAGCTATGAAACACTTTGTTTATAATATTTATTGTTTATGAAGAGATAGGCTAAAGAAACTATTTTGAAAACTTACAGTATGAATCAACCCTGGGGTCAATGGGTAACAACCCTATGCAGCACACATTGGAAGCCCTGACAGATTTTTCAACCATGAATGTAGCTGATCTTAAGCTTAGAATCGAAGAGATGCTTAGAATTAAGGTGAAGTTTGTATTTATAATTATAGGTTTTTAATTAAATTGAGGTAAAACAACATTTTAATATTTACATATATATCAATCCATTCTTTACATTTTAAGATAAAAACCCCATTGTATGTGTTTGCATTTTATTGATCTACTTAATAACTTAAGACAACATAGTATTCTGTTGCTTATCCCATGAATTATGAGAAGTATCTACAGCATCATGACCCATTATCATCCACTCTTCTCATTTATGGGAAAGATAACTACTATAACAATACAAGCATAGAGCTTTGGTCTGAAGTTTTATTTTGAATATTTCTTATCTGGGACAGGCATAAGAAAAAGTATATATAGAGCATCCCTAATTATATTTTGAGAATATTATTAATTTATATATAGTTAGTTCTAATCGATATTTATATTTGTATGCAAATACTACCAGGCTTCTGTGTCCACGGAACTGCGGGAGTTGGAGGCGCGCCGCAGTTGGTTGCAACGTGAGGCGACTGCGGCCAGCAATAAAGCTGATAGCGCGAAAGCGGAACATGCCCGCGCCGCTGCCGAGCTTGAACGATTGCGTGTTTCCGCCGACCAAGCACGCCTAGCGCAACTAGAGGCAATAAGACGTGATTCTCCCGAATTAGCTCCTCCTATACAAATACTTCCATCACGACCACCCCCCATCTTGCCCTCGCTGAACACGTCATCGGAAGTCCATTGCCGTATGTTTTCTTGTTTTGACCACTCTCGTTGCTCATTAACATCGGGATTTCCTGTATACTTTTATGACCCAGATATCTATGCTCCGTTGGCTGGGGCAGAAGTGGATGGTTTTCTTAAAACAACTCTTCGACAAACATTGGGTTATAATGCACATCTAACACATAACCCAAACGAAGCCTGCATTTACCTTGTACTTGTGGGGGAAGCTTTTCCATTCGACAAAAATCCTTCGTAAGTAAACTTACTAATACATTTTGTTTTTTAATAAATATAGAAATATCAGATATAGATTCCTGTAGAGCATTATGAATATAGTAATTATTTTTGTAATTGTAGGTCAACAACAGAATCATATAAATTATTACTAAATGAAACAGCGGTCAAGAGTCTTCCATTTTGGGGTGGAGATGGTCGTAACCACGTATTGTTGAATCTCGCTCGACGGGAGTTAGCGGTTGGCTCAGGTGACGCTTTTCGAGGAGCGTCTACAGGCAGAGCAATTATCGCTCAATCTACATTTACATACCAGTATTTTAGACCTGGTTATGACATCGTGACACCACCAGCACTAGGGCCACCGGGTGGTGACGTGTGGTCTGACTGTGCGCCTATAGCGCCAGCGAGACGAAAATATTTACTTAGGTAATTAATTTTAATTACATAAATGTTAACAATTACTATAGTCTCTGAAGTTAAGCATGACAATTCTGTCATGCTTAACGCTCATTTGCTACCGGTGTGACCATCACTGCGGACATCTTATGCACACAGTCACTCCTACCCAATTGAATTCACAGAGAACACTGTTCAAGTAAATAGATTACGTTATTACTTTAATTTTCAACTAATTTATATGATTTCTAAGTTACAGTATTTTAATATGCATTCAAAAGCTACGTTCAGTTTTCAGGGTTCGCAACCTCCAGCGAAAGGTCAAGATAGAGACCAAGATATAAATCTTGTCAAATATCTTCAAGGAATAGAGAAGGAAGCACCCTCACAGGACATGTTCTTCTTACAATTTGAATGTGACCCACCTGTAGAACGCCGGGCGGTATTGCCCATCGGGGATTGGGCTCTCTGTGGTACTGATAGATCTAGACGAGCGATCCTACGAGATTCCACATTTGTACTTATATTGGCTCCTGCCGACCGCACATATATAACAACAGCTTTGTTACAAGGAAGGTTATATGAAGCTCTAAGATCTGGTGCCATACCCCTTATATTGGGAGGTGATAGAATTCGTTTGCCGTTTGATGAAGTCCTTGATTGGCGGCGAGCGGTACTTATGTTACCAAAGGCACGAGTGACCGAACTTCATTTCCTGTTGCGAGCCATATCGGACGCCGATTTGTTGACATTCCGAAGGCATGGTCGTGTATTATGGGAGAGATATCTAAGTTCGGTACAGGCGAGCGTGGACTCTTTGCTGGCAACTATACGCACCAGGTTGAACATTCCACCACTGCCGGCGACGCCAACGATAGGATCTCCCGCGTTTAACGACTCATATTCTCCTCCGAAGTCGGAACCTCAGTTGGTAGAATCAGAGCAAGACGAGACACTGGGTCCGCTTGAGGCACCATATTCGAGTCCTGCTTTTCGTAGGAATTTTACATTAGGATTATTACACGGTTATGAACTGTGGAATGAGTGGGGAGAGCCGTTCTCACTATATCCGCAGTTGCCGTGGGACCCTATGGTAACGTCAGAGGCGCGCTTTATGGGTTCAGCTGCGGGATTTCGGCCACTGGGCGCTGGGGCAGGCGGTTCAGGCAAGGAGTTCAGCGAAGCATTAGGAGGTGACCGCCCACGTGAGCAGTTCACAATTGTTATACTCACGTACGAACGTGAGGCGGTGCTAGCTGCGGCTTTGACGCGCCTTCGTGGACTACCCTATTTGAATAAGGTTTGTTTTATAAGATCTTTAATATAATAACCTTATTGTATAACAACTGGCTAACATTGCTACGTAAATCCTTCAAATCAAACATATTTTTTTATTCTTTGCACAAAAAGCGAGATAAATGCCGTATGTTATTAACGACTAACTCTAAAAGGTAACTTATTGTTAGAGTACATTTTAAAATTAATTTATATCTTAAATCTGTAATAATAGTTGTGTAAGTAAATAAATAAATCTTTAGGGAGAGTGACTAGTGTGCAGACTAACTGAGTGTGGCATGTCTATATATTTAGGTAATAGATGAAAGATTTCTGTTAGAGGTTAGTGACGTTCTGCCGCAGGTGTTGGTGGTGTGGAACGGTCCGTCATCCCCTATGGCGGCGTCGTGGCCCGAGAGCGGGGCGCCGGTGGTGGTGGTGCGGGCGACGCGGAACTCCCTCAACAACCGGTTCCTACCGTACCACCTTGTGGACACTGAGGCTGTACTCTGCGTGGATGATGACGCGCATCTCAGGCACGACGAGATCGTTTTCGCATTTAGGTAATGTGTTTGTGCCGAGTTCATACTATATATTTTAGAAATTTGATTGTTTGGAGGTGGGGTTAGGGAGTGAATGGAACAAGGAGGGAACTGGAACTGATGTGTATTGCCCACAAGACCAATAGATTACAAGCACCTACAAATAATAAGTAGTTATATTATTTTATTGTATCACTTCCAGTCTGTATTAATCTCATCGATATAATCGAGCAATATTTTATGTATAATATAGATAATGTATGTATGTATAACTCAGTTTACACACCTTGTAACAACTAACTTAACACTTGTGATATACTTTTTCAAAGGTATTGTATTGTATTCTTAACTAAATAGGCTGAAAGGAAAAATACATATTTTTAATACTCTAATATAAATATAATCTAATATAAATACTAATTTTTAATTGAAAATAGACTAGGGCATGTGTTGGGATGCTTGATACGCCACGTTGAATTTATGAATCTTATTATTAAGGAAATAATGTATGGAAAAGGCGGAGGGAAAGACCAGTGGCACAGTCACACAGAGGCACAGTCACATCAAGCAAATTCAGGACAAAATAGAAGTTGTGATGTATCGACATTTAAAGATAATGATGAAAGTTAATAGCTACACCGACAAGACCGTGCCTCTTAAATTATTAAAGAGCTACACCGACAAGACCGTGGCTCTTAAATTATGAAAGAGCTACACCGACAAGACCGTGGCTCTTAAATTATTAAAGAGCTACACCGACAAGACCGTGGCTCTTAAATTATGAAAGAGCTACACCGACAAGACCGTGGCTCTTAAATTATTAAAGAGCTACACCGACAAGACCGTGCCTCTTAAATTATTAAAGAGCTACACCGACAAGACCGTGCCTCTTAAATTATTAAAGAGCTACACCGACAAGACCGTGGCTCTTAAATTATGAAAGAGCTACACCGACAAGACCGTGGCTCTTAAATTATTAAAGAGCTACACCGACAAGACCGTGCCTCTTAAATTATTAAAGAGCTACACCGACAAGACCGTGGCTCTTAAATTATTAAAGAGCTACACCGACAAGACCGTGCCTCTTAAATTATTAAAGAGCTACACCGACAAGACCGTGGCTCTTAAATTATTAAAGAGCTACACCGACAAGACCGTGCCTCTTAAATTATTAAAGAGCTACACCGACAAGACCGTGGCTTTTAAATTGGTTCGGGAAATTACGATCACAAAAACATAACTTTTTATTAAATAAGTATGAATTATAATAGCTGGTCTGCTGAAAACTAGTGATTTCATAGTACATAGTTGAAGCCATGATAATTTTAGATTAAACCATTGCAGGGTTTGGCGTGAGCACCGCGATAGAATTGTGGGATTCCCCGGACGGTACCACGCGTGGGATCTCAATTACAATAATGGATTTCTCTACAATTCAAATTACAGGTATTTGTCATCTCACCTATGTATTTATGTTATAATATAATATTAGGTTTATATATTATATAAATAGAAAGGTCAATAATAATATGTCACAATTCACACAGAGCCATTTAATCCCTCGCTAAACAGAGCTTGTTTTATGGGTACTAGACAACTGATGTAATTCACATAGACACATTTTTTTTAAATACATAGAAAACATTCAGACTGTTACAAACAATCATACTTATGAATACAAATCTTTTTACCGTGCGAGGAACCGAACCCGCGACCAATGATGTAAGGCGGTGTGCTAAACTGCTAGGCTACCGAGACTGTCAGAATAATGTTAAGTAAATAGAAAAATATCTTTGTTAGCTGTGAGCTGAGTATGGTCCTGACTGGCGCAGCATTCGTGCATCGCTATTATCTGTGGGCGTACTGGCGTGTACTACCCGCCGCTGTCCGCGATTATGTTGACGAGTATATGAACTGCGAAGACATCGCGATGAACTTTCTCGTCGCACACATCACCAGGAAGCCCCCCGTCAAGGTAAATTACTAAATGACTTGACTCACCAAGTATGATCACAGAATAAGAATCATGAGAGTACTAGGAGAACTAAGAAGAAATGCAAGCAATAATGCATTGGTATATCTTACTTTTGTGATGAGAGAAGAGCATATTTGAAAACTAACCATGTTTATAAATGTGTTTTTATCCTGCGAACCGCACACAAATAGCGCCATGTTAAATTTACAGGTAACTTCAAGATGGACATTCCGCTGTCCTGGGTGTCCAATAACATTATCAGCAGACGAGACACACTTCCATGAGAGACATAAGTGTATTCAGTTCTTCTCTCAGGTAAAAACAGATTTAGTACAGATAACAAACAATTTATTAATATTTTGGAAACCCTATTATCATATATACATTAAACATATAAGATAATTTAATAATTAGTCCTAAAAAAAGAGAATAAATTGGAGTTGACGTATTACTAAAATATCAGTATAAAATTTGTACAGACATCGTATAAGATGTTCGTTACATAATGTGTAGACATACTTCAGAAAATAAAGTGCAATAAAAATTTGGCAGGTTTACTAACTATTAAACGGTTTAACGTTTTTATGAGTAACGGCAACATATGTATAATAAATTTCATGATGATTGATTTATTAAAAGGTTAAGGCCCCAAAAGGCAAGTAAAAATCTAACCCATTTTCACATTTATATTATTATTAGTAAGTTTAAAACGATAAATAATAGGACATATACGGTCTTATTACAAAAAATCTGTTAAAACTCGGACGAAACGTGGTCTAAATGGTCGTGGTTTAAACCATTCCTAAAGTTAATACTTGGAATAAACCTAACATTATTACGAATCCAGATCTAACAGAGGACTACTTAGTACTACAGTTAAATCGTTCATTAGGTATTCCATACAGAAATCAGTCACTCATGTCTGTTAGCGTACAATTACGTTCCGTTTTACCAGAAATATGAAAAGATCAAAAATAATATTACTTCAAATAAAAATGTATAAACTAAAAATAAAATTAAAATAATTTTAAATTTCAAGTAGGAGTCCTATACGGAGAAAAGGAACGGCGGGATATTTTTATTGGATCGATTCGAATGGTGACTATTTCAAAGTCAAATGAGTGAAAAAATAACAAATAACGTCTTTTATATATTTTTATTATAGTAAAATTAGCTTTAAATATTTTTAGTTAATATATTTTTAATTTAGTTAAAATATTTTTCGAAAAAGAACAACTTACAATACAATTTTTGAAATGGAGTTTGACTTTTTGCATTTATACCACTGTTAAACTAGGGGCATCGCAGGTCTAACTTTAGACCATAGACGAATCACAATTTAGAGATAAACTTCATTTTGTAATAAGGAATACATTGGTGAATGGTTTATTACTAGTGCTAAACCAGGTTTATCTTTTTGTAATAAGGCCGATAATGTTTATTTCTAGGTCATGGGGTACACTCCCCTCTTATCAACACAGTACCGGGCTGACTCAGTGTTATTCAAAACGCGGATACCCCACGACAAACAGAAGTGTTTCAAGTTCATATAGTGCTCTCACATGAAGCCCTCGTGTCGACGGATTGTCTCGTAAGAACGTTTTTTGTTTATGTGACTGGATCTTAATGTTTTCGTCGGATCACATATTTAAATTTATATACCTAATGAAATTCTATGATTGTTAATTATGTATTAGTACATTTATTTTTAATAATAAATTAAAGGGAATATAGATATTGAGGTGACATTTGTCTGATATGACATATGTACTGTCTTGACAGATACATTCTTTCACGCGCGATCAGGAACGCGCGCCATTTAGCGCGGGAAAGCCAGTGCCCGTAATCGTGAGGGATTGCATTTAACTATTTTTTGTTTCACTATTTCGATGATGATTTATGGCATTTCACTCTATTATAAATATTATTTTTATTTTAAAGATTTTATTTTTCAGTGTTTAATATATATGAATTATCAATAACTCTATAATTATGTTTTTGCTCCATTGTCTGATGTCTCCCATTTTGCAATGATAATTAATTATTTAAGAAGGCGCTAAAGCACTCACGATTGTAGAAAACAGTATTCTGTTTTCTACAATCGTGAGTGCTGGCAGCGCGCGCGCAGTTTTAGTCCTAGTACTCTTTCTCTATGTCTACATTTACATGCACATTCTTGAGTGAGAGCCTATTAGCGCGTGAAAGAGCGTATATGTAAAGGCAGCTATTGATTGGAACTATGACAAGATACCTTTATCGGGAATCTTGTCATAGTTCCCGATAAAGCCGATAATAAGCCCGATAAAATGGAAAATTAGCAACGTAAGTAGACAATAATGCAATGTTTGTAAAATATTTTCAACATAGTTATTTATTATGTTATTTGTGTCAATATGAACTACTGCAAACTCATAATGACTTCTTAGACTGCATAGTAATGAATATAAATAAAAATAATGTATAGAAAATAATTTTTATTAACATTATTAATAAAATGTACAGATTATTAATATGTAGATAAAAATATAATAATGTACCTATATAACATTAAAAATAATTTCTAAATTCACTTTACATATCCCATCAAACTTACACTAAAAGATATGTTGTCAGCTTTCTTTGTAATCTATTGAAATGAATTGTCTGTTTCTAAATGTGTAATCCCGTAATATTATTGATGATTGTATGATTGAATTGTTAGATGTGTGAGGTATAATTTAAGAGCACTAGTCCTTGTATTATTTAAGACTGATTAATCGTTTTAATTAACTCTTAGACTTTCCATTGCGTTATAATTTTTAATAACGTTCGAGGACGTAACTTGTAATGGAAATACTGTTTTTTTGTGACATTTATGCCATGAATCATTGTTGTATTGAGTGCCATTGCAACAGCCTCCGATCTGGAAATTCCGTGTTGCGAACCACCAAGTTCGCACGTACAAGTATAAAGAAAAACAGTAAGTGTTTTTAGATATTATATTGTACATATGTATGTATATCTCTTCGTATTCTTGTTTTAATGATTGATTATAATATGTGATGATAATAAATTGTTATCTTAGTAATAAGAGTACATAAAAACCTCTTTTATGACTCCAAATCTTTAAGCAAAAGAAGGAAGCACAATGTAGCACCTGTACAACCCGTTAGATCGACCTATGCTGGAAGACAGTTTGGTAAACAATCGACTTATATTTATAACGCTGTAAATAAAATTCTTAACATCTACCCTATGAATCTTTATACCTGTAAAAAAGTTTTAACAAAATGGCTAAAATCTAAAAACTATAACGAAATTGAAGCTATTTTGTACAGTTCTAGATGACAGCATGGTCTATGAGCGATTGGACTGTAGTCCAGAGGAATGTAGTCACAATGTAATATATATATACAATGATTATAATATTTTAATAAACATACATTTGCACCCAACACCCTTCCACACTTACATACACACACACACACAAACACACACACACACACACACACACACACACACACACACGCACACAGTCTTTTACAGTAGAAACAAATTCTTAATATAATAATAAATAACCCTAGAAGAGCGTGATCTCCTATCACAAGTATTTAATTATGCTTACAAGGAGATCCCAGCCCCGGCTTAAGGAAATATATAAAAATATATAATGTGCGAAATCGGACTAAGTGATGAACCTTAATTGGGTCCCGAGTTCTGTTTTATATTGTCACTTAATTAGATTTCCATAGCTATTGCGAACTTCTTCATTAGCCTCTAACTCGTGTCAGAGAAAGGAGTAGGCTGACCAGCCTTTAGGCCGCAAATTCTTCGAGGTTCCTTTTTTTAGGCTCTAGCTCAAAAATGTAGTCTTTTTAATTTAATTCCGAGATCTATGATATTTTCTCAATTTTATAAAAGGAACTAGTGAACTAAAGTGCGAATGATCTGTAACTATCTCGCAGTTCGTCTTCGGAAATAGTTCATTAGCGAACTACTCAGCATTAGATCTATAAATAGCGTTTTATTATAATGTAACTATTTCTTTTTGTTGTGTCATTTTTGGGTTGTATTTACTGATATTTTTAATTTTATAATGTGTATTTGGTGTAGTTATTGTGTTAATATTTTAGAAAGCAAATGCTGCATACATGTAAACATTATTATTTCCGAAGATTTTCAAGTTATATAAACATAATATAAATAAAAACTTTATTTATTTATATCAGGTTACTAATGGCCTATATTTACCTTATAGACTAACATATATATAATAATATACATATATTTATTTGTGGACAAAAATGATGACCATGGTGGCGTTACCATTCGGCAGTAGTCCTTCATGAACGTGCACAGATTATTGGGATTCACAAACGCCTTGTGACTCGAATTCAGCACATCACCCTCAATGTCAGGTTATTCTTGGTCCGGATGCAGTCGACAATGTCCTGTTCCTTGGAGGTGTCGCGTAGGCATGGCAATATGTCAATATTGCCGTGGTCGTAGAAATCCAAATTAGTTTTGTTTTAATTACTTGATTATCGATGGGATAATTAATAACTAAATATTGAACATCGAACACAATTTTGTGTTATTTATGTAGTTTTATGTACCTTTTATAGAGTCATGTCCTTATTTTCCTCATTGACATGTTTCTAAACATGTGTATATGTAACTTAGTTAAAATTAATCTTATTTTTTTAAATTACTTTATGGATTAAGTATCGAATAAAACTAGTGCCATCTTGCAATAGGCTTCAACTTTTATATCTCTTGGATTAGATAGCAATTGTATATAATTGTATGTGATTTACACTATATGTTTATTTATAAGTACACAAGTCTTGATAAGTTAAAATTATATACAATTTTTCCCATTTGGAATAAGAATAATAAATATTTATGCAATTGATATTTGTTAGTTCAATTATGCCCTTAATCAGATAGATAACAAATATATTTTATAGAATATTATGATTATAAGATAATTATATTATAAAAATTAAATAATTAGCAAAATGAATTATATATTATACAGTGCTTTTTGTACAGAATAGTGGTTTTTAAACATTTTAATAAAGCAATAAAATTATGTAACTTAATGTAATGTAGATTTTATATGCCTGCAACATATGAAGGCATATAAATTCTACATAATATATAGAAATCTGGTTATACAATAACTTAAATATTTGTTTTTAAAATAAAATGATTATTAGTTAATTATTTATAGAAGTGAATATCTAAATAAATGTATATAATTTTACTTAGTGTTTTTTTTGTTACTCATACTAGTTTGGGAGAATATTTCATATAACCAGTTCGAATTTGGTGACAGTAAAATTGCTTTAATTTATATTTCAGATCATAGAAATACTTTTAAGAAACTAAATTAACTGGGGGAGAGGTTTTTAACAATGGGGCCACTAGCCCCAAAGTACTTTGTTAGATCGACCATTACACGGTCCCTCCTGGAAAAATATGTGGTTTCACTCCTTCTAAATTCTCTACGATAGGTAAAGTGACTTACTCATTTCATATCCATTAAAAAAAGTAATATGGTGATGGCGGATAGAAGAGACTTCCTTCTGTCACGTTGAGTTCACAGTTCACAACCAAGGTGACGGTTGACAATGCCTCTCGTTTAGGTAGAAAGATTATGTGTAGTATGTGATTATCACAGTGATATCACAGTATAACAGTAGCATTTTAGCTATATCTGCTCCCCTTAATTTGTTAATATAATACTATATATATCAGATAAAATACTTATGTATTTTTCGTTATTTCTATTTAAGTTGTGATATATTTATTACTTAAATATCTTTATCAAATAATAAATATATGAAAGAAAGAAATGATTTATCTATGATTATATGATGCCTAAGATTGTTTGACGCCTGTTTAGTTGTTTACAAAGTTCAATATTTTTATTCATAAGTTGTATGTAACAAGACCTACACACGGCCCTAAAATCGGAGCAGTGATGTAACGGCTCAGTTCATTTTATCCCACCACAGTTATGTTGCGTACCCTGATTTTGCATAGGACCGTGTACACACGGTCCTATGCAAAACGGTCGATCATGTATCTTTCACCTCTTTATTCAGATTATTTTTTGGGATAAAATCCGTTTAGCGTTAAAATAATCTATTCATATCAGGTTTGTTTTGTCCTTAAGCAAACCGCACCGTTAATAGTGTAGTGGCCTGGGGAATTGATACTATACTCGCTATGTAACCGCAGTGCGCTTCTGGTGTTAATTACTTAAGCTACTCATGTGATAATATTACGTGCCTTTACTAATTATAATATAGAGTAAACGTGACTGTCATGTTAACTAGTAATTAATATTACTTTATGTAATGTCCTCTTGAAAATAATGTCTTATGAGTACGTTTATAAAGAATTTTGTACTATAATACTATGTATGTATATGTAGATTGGTAATCAACAGTAGGAAGAAATTGACAGACAAGTGCGACCTTTGATTTTCCTGCCTAAAACGGACTAAAGTCGGGGCCAATATATAGGTACCATACACACATATATTTTTAAAGTATTATAATGGAACGGTGCACCCGCCCTCGCTAAAGGTTTACACTGGCGGGACACGTGTAGAGGATTATAAGATGTGCATGAGGTCAGGTCAGTTAGCGCTCCGTGATAAATTGATGATATTGACTTAATAAATAGCAGAAAAAATCATTAATGATATGCGAATACTTTAGTGGTTTATCAAATAAAACGATCACACTCTGTCACGACTGGTGTCTTAAATGAGGTAGGCAGAGGCATTGTCAACTGTCTATGTAGTGATAAAATACTTGACAGCCTACATTTCGCTAGGTAGATATATTATGACTGCAAAATAGCTGGGCTCGAGCCAACTGCCATTTCTTGAATTGATTTTTAGTTTGATATCGTTGTTTCCTTTACCAGAGAGTCAGAAATATAAATTGACACATTATTACTGTGGGCCAGATTTAAATTCACGATCGTACGATTCTTAGGCAATTTTGGCAATACCATGTGTTTTACTTATTATTTAATTGTTACTTTTAAACTGTACATGTATTTATAAATTATAGCAACATAACATTTTGGTACGTCGACTGGTTACCTACAACTGGTAGATAATTATTGCACATGAGCGTTTTTTGACTTTCTTAAGTGGCTAAAATGTGCAACATGAATATATAAATAAATAATTCAGTGATCAATCATCATATTTACCTACTATTGCTTATTCTTATTTTACCGGGTCTGTCAGATTTATATAACTAATTCAGTTAAAGTGGGTAAGGTTATAATTTAAATAAAACAATAAAATAAACAAAATATATGCCGTATTTATTGAGAATTTTCTTAAGCTATATATTTATTAGGAAAGATAGTTTTACGAAATTTGTAAGCTTCCTAACAGGATTTACTGCTCTGATACAGAATAATTCGAATCTTAATCGTACATTTTGAACACGTATCATTGTTACAGAATATTGTATTCTTTATTTGTGCATTGTATGATTTTATAAAGACAAAAAACATACATAAATTAACTACACTAAAGGTACACAATAAGTAAAGCTGAGTAATTATCATCTAAAATGTATATTTAAATTCTTACAAAATTTCTTAATTTATCTTAATCTTTATTAAATAAAATCTCGAATAGTAAATATAAAACTTACGATTAAATATAATTTAGATGAGCTTGAATTGGACTATTGTAGTTACATTATGTAGATATGGGGATATAGGTACTCATGTGGCAGTGTAGGTATGGATAGGTATTTGACAAAAAGGTACTTAGTGAAACAAAACGTTCTACTATGTGTAAGCTGTAGTATCAAGGTTGTCAAAAGCCTCGTACGAAGTAATAAAAATCTATTTTTTATATTAGCTCAAATCAATTAGGCTCTCTAAACCTCTTATAGTATTTTAACTAATTTTCGTAGGTCGAAATTCCGTAAAACCTCGTTCTGTGGTCGAAAATGTCCACGTACGGGTTAAAAATCATGTACTTATTCGATCCCTGATAAGGGTACATAAAAATTTAAAGTCTACAAACCAATAATTATTTTAACTCTTAGACATTTTATTAAATACTTTATTTCGGATTTTCCTAATTGAAAGGAATCTAGAAAATTCATAAAAAAGTTCAATTATTACAATACATTTGTTATACCTACTTATGTTAATGTTTTTAATAATAAGGGAGTATGATTGTACCTATATCCATAGAGTTTTTCTTCTAAGAAATGTGATAGGTATATTTTTATTGCATTTTGGGGCTGCATAGAGTCTCAGTTTATTCACTTATAATATATGGAATACCTACAATTTCCTATTGGCGAATCATTCGCACAAACTTATTTGCATAGTCTCTACATACATACATATATCTAATGAAAGATGTGCTACAGTTTCGTGAACTGTGCGCGTGTGCTTTAGATATGTAAATAGTGACATGATCCAGATTAACGTTAATATTTTCATAGCTCCATAGTGAAAACATAAAAAATCAGTAGACAAACAATCTTTTTAAAGAACAGTTTATAAAAAAAGTTCTTGAAAACTATTGAGATACAAATTACAAATATAATAGGCATCTACTTAGACGTAACTGTGACGTAATGGTGTAGGTACAGGAAATAAATAAAAATGTTAGTAGTTTTTGGTGTATCGGCAGTGATTATAGAACGAATTCTTGCTGCCATAGTTTAAATAAAAATTGTGAGTAAAAATAAAAAAGAAATACCACAAGTTATGATTTATAGTTATCTACAAGTACATCAGTGGCGGAGACTAAGTCTAAAGCGGGCCATTGGCAACATTGAAATTTCGGGACTATTTTTCAGTACATTGACATTATGAAAATAAAAAATTACGAGCCCTGGCACGTGCCAAGGTTGCATAATAATAATGCTTTATTTGTACAACCATAAGGTTACAACATTAAAAGGAGCAGTACATAATAGTTAAAGATGCATAGGCCTTAGTTCGCCTCTGAAGTAAGTAGATAATCTAGCTGTCTTTTCATGCTCTGTTCTTAATAGCTAAGTTGTTCCATTTTGATTTTCATAAGCGATGTGATGTGAGAGGCTGGTGGCGTGTGTCGCGGGGCACTGAGACGCCTGCGGGGCGTGCGGGAGGTGCGGGCCGCACGAGGGGCGCACCCCGGAACGTCGTCGCTGCCCCCGGGTGACTCTCTCAGGCGATGTCTTCAGCTTTACCTCCATCCAGCCGCTTCAACTGTTGTAAATAAGTCAATTTATTATAAGTTTCGTATCAATATGTGATATATGTTCATATCTATTGCGACAACTTTTCATCAAAAATGTATCAGGGCAGCTTGACCACGGCGCGGTTCCCCTTGGAAACCATCGTGGTAAAATCCTGGTGAACTTCCCAGGATGCGCTAAATGACTTGACCTCTATCTCATTTTATAATCCTCCACTGGTGTCCCTTAAATGTAAACCGTAAGCGCAGGAGGGTGCACCATTTCATTATCGTCCATAAAAAATATTTCCATCGCGAGAATTTATGGGGGCTAACAGACTACTTATATTACAATTCACACGGCGCTATCCCATAGTCCCAAGCGAAGTACAGCTTCTCGTCTAGACAAGAGATTTAAATACATAGATACATTTTTTCTGTAAATACATACATATTACATATAGAAACCCCATAGACGGACACAAACAATCATACTCATTAATGCAAAGGTTTGTACCGTGCCAGGAATTGAACCTGAGACCATCGGCAGTAGGGTTGTGTGCTAAACGGGTAGACCACCGACGCAGTTTACATAATGTTTAAAGTTATTGCTTATGATATGCTATTGTGAATGCCTAAGACATCAATATCTCATTTCCAGGTAGCAAGAGAAATAAAACTCTATACCAGCCCACCTGGCTTGTAATAATAATAATAGTAATAATATTCGCTTAATAAAACATTAAAATAATTCTAAAGCAATGATATTGATTTTTTAAATATTTTATTACTCATAGTGGATGATTCACTGTAAGTACGTCATTATTATGTGAGAAAAATAAAGTGTAAATAAACATTTCACGCCACAGATTTTGTAGTAGATATTTACATGGATAATGTCACCTAAGTACTTTACAGCCAAAACAAATATTGTTTTGTTGGTGTATTAGTGCTGGCCACGTTGTATAGATGGTTTGTCTATTACTAATTATAGGCTTTGCCATTGAAATTTAGGTAGTAGGTACAATTAAAAAGAAATCAAATAAATATGGAATGCTTACGCCTTGCTCGACTGTCCACGCAGCAGGCGCTTGGCGTCCAGTACGCTTGTAACGTAATATTACCATTATACCACTACTTATGCTACTAGCTATTATAAATAAGTAATTAGCGTTGAATGTTTATATAGTAAAAGAATGGAAACACTATTTATTTATACATATACAATTTAAAATGTACCTATCTATCGGATTTCAAAACATTGGAGTCCTTTGAACAACAACTGAACTAGTTTTGTATGTTAATAATTTTAAAGTAAAAGCTTTTAACAGTTACTTACTAACTAAAATCATATAAAATTGTATATAAAACATTTAGTTGTTATTAAAGAATAGCTAAAATCTTCGCACACTTTTTTAGAGATACTGAACTTATTTTACAGCATCCTGTCAATCATCCAGCAACTGTCTTCGTAATATTATAGTGCGGTATTTTCTCCACTTATACTATAATTTAAAATGCAAGTAGTTCTTGATTTAAAATGTAAGAATTTTTTTTACTATAATAATTAATGCAATAATAAAAACAGTATGTATACTCTATGGATATATTTAGATACCTATGTATGTTCTAATTTTGAACTAAGGTATAATAAGATTACGTGGTATCAGATCAAAATCATCATCACCTAATTCTAAATGTGGATTCTACAGAAGGCACATATATATTGTAACCTCGCGACCTCGTCCGCGTGGAATTTAATGTATAATAATTTTTCTAAAATAAGCCTAAGTTACTAACTACATCAGCTACCTGCCAATAAAAGTCTCGTCAAAATCGGTCCAGCCATTTCAGAGATTAGCCGGAACAAACAGACAGACAGACAACAATTGTAAATAAGGTTATTTTGGTGTAAGTACCGTATTTATATTTATATGCAGTGCATAGTAACACACGATTATTTCAATATTACAAACAGACACTCAATTTTTTTTATATGATTTTATTATATAGACGTATAGATTACCTCCTTCTCATCGGCAGCTACGGGCTTGTACCTCGGAGTTTCTACCGGACATGCGGAGAAGGCATGAACGTAGAGTAATGCAGCTGCCACTCCACCAGCCACAGGTCCCGCCCAGTACACCTGCATCAAACATGATAATCTTAACTACACTGTAGATTATTTATTTATTCTGTGGTATAGGTATCTCTAATTAAGTATATTTACAATTGTACAATTGTTTAAATTTTTTTTTTTATAATTGTAATGTCAAACAAGACGACAGCCCCCAGATGGTCAGCGGTAATTGCTTATATATACCTACATGTATTGTACTACAGACGTAATGTTATCAAAGGACACCCGTGATACCACTCATGCGTTGCCATTCCAGAGCACTAAGATGTCATATTTCTTATCGTGTAGATATATTATTCAATTTTACCTTACAACCTAACACAACATTCATATGTAGGAAGCTGCTTGATGGCTAAAATAAGCAAGATTGGGGTACCCACGCATACAACGTTTTACAGAGGTTACCTTGGTGAAAATGAATGAATGGTGCATTGCACTGAGCGAATGGTATACATTGGCGAGGTACCAGTGAAGGATGATGATGATGAGCATGAATTCAAGGTTTTGGCATGTGCCGAGTAGGATAAGAAATAATATTATATAATATAGCTTATTACCCAGTGGTCTGCCCATTCATTGGCGACAAGCGCCGAGCCGAATGATCTAGCAGGATTCATGGCCGAACCGGTGTAGTCGACTGCGAGCAAATGACCAAGTGTCACCGTCAGTCCGATGGTGAGTGGTGCTGTCGACCTGCTGTCCGGTTTGTTAGGGTCGCAAACCTGTAACAAAAAATCATTGTTACAAAAGATAAGCTTGATTTCTTCTTTTTCAAGAAAGGAGGTGTTGTTGTGGAGATACACAACCTTAAATTTGGAATTTTTAAGAAATGAATCGTATTTCTTGTGTCTATGACTGAATACTTAGTTAATTAGTGGCATATTTACATACTTACATTAGATACGTATCGATCTCTGCTGTCAATAAACATATGAAATATATATATTTCCTATATACATGATGATAGTGGTAGTGAGTCTTAACTATCGATACTTTTAAACTACAAAGGTACTAAATTGCTGTTTCCCATCTTAGTACTTAAATAATGGTGTAAAATATTTAACTAAATTTTAACGTTTTACATGAAACAGTTGAAATACAGAACGCTGTAACAAACAAAACCGTTGGTGGTATTTATTGATTATGATAAAATTCAGGGTATTACATTTCGCGAACAAAGTAGATAGCTATTTGTATCGGAGTACAGCACGCGATTCGTAAATAAAGTACCTACTTGCGTTCACAAAATTCAACTGTCTTCAGTTGAACAAAATTATCCAATGCACTGATTAATCTGATTAAACTTTAAGTAGGTATAATTTTTATAAACTAAGACTTACATACTTATTGCCATATCTGATTTAAAAAAATATAATAATAATAAAAAATTAAAAGTACAAGAAACATGATACATGTTATATACTTAACTACCTATGATATAGAATTATACGCACATGCAACAAGTAATTAGGTGTATAAAAGACATATGCTTATTGAACTGAAATTAGAAAAAATATTTAAACCAAATTTTATTTTTACTAAATTCTTGTTTTAACAAATATTCAAATTAAGTACCTATCTACTGAAATTGTCAAAGTTTTAACTAAGTTTGAGTGACAAACACAAAAAGAATAGTGTGTCGATGTTGACAATGAACTTTCAAAATAATTTAACTTCATTCAAGTTTACCATCGATTTAAATCTAAACTTAATGTCATTAAGATTTGTCAATAAAATATATGACGTAATTTACATGCAAGATATATGCAAGTAAAGTAAAATTTGTTTGGTTGGCAAATAGTGTTAGTATGCCACTGCGCTTCTGGATATTAAACATAATAACATGACAGCAATGACTTAATTGGACAGAACATGGAACTAAAGACTTTAGATTAAAAAGAAGTTCATTGAAATGCGTTGAGAAATCTTATTAATATTATAAACGCGAAAGTTTGTAAGTATGCATGGATTTTGGATGGATATGGATGGTTTGTTACTCCTTCATACAAAAACTTTTGGATTTTGATGAAACTTTACAGTTTATATATAAGAATAACATATAGGCTCTGCCCGGTTTCACCCGCATGAAATGCATGCGGGTGAAACCGGGCCGAGCTAGTTAAGAATATTTTGAAGGATATGAATAATTTTCCGAAGCCCTTAAAAAATCAATACTATTTATACATAATTAGGTTTTAACCTACCTAGGTGTTGTGTTGTTTGATTCGTAATCACAGTTACAATGATTACCAATGAATCACCATATTTTAAAAAGAAAAAACATAGTTACACGTTATCATTAACGTAGATAAACACGTCAACGTCTCTGATTCTGAAGGTTAATAAAAATTATTATTTATTTATAAATTATGTCGCTTTTCTAGACAGTAACTATATCTAATGTCATTATTGTATAGTAGGTATATAGTTATTTACAACAAAAAAGGTGTACAGATAAGTAGCCAATTATTATTGTCGTTCCCTAGGTGTTTTTTCTTCGTTGCCTAGGTTTTTTATCATGTTGTAAAGACAATTGAGGTGATGCATTTTGTTACTATTGTGGAAGACTTTTGATATCTAGACTATTTCAATCTTGTTTGTTATTTCGTTCTGGTGGGTTTTTATACGGGATTATAAAACATGCCGTAGGAACGAGTGAGGAATGAAATTAAATAATTAATTAGCTTACTTTCTTATATACTTATCTTATATTATATAACTGGCAAAGTTTGGCGCAAAAACCGCCCAACAGGGCCCTGAACCCTTCTGTGATGTGCCTCGTTGCCTAAAACTGGGACATCTCAAAATGAAAACTAAACGAGAAGCACTTAATCATTGGCAGAATACGCCAGGATTAGGACATTCAAAAGCACTAATAACGGGCTACTCGAATCAATACTCCAATAGACTTCTACTATTAAGTAAAAACAATATATGCATCAAGACTAGGGCCCTCACTGGACACTGCAAGCTGAATAAGCACATGACGAAATTAGGCCTTAGCTTAACATCAACCTGCAGATTCTGCCAAGCAGAAGAGGAAACGCCACTGCACATCCTATGCGGCTGTAGCCCTCTTATGCATAAACGAAATATCTATGGAAAGTATACACTATATCCTGAGGTGATAAAAACCATCGCTCCTAAGAATATCCTTCAATTCTTATCGCTTACGGGTCTAGGGAGCAAACTCTGAATAAAGGCGAGCACAATAGATCTATACAGGTCGCAGTGTTACAGGTCATTGCAACTGGTAATAGCCCAAACCCCCCCAATAAAATAAATATCTTATATTTCACTGAACTTTAAAGAAAGAACTGTCAGGTTAGATTGTCAGCAATAGAAACGTTATCAGTTATCACTATTACTAATCCTTTTATAGTGTGAAAATAAATATTTCAAAATTAAATATGCTACTTACCCCACAAATAACAAAGATGAGAACAAATCCAAGGAAGAACTCAATGCCAAATCCTTGAAGCACGGTGACGTCAGGTCCTAATGCGGTGACACCCAATTTTCCTGCTGCACGCTCCGGGGTAAAAGCCTTCAGCAGACCGGAGCCCGCCGCAGCGCCAGCGCATTGGGCGATCACGTACAGTATAGCTCTGAGAGGCTTAACTCGACCTGCTGACGCTAGCCCAACTGTCACCGCTGGGTTGATATGACCACCAGATACGTGACCGATAGCCTATGGATGAGGAAGAGATGAGTTTGTTACTATTGTTGAAACGTTTACGTATTAGAAATATTGTTTGTAGGTACTCGCTAAATATAAATCATATTACATTCTAGAGTATTAATGAAATTTACAAATGGGCTCTCTAAACATGGTCTGTAATGCTGCCCTGATATTCATCGTACTCCTAAAGGGGTACTTGTAGTAATGCTTTGGTTATTACGATTAATTTGAGACTTATTCTAATTTAATTGAATGCATTTTTATGATATTGCCTTATGTTTTGGGGTAACTTGATGGTCAAACTGGTGTGGAAGTTAGACATACGAATTATAGATTATTTTGACACACACCATTACTTATTTATATTTAATTTGTAATTTTTCTAAGCAATAGGAATGGCAAACAATCTGATGATAAGTGGCTGACTTAATGGTAATATATGACGTCATCATATGACATCCGAGTAATATATAGAAGACTAAGGTGGTAAGCCACCGACCGTGCCATTTAATTATTTTAAGCGGTTATAAAAAGAATAGATAGATATATATACACAACTATAATAGTTGTAGTGATATTTCCTGATCAAAGTAAATCGTATTTATCACGGGAGTAGCACGGGGTGAGGCTAAATAATGTGAATGATACGCGAGCCCCACCTTGTGTCACATGTATGACTAATGTTGACAGCTAGTATGAAATGATATATTTAGCTACTGAAATCATTAGTTAATTACATTATCATTTCAAGTAGGTAATGTTATCTATTTCTTTTATGTAATTGGAATGCCAAATAAGCTGACTGTTGACTGAGTAATCTGTGCAACCGTCGCCTGTTATACAAGAAAAGCACCACTATTATTACGTCATTATGTGACGCCTTAGGCAAATATCAAATATACATATGTTAGAGACTGGGAATAAAAACGTAATATTCCGACAATTCAAATTAGCACGATAATCTGACTGTCTTAGACAGATAAATATTTTTTATTTTTTATTCAACTAAAAATACTTATAACGTATAGGACTATAGGTATATATGTACCTATAATGTGTATATATTGGTGTATTAAAATATAATTCCTGTATTGAATATAAACATAGTCTTCATTTTATTAGACGACTGAAGTAGAATTTGATGGATTTTTAGAATGATATATAAAAGGAGAATGACAGTAGGTACAGGTATGAAGTTTAATTGGGATTAGTGGAAGAGGAAGATAAAATCATGAAAAGAGCATAAAACAGTGATTTCTGTTCTGCAATAAGACAGTGAGTTCTATTCAAATATATACTATCTCTCTTCTTAATATTAATTTCCTTATTATTTTCTATATAATTTATTCAATGCCTGTAAAACCAATTATGACCGTGGACGATAAATCTTTTATCACATCAAATAAACGAATATATGGGTTAAATAAATATTTAGATAATACATGTACGGTGGCGGTCTTTACACATCGTTACAGCAGTAGCGCGTGATTATTACCAATCCACATTCACAATGTGATAACATTATCTCCTTCTGTTTTGCATTAAGTGGGTTTCATACTCATCATATGCAAGTACTAACTATGCGTAACATGTAAGTTTTCATGTATGTGAAATTATTTTTAATTTTATAAAAGGAAATAATAAAAAGAATAGTACTTATTCATTTACACTGGAGCCACTGGCAAGTTCCCACAAATACATCAAAAATTACTTACTTTATATGTTCGCACGGATGCATTACAAATCTTTGAATTTCTGGGCTTGTTTTATACTATATATAACACAATACTATACCTACCACTCTGTCGGATTGCGGAAAACTGCACTAAAATCCGTTGCGCAATTTAAAAGATATATGCGAACAGTCAGCAGCGGTGACATTGTTTTATACTATGTAATGACAATTATTGCTCCAACGCCAATAAGTCACTTTCATTAATATATTTTAAATTGACTTAGAAACACTATTTATACTTGTATACTTTTATTATGACTATTGTCCCACATGCATAAGTAATATTGGACGTCGTGAACGTAACATTTGACATGCTCCGATTTCGCTCAGTTCCTATATTCTGCAGCCCTATTATGGATTAATTTAGTTTGTTCATTATCACTGGAGAGTTGTGTATGTGAATTTATACTTTTATAAAGTTTTTGGTTTTGAATATATTTGAACTCCTTTTAGAAAACCACTAGGTTACAAAGCCCTCTCCAAACAATTATTTTTACTATATCGACTTTGAAGAATGAACGTATGTTTAAATATTTAAACATACCGATACAACGGCGAAAACGGCGAGACCGAACGAAAGAGCGATGAGCACGATGTCCGCAGGTGCGCTCACACCTTGAGTGATGTTTATACAAGCACCGCAGCCGAATAAGTTCAGCAGCAGATTACCTGAAGAAACGTATAACAAAGAATATAGATTGTAACTTTGCAAAATTTTAAATATAGACTAATGGCAAATAAGCAAAAGGTTATTTTGTCACTGATATAAAAGTAATATAATGTTATTGCATTTTTAATAATTTATTAATTATAGAGACCTGTAATTGTTACACATAATGTTAACTGCTATCACGAATATCTATACATACTCAATGATTAAGATATCATGCAATTATAATTGATAATATCTATACGGTTATCATAAGTTGTGAAGTACATTATTTTGAAAAAAAAAAACAGATTTGTTTTTTTTGTAGAGATTTTTTTTTGTTCTAGATGTAATAATATATTTAATCAAACAATATACCGTATATCTTTTGCAAAAAATCAGCGATTGGTCAGTTTTGGCAATGACATTGCGGAACTATCTATGCAATAAAAAATATTTGTAGTCTCTTGTATTAGAGTCTGTAGAGAAAACGCTTATATTAAAGGTATGAATAAATTTATATTTAAAAGTATCAGTGTAACACATACCGATAAACTCGGCGAGTAAAGCCTTGCTGATTGCTGCAGCACCACCGGCCAACTCGTCGAATCCAAGTCTTGTTCCAAGTTCTCCCATGTTTCTGTAAGTAATACGTCTATTAAAGGCGACTGTACTCGTATATAATTCATATATTTCAAATGAATTATTTCAGCACGAAAACATCTTTATTTGCAAAATTACTTGTAACCGATGGCTTAAAAAGTATCTTTTTGTGTGAAATCGCGATGGTTACAAAGTTTTAGAATGCTTACAGGATGCCTCGTTATTACATATCTGTTTGGTCATGTAACTGAATAAATATGTGTAGTAGAGTTAACCAAATTAGGTATGTTTCCTGTATACCTACATGAGATGTTATAAGCCAGTAATTTAACTTTACTGAAATTTCATGTCGTGTACCGTAAGCAGCATTCAATTAGATAGATTACTTATTAGATAAGATTATAAACATACTACTGAATCTCGTGAAAGATTAGCAAAAAGAAAAAGTTTAAGGGAACTAAGAAAGAGAGAAGAAAGTGCGGGTGGGTGATAAAATGCATGCAAGTAGTTGTTAACCGTTACCTATTTCTTTAAAATTAAACGACCGGTGAAACTGCGGTACACAGCTAGTCTTTAGTTTATTTATATATAAATTACAACATGTGAGACTGCTAACTCAACCAGAAAGTGTAAATTGAGCTCGGGTACGAAGCTTTGGAGTTTACAACCGTTTCACGCCGTTAGTTCGGTAAATCAGATAACATTTATATTTCACTGGACATACTCCAACAGTAGTAGTCGCAGGTAGCACTCGCAGCATAACAATGCCGTAGTGGCTCAGCAATAATTCAAAGCAAGTGCAGCGGTAATGGTGATGGTGGTCACGACCGGACATAAATTATACTAATTGCTAACTTAGTTGAACGGTCCGGTGATCCTGGCTTGTTCTGTCCCGTGATTTGCCCCGGAAAAGTCGTACTTCCGGTCATTAATAGCTTTATAATAATTATCTCAATTATACACACTGTATAGTTAATTTAGTTTAATAAATGATTTGAAAAACGGTATACAATACAGCTACATATAATATACGTAACTCTATTTATCAACGTTAGAAAGAAGTAAAAATTTTAGATCGTATCTATGACTTTGTTTATGTTATTATTTTTGTCACATACAATCAGGATTGAACCGAAACAATGGTTTTCATAATAGTTATGTAGCCTATTTTATTCATTATCAAAGAAACCTATTCTTTTTTATTAGTTCATATTTATTAACTATCAATGTTTTTATTCTGCTATCGTAAACAATATTACCCGTTTATGTAACGTAATTTTTATTTACTTTAGGTACATTATGAACATAAAAAAGTAGAAATTTATTTTCCGTAATAAAATGCAGAATAATATAAACTTAAGGTCACCAAAGTCGACCCTGGCCATGATTTTTATGCAAACGCGTTCAACTAAGTTGGCAAGAGTCCATATAGGTGGTGGCCGGTTTACGCAGATATTACGAGGCGATGCAGTTTGCCGTGACCGAATGTTAAAGGTGACCTTTTCTCTTCAGTTGTTGTAACCAGATTGTATTTTCAAGTCATTTTCCATTTCTAACCCTTTAAAAAGTACATATCTCAATTACATCTATATAGTATCTCGGTGAAAATGCACATAGAATATACAGTGAAATTGTTATATATATCGCTATCTATGTGAAAAAGAGGGATAATTGATAATAATATATGTAATATATATAATACCTTAAGCATATTTATTTATGTAGCTTTAAATTTCTAATAAAATAATAAAGAGAGCTGCAAATAATTATACACAATATTTCCTATTTTTATTCGGCACGTTTTTCAAAGATTTCGTTGAAAATATGCTATAGAAATAAGTATTTTACTATTTTTTATTTATAAAAGTGATAAACATACAGGTAACATATCTATAGAATAAAGTCATTTTATTATACAACTAATACTTGTACTGAGACTCGACTAATATCGATGCAACAAGTTTCGGTTACCCTGCGTGTTTACTTTTAATTTTAACGTGAATGTGTTAAATATTAAAGTAATATAATGTTGAACCTGCTGTTTCCTAAGTCATATCTACTAGATATAATAAATCTAAAATGCCAGTATGAATGATTTTGAAGATAAAATCTAATTTTGTGAAATAATTAATTGATTTCTCATGACAATGAAAAAGTCTCATAAATATTTCAAATGACTAATTTGTTAAAGTTAACTACATCGTACGTGACAATAAATTAAGGCTACGACTAAAAACTATAATAAATCGTTCTTATACATTTTACAACTATGTTTCTCGCAATTCAAACACGCAAAATAAAAACATGTGTAGGTTTTTGAAAACAAATAATATTAGTCTACGGATATCATCTAATTACTGGTCAAAAATGTATATTATTTTACTAAAGTATACTCATGTGTAGATACTCGTAATATGATTATAAGGCAATGGAGATGGAGCTCGGAGTTTCCAAAATTAATTAGAGTTTGCCAAATTAACGGATTAACAAAATGAATTTCTATATTAAAGGAATATGTATTGAAATTCTCAGCCATTAAACTTCGAAAGATGATACTTAAGGATACGAGCGCTGCGATAGATCTTTGATATCTGGTTACCGAAAAAGATCATTATGTCTGGCATCGAAACATTAGGTACTATTGCTATGACAGGTCGTGTTCACACTATGTTAATGTCATGTCAGAGTCATTAGGCCAATGAATCCCAATCTCTAGTACTTAAATACAATTTTTCAATTAAATTAACATTTAGCATTTTAGTGGACTTTCCTAAATTACCGGTAAATAGAAATCTGAGCAAATACGGTGTGTCATTGAAAAAAGTAGTTCTAAAAACTACACATTAATTACTTTTCTATTGCAATTACATCCATTTTTTAAATTATTTGCAATTTACAGAAATACATGCATATGATGATATGGGTTTGATTTTTTGCCTGATATCTACATATAGGTAATAATTCTGTAAGTATTATATATGTATATTCGTACAACAAATGGTTTCTATAATAATAATATAATGGCTGGTATTTATTGGTCCTTACTATACTTTATATTTTTATATCTTGCCTGATTTAGGTTTCCCACTTTGACGAAACACTAATGTTAAAAGACTATTAGATGTTCAAGGTTATGAATGTAGATATAATTAATTATCGATATTGCTTTAGATGATGTATATAGTATATATATAAATGTAGTGATTCATTATTATGATAAACGAGCTGTCATAAAACAGAACAAAACAGTTTTTTTTATATTTCTTAATATGACTTTCTGATGATGACTATTACTTGTAAGATACTTTCATCACGGCTATATAGTCTCCTACCTGTAATATAATATTCATATAAAGTTAGATTTGATCTTGCTTTCGAAGATATTTAAGATTTACTATGTCTGAGAAAGTTTGCTTACGTTTTGCATTACGTAAGTTTATTAAGGTAGTTATCTTTAACAGATATATTAAACAACTTATTATCTGAAGAGTTTTTAGTCAAGTTAGGTGCCATTACAGTGACTGCACTACGAATATAGTTAGATACTTACCTACCTACTTAGTGTGTTACTTAAACATTACCTGCATGTGTCGAATTTAATTTGCTTGCAGATGGTGTGCAAATTAAAATTTCTTGACGAATAATTTGGCGTTGGCAGATTCCAAATGGACATTAATGTGAACCATATTTCGAAGTATAATCTACACTTCTTTTTATACTTTTTAAATAGTTAGTTCCCACTCGTATTATAATATTAATACAAATAAATTAATAAAGCTTATTACAAATTGACGATGATGAAAGAAAAAATCCTTCGCCGTATCAAAACAAATTATATATGAGAATGAAGTTACTGTCTTCGGATCTTAATTTTTTTTTGCAGTGTCTACTTTTTGTCAAACCCACAACTTTTTTTTAAAATTTGAAGTATTTTGCTTCTTGTTTATATCTTGGATTGTTTTTATATTCGACTTATGACGTAGATGTAGGCTATCCGCAACACTCTACACTCTAGGCCATATGCATATGTAGTTTAGTCATTGTATAATAGATAACATAGCCGTCCCACATCTTATACAGAGGAAGATGACTGTAGAATCAATCGTCGCTCAACCATAAACATTTAGCGTGTCAAGATGACTATCGTAGTTCCTTACTGACTCTTGATCGAGTAAAAAATAGTACAAAAACCGGAGTCAAACAGCTATCACTATACATAATAGGATGTCTGTACCTCAAAGTATATTATTGTAGATGGTCAGAGACCTCGACAAAAAACTTGGAATTTATAAAAGGAAAGCAACAACTACTTATTAGTTTCAACACACCTATAATTTATTAATTTAGTATCACCGTTAATATTAATTACAACTACATTTTTAACTTGTTTAGCTTTTTGTTTCGAACTCTTCTTATTCTGTTTTGTCGTGACTGTTTTTTTTATCAAGAAACTAAGGATATCATATTCCTACGGACATTTAAATAAATTGAATAGAAAATAATAATGAATGTATCTTCATAATATTCTCTTCTACATTTACCAAATTCATATTTAGTATGTAAACAGCTTTGTAACTTATATTTTTTAACGACAATAGTAGATAAAAATAATAGATATGTCAATTTAAAATTTTGCCCACTGTTATTTTTAAATTAATTTTTATGTGCCCTGTTATTTTAACAGAAATATTTGCTCTTATGTTTACTAAATAAAGCTACGTGTAAAAATATATGTTATGTGTTACTGATATCAACAGTAGATATAGCAATAGATATAGTATTGTATTTGTATATTTATCACTGCTATAAATTCGAATACAATTACTCGAGGAAACAGGGGCAACATTACCTAACAGTTTTTATATCATTTATAATTAAGAGATTCGTTGGAGTTTAATGAACAATGTAATGACAATTTATAAAACAAAATTACATTTACTTACAAAATATGCAAATAGGTGAGTCATGTTTACGATAATTCTATGGATTACCATAGAATTATCGTAAACATGACTATTAAGAATACATTACTAATAA